ATAAAGCTTAAATGTAAAAATGGATGGGGATTAAATGTGAAAAGATATATAATTTTTATAATTTTCAAGGGTCTTTTCATAATTTTTTTATAATGATTTTTCCATTTTAAAAATACTCTTGAAAATAAAAAGACTAAAATACTCTTGAAAATAAAAAGACTAAAATACCCTTGAAAATAGTTGGAAAATTGGATGATGTTAAAGTGAGGTGACACATAAAGAAAACAATATATGGTTTTTAAAACGTATTATGCACTTGCATTCGTATCTTTATGTTGGAAGATTTTATTTAATATACGAAAGTTGGTATATGTGTCAAATGGTAGAATGACAAAAAAAACCAATGACATGCTGACTAGGTGTTACAATCTACTCAAATTATAAAACGTTCATTTAGAATTTATTATTAAAATATATATCAAATTCTTCTATATGGGATTGATTCATTTCTTATTTTGGTTTTTGCAATATTCCTATATTGAATATGGTTCTTTAGCAAAGTTTTTGATTTCCTCACAAATTTGTGAGGGGAACAAGAGTCACGCGGGTAATTTGTATTCATATGTATGTTTGTGTGTTGGTAAACAAGCACAAACACCAGTAACCAAACTAAAATCAATGCATCCAATTAATATATTACGTTCACATTTTCTTCAGTGGAGAGAAAACTAATGTGAGACCAGAGAGTCGGCTAACAGCCAGCCAAAGTAATTCTTTCGTCTCAATTTCCTGCTCCTCAATCTCCATACTTCTCTGACTCAAGCACTGTTTGCTTCTAATTCACAATCTCTCTCTCTCTCTCTCTCTCTCTCTAGAAACTTTGACTTCTCTTCTATAAATATGTATTAGGTCTTTCATGATCACATCCCATATCCTCCAAGCGTCTGTCTTGAACGTTTTTGCATTTGGACATGCAATTGTTTTTGTATCCAAAACTTTTGAAAGCTCAGATGAATTCACAAAGCCATTTTCTCTCCATACTTCTGATAGCTTTCTTAGCCTCTTTTTCCTTCTCTTTTAGCAGTAACGTCCCAGAGGACCCACTTGTACTTGATCATCATCACCATCAAACTAATTCTAGTGGTGATCATGATGAATATATAAAACCCTCCCCTACAATATCAAGGACAAGCAGGCTAGCTATTCTCAGCTGGGCAAGTGCTGCTTATCATTCAGCTTCAGCAAATAATATTGTTGTTAATGTGGATAGTTTTGGAGCTAAAGGAGATGGCGGGGATGATACCCAGGTAACCCATCTAAATTATTTATTTATTTTTCTCTTTTTTTATTATTTTTGTTGGCAAAAGTTAATATTTTCTCTTTAATTATTTATTATGTATATTTTAAATGTCCTTATTCATTCTTTTTTACTTGTTTAAGGGATCAGTTATTTTGGATGGTCTTGTTTTAAATTATATGAGAGATTAATGAGTAGCATGGGGTTTGTTGAAAGGTTGGCGATTTTATTTTTTATTTTTATTTTTGTGTTTTATTAGGCGTTTAGAAAAGCTTGGAAGAAGGCTTGTTCTTCTCAAAGGGGAGTTGATCTCGTGGTTCCTAACAGGAACTATCACCTGAAACCAATCAATTTCTCTGGTCCTTGCAATTCTCCTATCACCCTCAAGGTGAGTTCATAAATTAATTGAAGCACATACATGCCTACATTATTAGTTATATATACATTACATATTGTACAATACAACACTCATAAAATGCATGATGCACATGCTTGTGTGAATTTAGACTACGCATCCACAAGTAAATTTATTTACCCCCTAAGTTGCTTCATGTGGGACCCACACCCTTCGTTTCGAAGATGAAATAAAAAATAGAAAAAAGAAGCGTTGTTCGAGTGGCGTGGGGATCTTTGTGTAATATACTTGTCGACTTTCAACTAATACAATTGCTTGACCACATCTCTTATAGAGGTGGTACGTAGTTTAATCGCATATTTTGAAATTTTTTTTTAAATACAACCGATAGTCAACTAAATTATCAAGGTGTTAAGTCAATGCATTTTCTTACTGAGCTAGACCTCGTTGGCCCATGATATCTTAGTAGTGTATGTGTGAGAAATCTCTCTCCCCTTACAATTTAGACTATCGTTTGTATTAAAATAAATAAATTATCCGTACGTTTTACACGGTAAAATAATATGCTCTTAATTGGATCCATTTTACCAGATCTATGGAACAATCAAAGCCTCTCCCAACCGATCAGATTACAGTGATGATACACGGCATTGGATTGTGTTTGAAAATGTGACAAACTTTAGAGTCGAAGGTGGTGGCACCATCGATGGAAATGGAAGGATATGGTGGCAAAACTCTTGCAAGGTTAACGAAGCCCTTGTAAGTAATTCGATAAACTAACCAGTTCTTGTGCATACTTTAATTTTGATGTTGATTTTTTTATAACCCAATTCTAGGTGCAGAGACTAACTACAGTTTATTTTCTTTTGTGGAACAACCTTTCATTATGTCACAGCCTTGCACGATCGCACCAAATGTAAGTTAATGGGTCCTATTTATTTCCAAAAACTAATCATCATACCTACAGCACTGAGATTATATTATTATTTTTTTAATTAAAAGAGCACTCTATTATTTAATTACTGAAATTTGTTTACTTGTCTTTTTTCTTTTTCTTGTTCAAAGGCCATGACTTTCTTCGGGTGCATCAACTTGCAAGTTGACAATATAAGGTTCCAAAATCCCCAGAAAATGCATCTTTCGTTTCACGAATGTGTGAATGTGAAAGCTTCGAATCTCATAGTAACTGCACCAGAGGATAGCCCCAACACAGATGGAATCCATGTCACAGGAACACAAAATATTAAGATAATGAACTGTCTTATTAGGACAGGTACGGGTCAATATGTTTTTAAATAATAATCTAATAACATAACATGTACGGCTCTCAATTATGGCGTAATTAAAAACATACTTACTATTAATAAAGAGCTAATGTTTTTTTTTTCTTTTTTAATCTATTGAAGGGGATGATTGTATTTCAATAGTAAGTGGGTCACGAAATGTTCGAGCTACGGATATAATCTGCGGACCAGGCCATGGAATCAGGTCTTCCATTAGACACCTTCTACACGACAACTTTTTTTAATTTTTTTAATATAAAATTTATTGTACTAATTTTGATACATATTCTGGTGATTTAATTGCAGCATTGGAAGCTTAGGTGCTGGGAATTCAGAAGCAGAGGTTTCAGATGTGATGGTTTCTAGAGCGAAAATGATGGGCACCACCAATGGATTAAGAATAAAGACTTGGCAGGTAAGACTTCATTTTCAAATATACATGTGTAATTTTGGGCATCTCCAACTTTGTCATTTAATTTCACGTACATAGATCACTTCAATGACACAAACATGTCTATTTTGCTTCATGCATATAGGGCGGTTCTGGATATGCCAGCAACATCGTATTCAAAAATATTATGATGCACAACGTGAGCAATCCAATAATCATAAACCAATATTACTGTGATCAGGACGAGCCATGCCAAGAACAGGTACGGTTTAGTTTAGACTCACTTTCGTCAAAACGCAGAGTTTACAGTCTGACATCATAACGTACTAAACTGTTTTTATATTTGCCGCTATGCACACGATGTAAAAGTTGAGCATTTGTAAATATATAATATTGATCATTTGAGGTGTCTTCGCATGCATGCAGACTTCAGCTGTGAAAATAAGCAATGTGGTGTATGACAATGTAAAAGGCACGAGTGCTTCAAAAGTGGCAGTGAAATTCGACTGCAGCAAGCGCTTCGGATGCCAAGGAATCTTGTTACGGAACGTTAATATAAAACCTCTTGGCGAAGGAACGGCCGAAGCTTCCTGTGAGAATGTTAGTCTAGTCCATAGGGGGAGGGTTTCTCCAAAGTGCTCTTCAACAATTTAAAAAGTTTCTTTATTATTTACACATTCATTATACTTTGATTTCTCAGTCACAATATAAATGAAGCCAAATTGTAGCTTTTACTGTAAATAGCAAAGAAAAGTAAATCTATGCTATGCAGAATTCATTGTGTTTAACTTAAATTTGTTATGAAGAAAAATAAAGCCAAGCATGGCAATAATTTCTGATACAAACGATATTTGGGGTGGGGAAATCGAACCTAGGACTTCGGTGGAGGGGTAAATGCTCTTAAGCATGGCAATAATTTCAAAAGTAATATAATGTGAAGCTTGAAAGGTTTCCAAAACCTCCGTGCATATGAAGTAAACCTCAAGCTCCTAGTTTTCCACCCTATCCTTGCTTCATAAGCTCCTATAGTTTCCTTGATGCAAATCTCTCCTTGCTCTCCAATAAGTTCAGGAATTGGTGGTGATCTTAGGTTTAAAAACATGAGCCCTCTAAGGGTGAACACACTACGAATATCTTCAGCAAATGGAGATGAAGAGACGGAAGAAATGGCCAGAATTCTGCAATCTCTCTATTGACCCTAACATTTAAAAAGGAAAAAAAAAACCTATAACATTAAATTTAAAATTAAAACAAACAAACAACAAACAAAGGAAAACCCCCAGCAGCATCCCCAATTCCCTCAGAAACTAGTTGGTGGAAGTATTTGGGGTCTGCATATATATATATATATATATATATATATATATATAGTGGTCAAATGTTTGGATATGAAGAAACACTTTTCCCTGCAATTGAAGAGATGTCACAGTGTCACTGAAATTACGTTCCAGAAATCAAATGCAGATGAAATAACGGGCGCACATATAAAAGAGCACGTGCAGGTTGCATGAGTCCGGCAATTATGTTTTGACCCAAAGTTGATTGAACCTTTCAATTCATGCCCAAAAAGGCTAAAGCTGGAGTAGATAATGAAACTAATTGACGGAGCCACCAAAGCACTATAATTCTGAAATTAGAATCCTAGCCAATAATTTTTATCATGCATTATAATACAAGTATATTAGTCAAACTAAACTAGGCTTCCAAGGACTCACTCATAACGACAAAGAATCCTCAGAAGCATTTCCGATGAACAACGGAAGGTCCAGTTTCATCATAGTCAGCTTTGGTTACATGCTGATTTTGTGGGAACACAACTTTGGCTAGTATGGCACCTCCCACCCATGCTGAATACATTGACAAATTCTCCGGCATATATTCTGGAGGCTGTAACCCACACCAAAGGATTAGAAAAAGAATTTGGCAACGCAGCTAGTACAAAGAAAACGGTGTTGGGAAAATGTTATGTGTAACCATTAAGTATTCTTCTCGCATAAACCCTTCATGTCAAAAACCACTTCCAAATCAATGAACTGTTTATTTTTTTAAACAAGATATTAGGCATACGTTCTATCGGAAATATCAGAAACACCAAACTGCCAGTCTGTAAAGAATTATGAAATATATAGCATCATCGCTTATTAACATGTAACAAAAAAGATAGGGAAATAACATACAACAGAAACTGTCACAACCATCAGTGTGGGCTGTGAAATATAGATGGCCTCAGAAACAAAAATGAAAACTAGCCATACTTACATTTTTAGTATGTGGACCTCAAATTTGAAATTCAAAGGTTATTTCATCATAATTATCAAGAATTATGGTTTTTAGACAGGGTCCTAGTGACAGTAAACAATAGGTGCGATGTCATGACCCATGAAGATGACATCATGTGGAAGAATGTTGACAATGTTTAGCTGATCAATTTTCAGATGTGCCCTGGCCACATTTGAACTTAAATCTACCCCACCCTATCTCAAGCTAAAACCAAATTGCAGTTTTTAATGATAAAATAAATTACCTTAATTAAAGCAGGACGGACAGCAGATGAGCATAGACCAGCTTCTTTCTGAAACCTTTCTTCAAAACCTGGAATAAAAAGCAACCAAACTGCCAATCAGCAATGACAGAGCCAAGTTTCTATTTCTTCTGAAACAAGAAAGTCAAACTCAAATTTGGTAATGCTCTTATAACAATTGTATTGTAAAATATGTCAAACAAGAAAAATGTAAAAGGAACTCTAAACCCACGGATCCCTACAACTTCATGAATCCATTATTAAATCGATATAGATGATAAGGATAATGAAAGCGTCCAAGAAAGGGCCTTGCAGTGCAGATATCTAAATATAAAAAAGTCCAATGTATTCTAACAAGAACCAATTATTCAGGGAAAGAAAAAAAATGATAAAAGATAAAGAAAATATATCATACTAATTATGCATCTGAAACGCACAAGCATCAGTGACTATAAAACTCACCAGTCATAGAAGCAGTGCCACCACACAGTACAGTATTTTCCAGCAATTGACGGTGATTATCAGACGACACTGTTGAAATACAACGAACAAGCTGCTCAACAATCCCATGAGCCTCTAACCCCAATATAGATGGTTGGAATAAAGCCTCACCAACAGTATATTTTTCTCTTCCAATCGTAATGACCTAAATAATAACCAGTATTACATTCAGAACGTTGGCAAAAAAGCAGAGTGATGAAAACGGGGAAAAGGAGGATTTGGGGAAGAGACATAGATGGTTATGCTTGGGGTCAACTTAACCATGACCTGCCTTGAGATGGGATCACTATCATTGTTGTGTCTAAACAAAGCAAAAATTCCACCTCTTTTAAGTAGAAAAAGAAAGAAGTGTTTTGAACTTTAAACATCATTTGTTAGATCTTTCTTTAGGATACAACAATATTAGAGAAGATCTCAGTGTGGATAATTTTGTGTTAAAACCCTTTATATATGTAAAACATAATGAACAGATCCTGGATACAAATTAAACAAAACCAGCTAATTATGACAAGCGCAAGCCAGTTACAACATATATAACGGTGACTTATAGGCATACTATGATGTACTCAGGTTAACATATCCATAACCCAAATAAGTTACATGTCTACATCTGTATTTTTCCATCTATCCAGATCAAAATTTCATAAAATTAACCAGACCTGTCCATCAGGAAGAGTATGTTGCTCTGTCTGGCATGAATTTTTGGTCTTCTCATAAGCAAGTTCATCTTCAGCACAACATGAATATTGCTCTTTTATTTTCTCAATATCAGACATCTTGATATTCACCAAAGGATTGGATTTCCCAAGCTCTTCAGCAAGTAACTTCGTCAAATCCATACCTCCAATTTCAAACCTTCTTGAGGCAATGTGCTGAACAGCACCTTCAATTACTGGTGCAATATCTGTGAAAAATGGCCAAAGATACAAAACGGCACAGTTAAAAGACAATCGGTTTTGTTCCTTTTACATAATCCAGAGTAACATTCCATTGAATAATAATATCGACCACTAGCTTGCACATAAAGATGAATCAAATGACATTCACAGGTCATGCTGGTGAACCAAAACCTCATCAGCATTAGTGACTACCAATACATCTTTATGACTAATATTGTCGTAGGGTCACCTAATGCACTGAATTGCTTAATGGATTGTTATAGCTTGGCATAGCAACACAATATCAACTATCAATAATATACTTAAAACACAATTTTTGATGACATAGATTTATAGCTTGACATAGCAACACAATACCTTCTATTCCTAGATTTGTGCATTAAAACAAATACAAATTTTGAAGTGCAAATGAATTGATTGATTGTATGCTAGACAGGATAAATTGAATTTTGATGAGATAGATTTATTATATTTAAAATACATATAACTTAGCCTGCAGTAAAGAAGACGTAAGAATAGTTCAAACATCACTATGTATTCAATAAACAAGATTTCATAGGTTCCCTTCTGCAAGGTATATATATACCTATCTTTCCATGGCCAATATCAACAGTGCATCCCGAGATACGCCCTACAGCATAAAGTGACAATACTGCTTGCTCTGATGCATAGAAGCCCGAAATGTTAAACGTTTCAAACATCAGTTGCACCAACTGCTCTCTGACAGCCTGGTAGAAAAATGGTATTTCATATTTTTTTTATAAAGGAAATATTAACTACACTGACAAAAAATGGAATTATGTAGCAGCAGAAAGTTCTATTCCTAGGCTTTTTCTTTCTAGACAGATAGATTGACAACTTCTAGGGTCACCAACCACTTTACGGCACTTCAAAACCACACAAGCCTTCCCTATCCCTCCTGTACAAGAGTTTTTATACCCACAAAATAAGGTAGCATGCTTACATTCATGCACAAAGACAAGCAAGAAGCAACAAACAGTGAGATAATGTTAGAAAGGCAACTCTCACCACTATGCACTGACAACAAACTGATTCAAAGCATAAAAACTTGAGGCCACAGAATTTCTTCTTTAAATTTACTTAAACAAGAATAGTAATGATTATAATCATGATACTGACAATAAGAGAGTTTGCACAATGCCACCAGTCTAGATCACAGTCTTTCAACATAATCCATTGCTTTTCCAAGTTAAACTATATAAGAATGATAAAACAGCAAAAATAACCACAATTCTTGGGTTTCAGCAAAGACTTGCACAATGACACCATTCTATTCCATATTCATTTAATGTGTTCAACAAAAAGCAGATTAGCTAACCTTAGGGGTACATAGTGGATCAGTAAATAATATCTGCCCTTCGTTGCCCATTTCCCATCCAAGGCCAGTATATAGAACATGATGCAACAGATCTTCCATGGCATCCCAATCTCTAATAAGACCTCGCACAACTGGATCAACAATGGTATCTTCAGATGATGAATTATCATTAATTGATCCATCATCAAGCATGCGCTTCATTTGGTTAGGAATTATCTGAAACATATGGACAAAAAATAAAAGTTTAGGGGAAAAACTAAAAAAGAAAAATGAGATTTAGACCACAGCTATCTCATCAGCTTAGATTAGTCGAATTGAATTGTCATTATGTTGAATGCAAGGCCATGATAACCTTCAGTATAAATGAAATCTTCTTTTCCTAATACGCAATTTCTAGAAATGGAAACACACAAATTTGGGTTCATTGAGAACAAAAAAAATATTTCTTTTCCGAATATTATACACACACTTTTTGAAAATAATATTGTTATACTTTCTCAAAATGTTTTACAAAGTCATCATCTATGACAGAAACAGTCAATTGTTTGTTTAGTTTCTAAGAACTAAAACGATCACAGAGCAATGCAAGTGTAACTTGATAAGAATTATAGCAGGATGGGAGGAGTGAGATATATGTGATAAGAGAAGATTGGTTGGAAGAAGGAAAATGGAAGTAAGAACAAGAACCAATTGGAAGTGAAATTTGAGGCAAAAAATCATCCACTCAACATACTGAGAGAATCATTCTGTGTTTCCTCACAATTGACGACCGACAAGAATAAACAAAAAAGAAACCCTCATAATTCGGCCGTTATTTTGCTAAAATTTTCACTGGGCCCACAACAAACCATATTTTTCCTTGTCTTTTCCACAACTTTCCCAGAAACCAAGCACACTCTACCGTGAAATCTTTGCCACTAAACTGACCTCAAACAACAGGTTGACTTGTCCCTTTAAAGTTCCCACTTTAAGAAATCAAAAGAAAGCCTAGCTTACCCTGCTAAGATAAATTGGATTTTCATTCCCCCAACACCAACAACCATAGCTTATCGCAGTTGGAGTTTTCCATTTCCCAAAAAACCAAAAACTTTTCTGAGCAACGAAGCGCAGAATAGAAAGTGAAAGCAAAAAGATGGAAAATTTACCATGGAAGGAGCTTGATCGGGAATAGCAGGTCCTGCTTTGAGGAGCTTCGAGCCGGGGTCGACCACCGCAGCCTCCATCTTGCTCTTTACCACAAAACCCTAACCCTAGATTTCAGTTACTGCAATGTTCAGTGGGCAAGGATTTAGCTGAGCATTTGAGGAGTAAATATGTTCTACACACAGCACTAAACCACAAGCGGGGGCTGTCTTTTCAAATTTCACAAGATTAAAGGAAATTCAAATATCTGCTCTCTCGTTTTGTTTTTCTTTTTTTTTGTTGTTGTTTTTTTTGGGATCTGACGGAAGGAAAAACGCTGTATGTAGGACCTACGTCGATTGGGCCTTTAGGATACTGACACGTGTTACTAAAAGTTAGCAAATGACACAGAAGTCCCAGCGTCAGGTGGTGAATCCTCATTGATACGGCGGGACAAAAATATTATACGTGAAAATTATGTACATGTATATGCATATGCGTATTTTTCAAAATCTTTTTACCATATGCTTATTATTAAGGGAGTTTCACTAAAACACCCAAAATAGGGGCTGAAATTATAAAAAAACCCAACACTCAAAACACTTTATAAACACACCCAAACCCATCATTACACACACTCAAAACCCATTTATAAACACACCCAAAAAATATACAATTGTTAATTTGGGGTTAATTTTGGGTTGTGTTTCTATATTTAAATAGTACTTGGGTTTTTTTTATAATACATGTCTAGAATTGGGTTTATTTATAAATTTGTATATTATTAAAGGTTTTATCACTTTTAACTAATTTTTTGTGTAAGGGGTAGGTTAACAGTGATGACTAGGGAAACGAGGAAGGGAGGCTGGGAGAGAGCGTGTCAGACAGATAGTCATAGATAGAGCGAGCCAGAGTGCGTGATAGAGAACTCCTCCTCATTTCTAAATTCCAAAGAGAGCAGAGAATAAGAAGAAGTGAATAAGGAAGACGAATTTATGTGATCAAGAGAAAAAAAAAGTGATAAAAAGGTAATACGTGAGCAATACGATATATTTTTAAGGGTCAATTTTAAAGTCTTAAAAAAGCGGTTATTTGATGAATGTTTAGTAGTAAAGTCGCGCGGCTATACACATTAAATATATTCTAATATTAATTTTTTTATATTTATATTCTGTTTTGCGATAATATTAACCTTTTTTTCGTTAACATATAGTCGCTTGACAACTATATAAATGGTGTGACTACTTATGCATTCAGCCAATTTGGAGCAAGTACGGAATTCTAGACCTGGGTGTTCCTTGATTTTAGTATTCATACAAAATGGAGTTTGATGATGGAGACCTATTGAATAACTCAATTTTGTGCAGTTTGGAGGTAGTTAGCAAGGAAAAAAAGTTACTACATATTTCAGTGTACTTTCCTGATCTGGGGTGAAGCAGCCAATGTCAGATTCCTTCCGGAATGCTTGTGCTACATTTTTCAACATGCGATGTGAGTAACCCTTTATTTCATCATCGTGAGGACTTTGTTGAGAAACCCAATTTTATTGTGGTTGATGATGACTTGCAATAATCTCTCACTGTTCCTGAGGCGCCCTTCGTTTTTCACATATAAAAATATGTTAAATAGTATAGCCGTGCGGCTATACTCTAGAATATTTAATTAGTATCGCCGCACGGCTATATCCTGTGAATAATATTCGAATATTTAAATAGTATAGCCGCTCGGCTGTACTGTTTGAATCTATCGTATATCCGAATATTTAAATACTACAGCCCGCGGCTATATTTAAATATATTCTACCGCGTGCGGCTATAATCGTAGAACATATTCGAATTTTTAAAGAATAGCCGCGCGGCTATACGTCTTGAATGTATTCAGATATGTTTCACAGTATAGCCGCGGGGCTGTACTTCAAATATATACCCTATTTATTTGAAAATACGTGAAAAAACATGCATGCATGTATAATACGTTCGGTTTTAAAAATGCATATTTCTCCGTATCATAAAAAAGTGTTCTAAAAGAAGTATTTGTAAAAAAATATATGAACATACTTGTATACTAGTCGTTCTATACGCAGATTGACTAACTAGAATTTTCCATTTAATTAATTTATTGCTAATTATATTAGATAAGTCAACACTAACTTAGAAGTGTCATTGGTATTCTAGACAGTTATCACGTTAGGACTTACAAGAGTAGATGACCTTAAAGTAGCAATAACAATTGCCTCAACTGATTCACACCGAAAAGTTGGTTCTTATGGCTCATTTCCAAATCAACTCATTCACTCTTTCTTCAATTCAACGTTGTTTACTGTTGACTCTCTCAGCTTGTCATATAAACTCTAGAATTCCTATTTTATAATTAATTTCTGGGTTCGCACATCTACGATTCACAATTGAGGATTCAAAATACCTCAATACGAATTGGTTTATACGAGTAATGTCGAAGAGAAGAAACAGACTACAATCAGTATTACACAACCAACTCTGTCTTAGTGTCTAGCCCAGATTTATGTACAGAAGATTAACAAAGTTGTGAAGAGACAGAGAGTCATCAAATAGACTCGCTGCAAATGTCTCATGGCTATTGCATGTATCGTCATCCCACATGCTCAAAGGTTCTCCTACACTATAGAAATCCATATCCACAGAGAATTTACCATCAGGGGCAGGACCAACTGGCTCCTCATCCTCCACCAAAATCAACTTACAACCCTCACCAACCAGGGCCGCATCATCAGTTTCCTTGACGGAAGGAGCTTCGGTCTTTGATTCTGGCAACTCGGCTAAAAGAGCTTCAAGAGAAAATAGGGGCTATCATAACTATCCTGAGAAGTGAATTTCACATCCAGAACTGGAGTCCCAAAATCCACCACTGAAGCAGCGCGTGAAAGTTCAAGGATATTCTTCAGAATATCTTTGTCAGGATTCTCTTCTGTCGCTTCCTTTGGAGTAGTTAAATCAGACTCTGTATAAGTATCTTCCTGGGTGTTACCGTGTTCATCATCGGTCTGATCTTGAGGCAACGAGTTTGGTATATCAGTTTTATCAAGATCCAGGATGTTGCTTATCTCCGTGCTGACTTCTCCATTTTCAATCTCTTCTGTTATCTGACAAAAATCAGTTCTAGACATCATGCCACGATTGGCTAGATCAACTGCATTCCCAATGCTCTTGCCATCAACAAGTTTGCCTTCTTCTCCATCCTCATAACGCTGGTGCAGTCCATCAACTCCGAGTGTTTTATCAGTGTGCTCATCATTAGGAGATCTTATCACATTCCCCTCACTCTCTGAAGAACTTTTTGCTGAATCAGCAACTGAATCTTTTATGCTCTTTGTCTCATTAATTGCACCAGAGCAGAGGAAGGATCTGCGCCTACATCATTTTCAACACTTGCTGGAGATTTTCTGTCAACACTACCATCTTCCTCATTTGAAAAATCAGGAGCTTTAACCGAAAGGGTTTGGGTGTATTTCTCAGGCTGGGTTGAAGTCAAAGACATGAATCCAGCTAGTGCAGATGCTAAAGCGTCATCAATTGTCAAAGCAGGCCTCGGTTTATTTTCTGAAGGAGTTACCACTACATCTGATTCATGATCTTCTTCTTCTTCCTCCTCCTCATCATCACCATTTGAAAATTCAGGAGCAGTTACTACTAGACTTGGGAACAAACGAGGGGAATTTACTGAACCAGACATGTCATAAGGTGTGGTCGGGAGTGCATCCAATTGAACCTCATTCTTACCTGATTCAAAAGCCTCCCAATGGCGATAATCATTTCCACTATTGTAGAAAGAGTTGGATTCAGACTCAATGCATGAGAAAGAAGGTGCACAGAATCTTGAGCATGTTGGCAACCCGGAATTCTGTGATTTTCTTGTGAGTACTTCAAGCTGCTGCTCTACCCTTTCAAGCCTTGCCTCAATACTGCTTATTGGTTTTAGCATATTTTCTTCAAACCTCAAAAATAGATCCTCTATTCTACCCATTCGAGAACAAAGCTGGTCCACAGCTCTTTCTACATGACTATATGGGGGGGAATCAGGTTTGCTTTCTCTAAAAGGAACTAGTGGTGGGATCTGTAATTGGGCTGTACCCACAGTAGCCCTATTCACATCCTGAACCTTTACTTCTTGGTGATCAGGTATGCTGGCCTTTCCTTCCTCCTGAATCTTAGTTGCAGCACTGGTAGAACCAACTGTTTGTGACCCAATCTCTAGGGAGTTCTGTTTTTCCCATGTATCAGAATTGCGCCTGTCTTGTGTTCGGTGAGCACCGCTTGTTTTAGAAAATTGTAAAAGAGTAGGCACAAGCATGGCCATGAGAGAACTCCCAGCTGAGCTTTCCACTGTACTCACTTGATTTTCTGAATCAGCTGAATCAACAGGGTCAGCAAACACGTAGACCTCATCAATACAAACACAATCTTTCCTCTCAAGCGACAGTAGACGAAGTGTGAGCGATACACAAGGACTTGCATCACTAATCTGTGCTGTAGCTTCATAAAAAGCCTGAAAAAATTACCTTGATCAGCAAAGATAATAATCAATATAGATTAGGACTCTGATTTTTGGTCACTCATACCCAGCCCATTATCACAAAACCTCTCACTCCTTCCCCCTCCCCCCCCTCTCCCTCCAAACACAAGCACTAAAGGGGCACTACCAGTGGCAGAAGTGCCTAAAAAGGCCTTGAACCAGTAATAATATACCCTAAACTTGGAAAAGTGCAATAGAAATTGGCCAAAGAACACACCAATAAGCTGATTTGAAACTTAGATAGTCTGCACTCATAAATACAAATTAGTTTTATCCTCTCAGCTGGAACGGCACAGAGTCCAGATCACAGGCTTCTTCAGAATTTCCAAACCTGTTTCTTAGTTTTTCTTTGAAAAGGGAGAATGGACAAACACATCAATACAAGTGGCCACAAGCATGAGGGGTACCATTTGACGAAATTGACTAGACGGGGGAAAAAAGAAACAGAAGAACAAAAAAAGTGGGAGGGGGTTCACTGGGATTAATAAAAATGGACAGCTAAGCAACATACCTGTGCAGAACCCAACTTTAATGGCAAGGATTTGATTTTATTATCAAGCACATGAGTATCTGGGACTTTCACTTCAATCCAGTCATCTTCACTGGTATTCAGACCATTTCCATTTCTTGAGTTTTCTTCAGATGGGTCCTTAAGAGACCCATTTGAATTTGTAGAACGTACTTCTTCATTATCACCTGTATGAAGCACTTCTTCATCTCTGTCAGCAATTCCACAGCGAACTGTACAGAGATACTCATTGCCACTCTGCAAATCAGTTGCATAGTATATCTCATAGACTCGGGCAGTACTCCGAACATAAACCTGCTGGACCTCATGTTTCTGCGTGAAATTAACTGCAGCAAAATTTGTTGGTCATTTGCAAGGAGACTATAAAAGTAAGTCGAGTCACTTGAACTTGACCATTTTGATTCTTCTTTTTTCTTTTCTTTTTCCCAAAAGGACATTGATGCATAATGTACAGAAAGAAATAAAGGTGTTGAGAAGTTTTTGTGCAAAAGAAGAATAAACACTATTATAAGAAAACCAAGAAAATAGCCCCAAAAACTGACCAATAGGGGGAAAAGGGAGCAAAATATATATTTCAACAGTAAGGCAGACTGTTTTATGATTAAAATGCTTGTAGCATGTACTAAGTGATGAACTGTTTACATCAGAGGACAACAATCTTAACAAAACAAAACGCTGCATTCACAACTCTACCTTATAGGTTTAGATATATCTAAGCCATTCCAAAACTTAAACCAGAAGGTTCAAGTGCATTGTTGCATGTACAATATTTCTATTATCCTTCTTCTTTTTCATAGCTAGGTGAATTGACCATGCCATATTTACCTTGGCTTAACACTCTAGGATCTTTTCCAAGAATCAACAAATTTGAATTAGATTGAGCTATATAGCGTCTTCAAATATCACTAGTCATATGAACCGAGAAATCCTTCCTTAATAAAATCAATAGTTGTGTGGAGAAAAAAAACGTCTGACTACATCATCGAAGGTTTTTTAACTAATTACTCTGTCGAAACAGTTGAGTCAGACATTCTTCATGCATTTTGCACAACCCTAATAACATCATGTGCTCCAACAAATGTTCTTTCTACTTTAAGCTACTAAAATGTTCTTGTTGAACTCATCTTAGGCACTATTCCGCAGAGTTCCGGTTTATCCTCTGTTTTCAACATACCAGATGCAACTCCTACTTTCAGCTCCATCTACATATTCGCTATTTTAATAACTAGGCAATCCGCATCCTAATTGAAATCTACTTTAGCATCAAATGTCATTAACATAAAATCTTAATCCTAAAAAAGAAAACCAGACGAATACATATACGGTTTCTCTAATACACTTGCTCCAAAAGTTGAAAATAGGTGCCTACAGACTATGTTACCAAACTGTTAATCAAGATCTTAATGTTACTATTTCAAATTCTTAACCTACAATAAGGATGTAAAGGACCGCAATTGATATAATATTGTTTTCCTTCATTTTCTCGCATCCCAAACAGAGAGCTAAACTTCACATTTTTTTTAATCATAAACTGAAAAAGTAAAACAATGCACATAATCGTTTTAATCACAACATTTCAACAAAGAAATTAACGCATAAAATATCTGACGAAAATGTAAAATTTTCAGAGAAAAATAAGTTCCGGAACATACTGGTGATCTCGCAAGGGACATAATCGGGTGATGGAGGGTGCAGAATAAGAGAGGATTCAGAGGTGGACTTTGGAGTCTCGTCGTCGATCGGAGCAAAAGACGACTCGAAAGAGACGCAATTTACGAGAGAGCCACCGGCGATGGTCCAGTTTGCGGCGGAACTCCATGAAGAGGTGCTGTTGAGGTTTTCGATCTCGTTGTCTTGCGTTTCCATGGCTTTGTGTGATTTTGGTTTTGGGTCTGTGTGATCTTATTGGTTACAGAGAGCTGCTTATGGAGAGAGAAGAAGTGTGAGGTAGAGTCGTAAATTTTGGACCTTTAATGGCATTTTATCAAATTGAATCACATTCTCAAATGCACGTGTGGCGTTTGTTGGACGTTCGAAGTTTGTAACTCGTTTATCAAAATGAATTATTTTTGGTCATTTCCAAAAAAATAAAAAATAAAAAATATTAGTTTTATAATATTAGTTATAAGACTTGGGTTTTAAGAAAGTTTACAACAACCAAAAATAAAAAATAAAAAAATAAAAAATAAAAAATAAAAAATATTGGGATTTTAAAATCTGTTCATCAGATTTGCATACTATGTACAGTTAATTTTGATTTAGGTATTAACCTATAAACAAGATGAAGTATGGAGTTTACAACTGATATTGTGAATGTATCAACTTCTAGATAATTAATAGTGATGGCATCAACGGAATCTAGCCGAGTGGAAAAGGGATTTGACTTGCAAACTAGAGGTTTATGTTCGAACCCCCACAACATCATTTGTGTGTATGTGAGAACTTCCCTTCCCCTCTAATTTAGACTATCGCAAAAGTGATCGTAGTAGAGACGATGGTGAGGATAGGGTGGCGTTAATGATATGGTTGTTGTTTCTTTTTTTGGGTCTAAAGCTCAGTTTTGAGATTTTAGAAATAACATCCATTTATGTGGAATTTAATAGTTCTTTTCCACATACAAATGATAAATTTCTTTGTTTACTAAGTCGAACAAGAAAATTGGCACATGTTCAGAAATTTCTGAGTTTTGTTCAACTCACATTGTTATTTTCTCAATCCAAACAACTGGGTGAACTTTTTTTGGTTTGAAAAGAGATGTTATATTCAAAACAATAGAAACACCTTTAAGAAAATACAAAGGATAACAATGAACCATCCTAAACCCACACTGAGAATCAAAAAGCGTAATCTTAAAAAGGATTCGTGGCTTACAATCACGGGAAACGAAAAAACAAAAGTGAAAGAAGAGAGCTTGGACACCTCTTCAATCTACACACCAAAATGGCCATGCCAGTAGCAGAAATCATCACCCTACAACAGAAAATTATCATGAAAAATAAAAAACAAAACAGAAAAATAAAACATAAACAACAAAAAGTGAGAAGAAAAACAAATTGACGTTAGGCCTCTCAAAGATACTCTCAAAATAGACAACAATGAATGACACCGGATAAATGCACCATGAATCAAATCAAAAGCATCGAACTAGACTTTAAATTAAATAAGATAAATGCACCAAAATGCATTAATCAGATGGGCTAGATTCGGTGTCAATGAAGAACAGCAGAAAAGGAAACCTGTTGATAACCTGCTCAACATCTAAACAAGAGAAAGTTAAAAAACTACAACAAAGAAAGCAAAACTGCAAGACACGGGCTTAGCCAAGTTGGCTAGAGTGATTGTGCTCCCCACTCTACACCCGAGTTTGAATCCCCCTTTCCATAGTACATTAAAGTAGAATATTGCTTGTATAAAAAAATAAAAAAAGCAAAACTTATAAAAGTGGCAAGAAGAAACCAAATACAAATTGGAACAAACTTAAGCACATGTAAGAAAACCATAAAAAAAAAGAAGCTGAAGATTGCAACAGAGGCTATCAGTGAAAACTTACCTCGGCAACCCAAAGTCAAAATCCCTACAAAAAGTTCTAAAGCAAAACAACTAACCAATTAAAAGAACTTAACCAAATGGAAAATCAATGGAAAAACTTGGCCAAAAGAACCAGAAAGAAGACGGACCACAACAAAAGTATGAAGACAAAAAAGGAAAACTAAAAAACCTGATGCAATCTAGAACCTAACACAACCCAGCTAGAGGACCAAAGAACTTGAAACAAAACAACTAACATAAGGACCAGTACCAACTGAAAAAACAACACTTTCCTATCCCAGAAAACCAGCAAGACGGAAGAACAAAGACTCCAGAAAGCACACAAAAATACACAATTAAAAAAAAACTTTGACAAATAAAAATGTGTAAACCAGGAACCAAGAAAGGCCTGCAAAATAAAATAATAAAATGCACAATTTTTGTTGTTGTTGTTGTTGTTGCAAAACAACAAATAAAGTTATAAAACTTAAACACAAACAATAGATCAGAAAACCTACAAAAAAGGCCAATGAACATAGATCAAAGTACTCAAAACCACAAAGAAACGTAGAACAATTAATGCAAAAGTAGCACCAACAAAACAGCAAAAACTAAAATGAAAGAAGCTTTGAATAAACAAAAAGACTGACAATAGAAGCCTAAAAAAGAACAAAACCTCAACTAATGCATGTGCAAAAATGAAACAAACCAAATTAAACAGAAGAACACAAAACGAAAGAAAACACAGCAAGGAGGAGAATTAATCAAAGTAGAAACAAAACACCTGTTCTTCCTTCTCTCTCTTTTTTTTTTTGGGGTGGGGGGAGTATTATATAACCTGTTAAGTCTGATGCCTTAGAACATATTCATGCAGAAGCAAACAGAAAACAGAAGCAATCCATATTGTAATATGTGGAAAGAGTGTACGCAACAAAATATTGCAATATGTGGTTCCTGTTTAACTTTTACCACAAAGCTACATTTTCTTTCCTGCTTCTATTTATGAGACTGCTCCAAATTAGTAATAAAATGCTTTTCCCAATATAGGAAAATCTAGAAAGCTCTTGCATTTACCTTATCGCTCTTATTTTTTATACTCTCTTTTCAGCTTGCTAACCATCCATCTGCCTACATTACATTTGACAGTTAAATTTGTGTTTAATATTCTTTTATCCGACTGATGAAGTTTTGTACCATAAACCACGTCTTCTTTTTCTTTTTGGACCTATTCTTTTTAATTTCATTTTCGAATAACTCAGATAATTTGGATTCTATGATAAGAAAACTGAGAAGAAGCACCAGACTGTGAGTAGTTCTAAACTCACAATAATTTTTTTTTTTTAATAGAAACATTTGTATTGATAATCAAGAGGAAAAATTATCCTTGATCATACAACAAAAGGAAAACAGACTCATTAAGCACCAGAATACCTAATAAAAAAACTAACCTACTGCACCTGAAATGTATCTGTAACTAGAAAACAACTTATGTAAATCATCTTAAGACTGCTGCCATATCTCTCATGATGATACAGTAGTCATAATCCTTGAACTGCTCAGAAACCAATGCCCAAAGAGAAGCCCAAAACAGACTCACAATAATTTATAGATTCTGTAGAACTGAATGCCTTCATATTTCCATGGTATAACAGCACAATCATAAAGAACCAAACAAAGAAAATATTTAGAAAGGTAAACTCAATCACGGAATGCAAAATTAAAGCATAATATTTTTGTAGAATGCAAAAAACTATTTGTCCATAGTTTATCATTCACTGGCTCTTCCAATGTCCTTTTTTGTTCTATCATAGAAATATTGACTATATAGACGGTATTCAGACAGAGGGACCATACAGAGCTCACTATACGAATCATGACCATCAACACCAATTTGACTTTCACACCGACAGGGGCATCTGTGTATGCGGCAATCACTGACATAGACTCAGCAACAAACTTTCCTTGTAAAGACCAAATGCCTTTATCAGAACACAGTATACAGAAAACAATCATATATATATATATATATATTTGTTGCAATTAACAATATAATGAGAAATGTGATCAAACCTTTGGATCAAGCATAAGGCGAGCACCAAAGCACCCATGTCCAGCCACTCTTGGACTTGGACATCCACAACTGGTAAAACATAGAAGGTCAAATAAGGGGTCAAGGAAAAAAAATGAAAGTTAAGTAAATTTAGTGAATAAAAAGATAGGTAATAGCAAGTGCACAAACTTAAAATTGATCTCATCATATTTGTAAGGTTCAGCGAGCTCAGGTAGCTTTGGCCAGGTTTTCCAAATTATTTTCACCAATTTGAAGAACAATATGATGTTGTTCTGGAGAATATTCCAGGATCTGTCCTGATAAAAAGTCAAGCTATCAGTTGTCTCAATCCCAACTAATCAGATGCACAAAATATTGACAGTAACCGTTAATGGCAGTTCAGAAATTTAAATAAATAAATAAAAAGACAATTTTGAACTGTTACTTTGATTGTTAGCCCCACTCAACTCCAATTTTGAACTTTGGAACTCACAAAGTTGATCTAGTTTCTTCATTTGACTGAAATTGTTGAAAACAGAAGCAATCCACGCTTGAACTTTAATAAAAATAAATAATAAATAAAAGAAAAACCCACACAATTTAAGTGAGCAAAGTAATCTGACAAAGAGAGTTCTGTACGTAAATTGTAGATATCAACCAAAAAGATTATAGCTAATTAACAGGTCAAGAAGATGGTCGTTGGACTTCCAGGGGATGGAGGATTTTGCTCTATCTGTTTCGCATGAGAGCCCGCTTTAGCACGATCATCTGGGTTGGTAGCAGACAAAACTTCCACCTTTTCAAGTTTGACTTGTCTCTTAACCAAGTCTAAGTTCTGTTGAAGGACCTCAATCTCTCCAAATGGTAGCTTTAAGTCTAAGGCCTGAGCCCCAAGTTCAACTGCATCCTTCTTCTTTGACTTCAAGAAAGGCATACAAAGCTTTTGGGTTTGTCTAAAATCTTTACCCTGATTGAGAGAACTACTTTGCAATGCCTCCAATATGACACTGTCTGCAGCAAAACAACGAGTCTCTCTGTTGAAGTTATTCTGGAGTATCCTCAAGCACTCTACCTTCCATTCATCAAATTGTTCCTTAACATATATCAAGCCTATCACCTTCTTATTGGTCAAATTTGCCTTTTGCTTGTTGTACAGCTTGATCATTGAACCAATCAAGTCTTCCACATACTTTTTGGCACTCTGGAGGGTTAAGTCTGGAGCATCAGCTGCAGGCCAGCCTGCATTTACCACAAACCCATCCTTCTTCAAAAGCTCCCTCCAGACATATTCTGCATAATGTGGACAGATTGGAGCAATCAAACGTGTCTGTATATCCATAAAGCGCCACACCAAATCACGGTTCATTTCTTGGGAGCCACATGAAATCCAGTACCACTTCCTGGCAGCTTGAAGACCAACAAAGCCAGTAATAAGGGCCTCTCGGAACTTGCAAGCCTGGTAATTCTGTTCAGTCATCTTCACAGCAATATTCATCTCATTTGCAAAGACCATGTCAGCAAAAGTAGAAGGGGGACCTATTCTCAACTTGTCTGCACCCAATTGTTCTTCCATCCAGGAGATCTCTTTACTGAGATCTAGGATGGCCTTATTTGCAGTACTAGAAACAAAATTTGCATCATCAACACCATCACCAGCATCAGCCAAAGAGAACCGTGTGGCATCAGCAGAATATTCTGCAATTGCCTCACGCAATGTCATAAAGTTCCCTGTGGACTTGGACATCTTCATTGAATCGAGCATGAGGTGCCCATTGCATCTAAATCCACGAGGCCAGTGCTTCTTGGACATTATCGCTGTGTGGTTGTAAATGCAAAAGGTTAAATGATTCTGGATTAGATCCTTACCAGACACTCGAAGATCAAAAGGATACCAGTACTCAAACTCCTGCTTCATCTTATTCAGAATTAATTGTGACACCTCAGATGATTTTGGAAATGGACCATCACAGAAAATAAAATCCCAAACTTCATTGGTCATTTGCTCAGGTGTAACCCCAGATGTGCTGGAACCCCCATACATGTCTTCATTGTGCAACAAGTGAGCAATGGTGTAATAAGCCATGTAAATGGTGGAATCAGACAACGATTCAACCAAGTATTTTTCATCCCAGGGAATGCGTGTCCCAAGCCCAAATGATCGTGAACAAGCCCACTGATTCAACCAAGTCAATGTATGTTCAAATCCATGCCGTGTCATGTCAGAATAAAAGTTCATGTTGGATAAGCACTCCTGAGCCTGTTTTTTCCATTCTGCTTCGCCATATGTGATGTACCATTGCTCTGTACATGCCACAACACATTCATCACCCGACCTTGACACTACGCGCTTCTCAGGTTCACTATACATAATTGCATCACCTGCCTCTATCAGCTTGCTCCTTAACAGTGCTTTCGCCTCCTGAACTTTCCTTCCGTTGAATTCTCCCACAAGCATTGTTCCTTCTGTAAATCCTTTCAAATAGGTCAACCTCTTGGCTTCTGCTAGCTTCTCTCTGTCATTCTGGCTTTTGATTTTGAGATCTACACACACCTTTTCTGCAGCCTTATCTCCAAATTCGGGAATGTCAATGATTGGGATAATATCAAAAGGCATGACCCATTCATCCCTCACACCATATTTTGACCTGAAAGCTGGCTTCGATTTTAAATCATGCAAGGCCATAAAATCATCAGGAGCATCAGAAGGGACACTGGTCACAATCCCAGTACCTTTGTCTGTTAGGATTGTCAACATTGGAAGGGCGTAAATGATCTGATTGAGTGCAAGTGGCGATTTCAATGGAAGACCAATCAAATCATAACCAGTGAGATCAACCAAGCAAGTAGGCTTCTCAGGGACTCTAGAATACTCCTGATAGGCGAGGTTAAGTGCTGCTCTCTGAGTAAGAACAAATACATCAGTGTCGTTGATTTCAAAGGCTCCATACTTTCCATCGGGCAAAACCCATGCATTTGTTTGTCCATACATGGTTTCTGGTCTCAAAGTTGCTGCAGCAAGGAAAACTTTCCTCCCTTCCAATACTCCCAACTTAGCAGGAAAAGGTGCCACTACCTCCATTTTGATGATTGTGTATTCTTGGGGCTGAACTCCTTCACCAGTTGCCCTATCATGATCTGCACATGGCTGTCCATCCAATGGAGAGTAGATTGTGTAACGTTTATCTTTCACAATCTTACCTATTTCTTTCAATTTCCACATCTGCCACCTCACAAACTTATCAAAATATGGATTCAAGTCTGTAGTAACAAAGGAGCGGCTCCAGTCACATCCCAAGCCAAAAGCCTTTAGGTCTTCCACTGCCAATGGAGGGAAATAGTTCAACCACTTAGACGGTTCTTGGAATTCAGGTATCTCACTGTCAGAGAGGCCAAGACTACGCATAATTTGCCATTGGTATGCTTGTCCACTTGATTTTGATGCAGCCTTGGACTTCTTTCCCTTGAACTTATTATCTGAAGGTGCACCTGCTTTTTCATCTTCTGCTTCCTGCTGGTTCCCTTGCTCCTCTTCATCACTTTGGGGAAACACTGGCGGGTTCCCAAACTGTTTGATCTCTCTTGCAAGCTTATCAGCTGAAGCTTTGATGGGCATGCCAGTGCCGTGAAAAGCAAAAGGCAAGAGAACATTGGCACCTCTTAACCTATGATAACGTGCAGAAAACTCTAGCTTTGAGAGTGAGAATGCATGTCCAAGATGCAAAGAACCATTCATGTAAGGGAATGGGAAGTTTCCAAAGAACTTCTCCCCCAGTTCAGGAGGCTTTTCACAAGATTCAGCCCTGTAAACATCATGCTCTTTCCACAACATTTGAATCTTTACTTCATTGTCTCTGAGAAAATTTCTCTTAACTAAGCTCTTCTCAGCTTCAGCTTCCATGTCAGTGATCTTACAGGAACTGAAAAAATAAAAAGCAATGATTTCCATGAGCAAATCAGCTATTCCATGAGATTATTATCAAAATTTTAAAACATAAAAAATTATATGAACATATAAACAGCCCTCAAGTCATAAAGATTTACTACAGCCATGTTCTAATCAAATTAAACAAGTTTTTGTATGGTTGGTTCACACAATGCAGCATAACAACTCTGACTATTTATTTATTTAATTACATCAAATACTAATAAAGTAAAATCAATCCGGCTAAGCGCAGCATAAATTTATATAAATAAAACAAAAACTAGTTTTTATACGAACTCCATAGATGTATGTGATAAACATGGTTGGTTTCAATATTTTCCTTGTTTCATTAAACAATAAAAAATGGGGGAGAATAGAAAAGAAGATGCTGTGATTTTGCCAAGCTAAACCAGCATGACAGAAACTAATATTTAACTACAAAAATTAATGAATGAAGGATATAGTAGTGAATCTCAATATGAATTCAATAAAGAAGGTAGATAGATAGAGATACCGCTAAAGGCGAAGGCGGAGGAAGTAACGACGCAGGCCTGGTGAAGGGTTGGTTGAAGAGGCCACACCAGTCGAGTTAACAGAGTTCTCTCCCTTTTCAAAACCTGGATTTGAAATCAAAGGTTGAGAAATTGAAACAAAAGAGATTTCAGGGTTAGGGATTGGGGATGGAAGACTAGAATAGGGATACCTGGAATCGGAAGCAGCTAGGAATCTCTGCTTTGTGTGCTCTGTGAAGATTGATTACAACGGGAAAGAGCTTTCTCTTCTGCTAAACTCGTCTCCTCTTCTTTTGCTGTGTAATTGTAATTTCGGTGTTTTCTTTTCTCTACTTGCTCTTTTTGGTTTTCAAAAAAAAAAAAAAAAAAAATTTCGGTTTTTTTTCCTTTTTTATTTTGGAGGTTCGATCAGGGGCGTAGGGTTTAGGGTTTTAGACTGCTCAAATTCGGCCGTTAGAGTTTTGGTACGGTTCGGGTTGCCCGGGAAAAAAGGGAAACATCATATGTTTGTAGAATTTACGAAAGAGAGTTGTCAATATACACACTAATTTAAATTTAAAATTGTGAATTAATTAGAAAAATATATGTGCATATAACTTTTTATTTTTTATTTTTTTATATCTGCAAATATAAAGGGGAAATATGGTGCGGGAACATGAACGGGAATTTCTGATCTCGTTTAAAAACAAATATTTTTTGATATATAGGGAAGGGGGGTTGGACAAATTGCCGTTTTTTTTTCTTTCTTTTTTTTGTTTGTTTTGATTTTGACAAGATGATATTCTAAATTACTACATCACGGGGAAAATGGATCAAACTGAGGTGTAAGAGGACTGAGGCAATGCATTGATTAACTAGCTTAACTCACCTATACAGGTTGCACAAATTACCATTTTTTTATCCCTTAAACTGTATCTTTTGATTTTCGTGGCATAATGTTGTTGTCAATCTATTATCTAATTGGGTCATGCCTTAGAATTAGCACTTGTTATTCTTTATTTGACTAATGTGGATGGGAAATTCGAACTTGGGAGTTAGAAAATATTCCAACTCTGAAAATGGCATGTTTCATCTTAATAAGAAGAGGTATTCGATTAAAGCAGAGGTGGTTATGCTGAGAATTGAAAGGGGTAGTGTTAGCTCCATTTGGTGGCCCATAATTGCTTTTTGATTAACTTCATAGAGCATGTTCTTGCTTACAAAAATCATCAAAGACAACTAGAATGCTCAGATTAACATCTCATAGAAGCATTAGAGCAAACTATGTTTCTCCCCAAGAGAAGATGACTAGCACATAAGCAGGGCACCATTACATTTGGCTCAAACTAATTCAGCTTAAAACACAACAAATGATAGAGCTTCATCTGCGACAGATCTTAGCTGTGGGCATGGTAACACAAACTGAAGCAAATGCTTTCCTAGCTTCTCCGGGGGGGTACCCAGTTTTGGCCCATCGGCCAATGCAATCCCAGCAGCAGAGCAACTCCCATTCTTGTCCTCTTTCTTGGTGTCACTGTTTATCTTCACCTTTTGCTCTTCAGCTGCTCCTGCAGCCTTGGCCAACAAACGTCGGACGGGGCCGTGAATTGCCTATAGTAGTTTGTTTTCTTAAGGTTGAATTGAAACAAGTTAAAGAAGAGGAGCAATACAATACCACGCAACAATACAAGATTGGAGGGAAAGGGTATAATGAGCACACACATTATCTCTTATCCAAGAGGCAGGCGCAACAATTTCAGTTCTAATTTCTCATTTCACACCTAGCAAAGCCATTAGAAGGGAAAAAGAAAAGAAAAGAGAGATCCACCATTTAACTAAGAGCTATAGAAGTGGATATCAAATTGGCAGTATTTAGAAGTATAGAATTCAGATAAAAGATCAAGTTATACATGACAAAATTCCAAGGGCTCAACCAAGATCGCGTTTACAATGATTGCAAAAATAGCACATCATATATTTAAAAAATCAGTGTAACAGATTCGTGAAGTTAAGGGGTTCTCATTATAGAGGACATGTAGCACCCAAAATAAAAATTGCTAGTCACCATCCAGAAGATTTTTAAGATGGACTGACTGCTTCACAACAAAAAATTTCTGACTGTGCACTGACATATATTAGTACATATTGCTACATGGGATCAATCAGGTTAAATTCCAAAAATGTAAAGAATAGCCTAAACTTGATATTTTGAACAGAAGATACAGACTAGGCATATAGTAGTTCTTGCTCCCTTGATTCGTACGCTGGAGGCAGCAAAGTATGAATATTGGCAAAAGGATCTTCACCTCCTGATGATGGCTCTCCAATAGGTGAATCTAGAACATGGTCAGGAATTGCCACAAGCGTTTCATCAAAAAATGATTTCATAGTCTGCAAGGTTCAAGAGCTGTCTCAGAAACTTGAGCAATTTTGAAAAGAGAAAATAAGACGAGTCCGGGAAGATCAGAGGAAAAAGCTACCAGAAAAGAATGAATGACAGTAATGAATGCCATTGAGGTACAATCAAGACAACTTAAGTTATTGTGGAATTACTGTATTATCCTTTCTTCTCATAACCTTCATCATGTTTGTTATGCTTGCTGTAAAAAGATTGCTCTCTATACAGCTCCTTCTCAAAATAGAAAAGAGGATCTCTTCTATACTTCGTTATGACATGTTGATAAATGTCAACCAAAAACACCAATACTGATCTTGTTAGGTAAAATCAATATATTATATACTAGATGACATTTCATTTGTGCTGCACTTTTATTGATTATTATTGAGTACAACCTACATATCACAAAGGCAATATGATCGGGTTTGGAGATTGCTTTTAAAATCTTCTTAAAACACTTTATCAATATACATTGCCAATGATGCAGCATTGAATAGCTAGGAGGGTTTGGAGAAAGGCTGGGTTTTTATCCTAGCAGAGCTTCAATTAGAGAGTTAGAGACATGTATCATGTATAATAGTATAACATAGACTGCTCCCCTAAAAAGATTCTCAAAGAATGCAGCATAAAGACACATTAATGACGTAATGTTGTGTTTATGGGGACTCGTTATTTCCTCCACACACTCATGCCAATCAAACCTCTGCAATAAATATTTATCCAAACCGAATTCTGATGATGTTGGCTGCTTACATATGTATTTTTTAATAAGAAAAATGTAGTGTGCTGTTTCTTTGATTGACATTAACTTTAAAAACATTTCAAGCTGAGAAGCATTATTCATAAAAACTTAGGCATGAAAGTGGAAGCAAATAATGAAGACGATTGCTGCCTTGACCAGAACTAATGAAAATGGTTGATAGTTTACATGGGGTGGAAAGTGAAAGCAAATTATGTTAATGAATATTGGGTTTTTCCCCGTTTTGTGTGTGTGTGTGTGTGTGTGTGATTAGAACTTTAAGGTCCTGTGTTTGGGAAACTTCCCTTAAATTTTGATAATAGATTAAATACTAAGAATGGAACTATATAGGTGTAAAATGATGATAATAATACCGTGCAATGCAGGAAAGCAGCATCAGCTTTGCGCTTCCACACACCATTCCCAGGTTCTGAATGGAAGAGACCAAGCAAAGGCTGCAGCAGAACAAAACGGGGATAATGTAACTGAACCAATAGTAATTATGGTAGGAGAAACTGAGGTCATAACAGACTAGCTTAAGATATTGTACCCCAGTCAACCAAAAAATAAGTGGTGAAAGACGGAAAGATAGAGACAACAGGATAACTTGGCATTTCATGGATTGATCCATATTGCAAAAGTATTTAGACCTATTTTCATAATCACATATCCCAGAGTAGACCCATAAGGTAACAACTACATTGAACAAGGCTGTCAGAATGAGTCAGATGACCAACTCATGTCAAAATTCATAATCCATGATGCGCTTCCGGCATGACAGGATCAATGCAACATAGCCTTCAGATATGGGGAGAGTGACACATGAAAAGAGACCCATGTTATTGAATGCAAAATGACGTCAACAAAAAATCAGTTGACAGCTTCCCAATTTTTGTTCTTTCTATTTTTTCTTTAGAAAGAAGTCATTTATGACTCATGAAAATATGGCAAACAATAGCATAAAATTGTCAGCTCCACGTTTTAGAGGTTGCAGAAAAAACGGTTCTTGGCATACTCTATTCCTTCTTCTATGACTTGTAATATATAAGGGTATGTGGCACATTTTCCAGACTGCAACATAATATCATGAGGATGATAGTGTAACCCACCCTTGCCACATCTCGCATGGTTGGTTTGCGTCCATATTTTCCCACAGCAGAATCACCATACACTTGAAACTTCTCAAGTATCTAAAAGTGGAGAAAAAAAAAGGAAAGAAAATATGAGCTGTAGGTAAAACAAAAAATACACCCATTTCACAGCCAAGTTTGCAACTGAACCTGACGCCTTGTTACACCACTGCTTGGTGCACCATAAATGGCAGTATCAACATGTCCCAAAGTATGCCAGGGCCTGAGGAAAATGTACAACAGTTGTCAGTTAACTTTTGAGTCACAAAGTAGTAGCATTACAATAGAGAGGATTATCAGAAATCCAAATATTTAGAAATTAAAGTTAAATAGAATATCCAAACTCAAACTTATGGGGACATTTTGATATGGTGTAATTATTAAAGCTAGTCGTTAGTTAGTCTTATACAAGTTTTGACCTTTTTTCCAGTAACTTTCCTCTTTCGCACATGCTAGACTCGCATTTGGTTCTAAGGTAGTGTACAGACTTACATGTGAAGCAAGAAGTTATGAGCTTTAATATTGTGTGGAAAACATGTCTTCTTATCTTGGACAACACTCTTCAAGCAGAAAGCTTAACTGAAGAGGTTTCATTCTCCCCACCTTCTGACACTCCATACTCAAATTTCATTCTTTAAAGTTGTACCCTGTCTACTTAATCCCTTGCACATGAAGTGCATTTGGTTCTTTCAAATTTTTGTTCTTTGATAGGAAACAAAAACTATATTGAAAGAATTCTAGTTTCATTTGAAAAGCTAGAATTACATGTGCACCCAGACACAAAAAATGAAACAGAAGCAGATAATCATCCGAGAGGATAAGACTAAGACTCGAACTACATATAACCAACTTAAAGGTTCTTGCAACAATAGGCATACCGAAAAGGAAAAGAAAATCCAAATTGTGAGTATTTACATACTTTTGAAATGCAGCACGTCCAACCATTACACCATGAGCTCCTGCCCTTCTAGCTGCATTGACCTAAAATCAGAGGGAGGAAAAAGACATGAGAAATAGGCGAATGGAATCAACATAAAGTACCTGTATCAATTAACATAAAGGACAAGCTACAGCTTTGTTGTATGCATTCCCAAGTCATGTTGGAAACCAGAATGAAATGCTAAACAACTACTCAGTTCATATATAATCACAAAATTAAAATATGCAAAAATTATCATATATAAGCATCAAGATAGTAACTTTAAAATTCAGCAAATATAATGACAGAAAGGTTCAGAAAATACAATTTTGGGATAACCTTTCTCAACAATAAGGAAATGTTAGCACAGACACAAAAGTCCAAGTTCCAACTGATGTACCATTGGACTGAGGGAAATTTTCATAAAAAAGAAAAAATACAACAAAGAATTGAACAAAATATAGCTAGAAAAATGATATCCTCTGAAGGCCAAAATAACAGTTCAATCAACAAGGTTCACCTCATCAACAGTGTTTATGCCCCCATTTATCGTAAATCTTAAGTCTGGAAAGTCACGCAAAAGGCCATAAAAGTACTCGTATCTGCAAAAAAGTAAGATGCGGTTAATAATAAGAAGCAGCATGTTAGCTGTGAATGTGATCTACATATGTATACAAATATCTAAGCATTTTTAGGATAGCAATTTTGGGATAAGCATACCAGTATAACATTTCTCTAATAAACATAGGTCAGCTGATTTAATTATAAGTTGACAAAATATGAAATCACACAATACATACTTAAGAGGTGGAATACTTCGATTTTCAGCTGGGCTAATTCCATTGAGTAGTGCCTTCCGTGAATGTATTATGAAATGCCTAGTTGGTGATTGAGAAGAAACCTTGTAAATAAAGTCACCTGAAAAGCAGACAGGTGGTGGCACAATAAAATAAGGACGCAACTCCTGAAACTAACATAACCATAGCTACAGTCTTTCAAATTCAGATAAGCAACAATATAGAATTATATTTGCTCAGCAACAAGCATTAAACCAATAAATAATGTTCTACAGTTATCATTCAACAGGCATATAAAACAAAAGTGTGGAAAGAGTGTACGCAACAAAATATTGCAATATGCAGTTCCTGTTAACTTTTACTACAAAGCTATATTTTCTTTCCTGCTTCTGTTTCTGACTGCTCCAAAATAGTAATACAATGCTTCCCTATATAGGAAAATCTAAAAAGCTCTTGCATTTACCTTATCTCTCTAATTTTCATACTCACTTTTCAGTTTGCTAACTATCCATCCACGTACACTACATTTGACTGTTAAATTTGTGTTTAACATTGTTTTTATCCATACAAAATTAAAGCATAATATATTTGTAAGATGCAAAAACCTATTTGTCCATAGTTTATCATTCACTGGCTCTTCCAATTTCCTTTTCTTTTCTATCATAAGAAATATTGAAAAGTTTGTTGACTATATAGATAAAATATTTGGACAAAAGGACCTTACAGAGCTCATTATATGAATCGTGATCATCAACACCAATTCGACACTTAACACTGACAGGGGCATCTGTGTGCGCAGCAATCACTGACATAGCCTCAGCAACAAACTTTCCTTGTAAAGACCAAATGTCTTTATCAGAACACAGAGCACAGAAAACAAACATATATATATATATATATATATTGCAATTAACAATATAATGAGAAATGTTATCAAACCTTTGGATCAAGCATAAGGCGAGCACCAAAGCACCCATGTCCAGCTACTCTTGGACTCGGACATCCACAACTGGTAAAACATAGAAGGCCACGTAAGGGGTCAAGGAAAAAGAAAAAGAAAGTGAAGGAAATTTGGTGAATAAAAAGATAGGTAATAGTAAGTGCACAAACTTAAAATTGATCTCATCGTATTTGTAAGGTTCAGCAAGCTCAGTCGCTTTGGCTAGGTTTTCCAAATTATTCCCGCCAATTTGAAGAACAATAGGATGTTGTTCTGGAGAATATTCCAAGAATCTGTCCTGATAAAGAGTCACACTATCAGTTGTCTCAATCCCAACTAATCAGATGCACAAAAGATTCAAGAGATGACAGTAACTGTTAATGGCAGTTCAGAGATTTAAATAAATAAATAAAAAACAAACAGAACTTTAATTCGCATTCCAGCCAGCTACCCTTCAGAAAATAACACATATACTAAATTGAAGAAGATGGAAATACAAAGGAAAGAATATATAAAAATCTATACATTCTTTTGTGATATGTGTACGCTCAAGGGACAAAAGCATTAAAATTGAAATTCCAAACAGTTCCATCATTGTGTATACATTACCACCCAGGCCACTCAACATCAACCCGTACCTACAAAAAAACATTTTAAGAATTCTACATGGGACATTTAGCCCCACTCAACTCCAATTTTGAACTTTGAAACTCACAAAGTTTCTCTAGTTTGTCCATTTTGTCTGAAATTGTTGAAAACTTGAAACCGCCACAATCAAAAAATTTCCAGCCATAATTACCTATCTAAGGTGGTAGGCTCACTAATTAAGAGTTCCCTTTTTAGTCTCCTGGCCTACTCTATCTCTCTTTTCTTCCTATCCCAGGGTCAGTCAGTACACAAGTGGTTTGAAAAAATTAAAGGGATTTATTTCAACTAAACACATGGAAGATATTTGTCAAACTTTTCCTTCTATTGGATGACGATCAATCAAAAAGACGCCAAATGGTATCTTGTGAAAATAAACTTCACATTTTCCACCTAATTATGTTATTGGTTGTAACTATTTGAAAGCTTTTCGATTCTGAGGTGACATTTCACAATTCTTTCTAGTTTGATACAAAATGAAGTCCAATATCTCACCTGCGGCTACCAAAAGCAATTCTAGCAGTGTATTTTCCTAGGGAAAAGAGCAAACAGAAAAAAGAGAAGCCTACTACATACACAGTACATAAAACAATAAGCCTCCTGGTCCTGCCCCCAAGTTAGACTTGAACAGAAAATACGGTTAGATAAATATGGCTTACCAGATTGTCCTTTTGATAGACAATTGTTTCAGCAGCAAGCATCTCAGTGTAGAGCCATGCGTTCTTTGAAATGAGCCTGGCCAGAGTCCTGTAGTGATTATCAGTCCATTCCATCATAGGAGCAACACTGCAAATTTGAAAACCAAACAACCCAATTCCACAGAAATCAGCAGCAATTACAAATTGAATGCAATAATAAAGATAATAAATTCAAATAAACTGAAAAGTAGAGAGAGAGAGAGAGAGAGAGAGAGAGAGAGAGAGAGAGAGAGAGAGAGAAGAACCTAAACCACGGAGGAGGATAGTGGGCATGGCGGTGGGTCCGGAGGGAAGAAACCATTGCGGCTTGTGTGCTTAGTAGTTGATGGGTTTGAGTGGAAGAAGAAGTGGATGTGGAATTGGATGCGGTTGTTGAAGAAGTACCCTGAAATATATTAAATGACAATTTGCGACGGTTTTTGTGAAGAAAAACAGAATGAATAGGAGTAACTGAGGAATATGAATATGATGACGTTGCTAACTTCATTTTTTTCGCTCTATTAATTAACTCACGTTCACAGAACCACAGCCTCCTCCTGCTTGACCTAGTTGAGCTTACACTCTGGCTTCCATGAACTCGGGCGGGAGGCTGATAGCTTGATAGGGCACTTCTGGTTGAGGAAGACAACAAGGACCAAAGGAAAAGGAGAGGTTGGTATCTATTGGACTTGGCGTGGAGAATATTGATTGTCATGGCAAAAGTAGCCCAGCCCAGTCTTCAATGGACTTATGAAAAGGGTATTCTTTAAAGGCCCAATCCAAAAACCCGATAATTCTAGCAGTTCTTTTTTTTTGGGCAGTAGAGTGAAGAGAAAAACTTGCATGTCCTGGTTTATATCGCATCTCTCTCGTCATGTGACAAAAACACCACGGTTTATATCCTGGACTCATGTCCCATTTTGATCTTCACGCAATCTGATTAATCACATTCACTTTGCTGTATATTTTATAATGAGCAGTTTATAGGCATTCATTAATGTGACACATAACATGATAGATATTTACAGGTTATAAATGAATGAGGTCTGCTTTAGGAATTTTCAGCCATTTTGGAAAGGAATACAATTCTCATTAAGAAAACAAAACAAAAAACAATAACCATGGGTGTCCAAGACAAGTGTTAGGGTGTCTATAGAATCCATTGTTGAAAGGATCAGAGCCCAAAGCATCTGGTGGCCCATGCTTTGCATGCCATCCAGCTCCACAGACAGATATGAGTGGTGGAGAAATAACTGCTAATAACAGTTTCTTGCGAACTCCATCAAACTGCTCTGCTACTATACTTCCATGGCGAGCTTCAGCTTCACCACCAGAATCAGAACCCCTACGCTTCAATCTCACAAACCCATCTCCAAGTTCATCTCTCGCACTAAACCCATCAAAATCCCATGTAATCTCTCCACCAATCCTTCAAAAAACAGACCAAAGCTGCTCTGTCTTCGTGCAAATTCTGTGTCATCAGAAAGCTCAGTTTCAACAACACAAGATCAAGTAGACGAAGCAATTGATGAAGAAGACGATGACCCAACTGCTGAAATGAGCTATCTTGACCCGGAAACCGACCCGGAGAGCATTTCGGAGTGGGAGCTCGATTTCTGCTCCAGACCCATTTTGGATATCAGGGGAAAGAAGGTTTGGGAACTTGTAGTTTGTGATGAATCTCTTTCTCTGCAGCACACCAAGTACTTCCCCAACAATGTCATCAACAGCATTACTTTGAAGGATGCTATTGTGACCGTTAGTGAAGAATTAGGGGTCCCTCTCCCAGATAAAATCCGCTACTTCAGGTAAAATTTGTTTTTGCATTAAGTGTGCTCTCTTGGATTGTGCATGCTTGAAACCATGTCACTTGGGAATGGTTCAATTCGTATGATTGCTTTTTGTTCAATGGATTATAGGTCACAGATGCAGACAATTATAACAAAAGCGTGCAACGAGCTTGGTATAAAACCCATTCCCAGTAAACGGGTTAGTATGTTTTTTCCTTATCAATTGTATAATTTCCGGAACTTGTATGGATAGCGAAAGCATTTTTTCAATCACACAACTAAGTCTGAGGAAATTTTTACTAATCAAGTAACTTAAGAAAGTTCAGCTGATAATAGCCTAGAGAATTTAAAGGGGTACAGAGTTGAAGGTTCTTCTTTATTCTTTTGTTTTGTTTTGAAATGCTCAAATACACTTGTTATTTCCTTCTCCGCTAGAGAAAGATACTGAAGATTTGCATGAATTTTATCTGGTGATTGGTACGTAACATAATCATCTATTGGCATTTAGCCAGCTCTCTCTTTTGGAAAAATTGATGTTGATTGTTTTCTTTTGTTTAAAAACTATCACCAGAAAGAAATGCCCTTGTATTGTGTTGATGTATGTTGGACTACATTAGTGGTAAGACTTATCTGTGCTTAACACTCTTGCTCAGCGGTCTAAGTAGATATTTTCGTGAACTCTAATGTAGGCTCTATAATGATGGAGCATGAGAATGGGGGATGAGGTTAAATGTAGTAAGCATTAGATAAATTTAGTATATGTTTGTCTCACTGAGAGTGTCCATTCTCCTTGTGGAGGCTCTATTCTTCTAGTTTCTCTTCCGTTTTGCATCACTTGTTGACATGGATTTTTAATCCAATCCCAAGTAGTTGAAATTCCTTAATCCAAGTATTTCGTTCTACTTAATGATATAAAGCACAGATTATTACGATGATTGTTCACACCTTTTTTGGAACCTATGTTAACAAGACACTACAACGGACGTTCAAATCATATGTAACTTTCAAATGTGGTGATACTACAACACAGATGCAGAACTTGCATGTCTGCAGAACTAGTGTACATGAGTATAGTAATGGAGCTTGCTTTGGTTTTCTGGTAAAACTGCTATGCTCTGTCTACTTATTGTCTTGGAACTTTGCTTCTTTCAGTGTCTCTCGTTGCTTTTATGGTTGGAAGAACGCTACGAGACTGTATACACACGCCATCCTGGTTTCCAGAAAGGATCTAAGCCACTCCTTGCAGTAGATAACCCATTCCCAATGGAACTTCCAGAAAATCTTGTTGGGGAGAAATGGGCCTTTGTCCAATTGCCCTTTTCAGGTAAAGGACTTGCTAATGAAGATTTCTGAGTCTTGACAGATGTAACAACTCACATCCTGTCACCTGCCTTAACCACCCAATATTTCTTTTTAACATCTCCTGTTACCACACTAATTCTAGCTCCTGTTTTCAGCTGTTCAAGAGGAAATCTCATCCTTGGACACAAACCTCGTGTTTGGGGCAAGTCTAGATTTGGATTTATTGGGGATTGAAATTGATGACAAGACGTTGATTCCAGGATTGGCTGTTGCATCTTCACGTGCTAAACCACTAGCAGGTGTATATTCTCTCCAATACCATCTTCTGGTCTGTTTATAACATGGCAATTTCTTTCTCCTTATGATTATTCAATACACTGCGAATATCTATATAGATGTTCTGTTCTGGGTACAGAAAGCATCACATGCTAATAGCTAAACCGTTGATCGAGTGGATTCTAATTTGAACATGTGGTCCAGAATGTTAATGTATACCATGTCAGGTTCTTTGACTAGATAACACTATCCTTCAAGGGATATTGTGATACGTTCTCCTTGAATCTGCTCTCTTATTCCTGTTGTGTCTTATACAATTTTCTGGTGTTCCTGTAACCGTAAGAGATCATAATCACATCTTTCTATAAACTGTTGCAGCTTGGATGAATGGGTTGGAAGTTTGTTCAATTGAAGCCGATTTGTCACGGGCTCGCTTGATTCTTTCTGTTGGAATTTCCGGGCGATATATTTATGCTACCTACAACAAAACTCCTGAAACAACAAGTGAAGCTGAAGCTTGGGAAGCAGCAAAGAAGGAATGTGGAGGTTTGCACTTCCTTGCAATCCAGGGGGACTTGGATTCGGATGATTGTGTTGGATTTTGGCTTCTACTGGACTTGCCACCTCCACCTGTATAGAGTGTAATCAGTCCAGACAAATTTTAAAAAGAAGTTACTTTTACACATTAATTTCTCAGTTATATAGCTTCATGCTTTCTAGTTGCAGAAATGATTGCAAATATTCCTTTAGAGCTGAGTTTTCTCATTAAGGTTTTTTGCCCTTCTTGATTTTTATGACTTGGTCTCAGATCACATATGCATCATTCTATTTCTTAGAAAAGCAGAAAACGGGAAATCAAGCTCATTATCCGGGCTCTGTATGTGGTGGTGGGTATGAGGTTCGGGGCTCTTAAATTTAATTCAATGTATGATGTTGACCCCTCAAAAGCTATGAAAAAACAAAACATGGATCTGGTAAGGGTGCGGAGCTGCAGCTTTTAGGCGATGGGTTTGGTGTTGTTGCGGGAGGGATGAAAGTGGTGGGAGGGAGGGGTGGTCAGCGGAGAGTAGGGCCTGGGGGGGAGAGAGAGAGAAGAGAGGGTTGTTTTAGCATTGAGTTACCTGTAATTGATTAAAAAAGAGTCAAAAAGCTGCTTTTGATTCATGTAGTTTACCACTTTCACTCTTTTGTTTCCGTCGTTTTAATTTGGTTAATTTCAATTTGGTCAATTTCGCGTTTCAATTCGAAGAATCCTCAATTATGTCAAATTTTTTTGGTCCCTCCATCAACCCCATCCCACCCACCCTCTGCACCAGATCTCAACGCGAGTCGGCGATGACGAAGACGATCCGTCCGTTATCTGACTGGGTGTCACGCAGTCAGACTTCGGAAGCGGGAACATAACTAGAAGCGCGAGCGCCCAAGACAACGATGCGGTGCTCAGTGACACCGAGGGCGACAATCCAGTGCCTGTCACGATTAAGGCTCCATCGCCAGATGAAATCTCCGCGGAGGCTTTGTAGTAGAGGGATGAGATTCCGAAGCAATTAGACGAGGTGGTGAAGGAGGGAGACGGTTTGAGGTCTGTGAGGAATCGATAAGATAACGGGAAAAGTTAGTAATTTTAAGAATTTTGGGGTGGGGGTTTGTTACTCTCTCTCTCTCTTTCTCTAACTCGGTGTGTGTTTGTTACTAAATCTGAGGGCTCTGTAAATTCTGAATTTTGGGGTAGGTGGGGGTGGAGAGGTGGGGTGGCGGTGATGGCTGTGAGGGCGCAGGGTGGTAGAAGAAGAGATTTTTTTTTACAAATTTATAAATAAACCCAATTCTAGACATGTATTTATAAAAAAACCCAAGCACTATTTAAACATAGAAACACACCCAAAATCAACTCCAAAGTCAACTTTTTGGGTGTGTTTATAAATGGGTTTTGAGTGTGTGTAATGATAGGTTTTGGGTGTGTTTATAAAGTGTTTTGGGTGTTGGGTTTTTTTTATAATTTCAACCTCCATTTTGGGTGTTTTAGTGAAACTCCCTTTTTTTTTCCCCCTAATTAAACATATTAATTGATTTTTTTGTTGTTGCGAGAGGTAGGGAGAGTTTTTGTTTTTGTTTTTAATAGGTTGTTGACCGAATTGCTCATCTACAACTAACAGAAGTTAATTCTTTTTTTATTTACAGAAATTGTTGCTTCAAATTGAAACTATATGAACAAAATTGACAAAATTGAAACGACAGATATCAAAATGATAAAAGTGGCAAATTATAGGGACCAAAAATGACTATATGTATTTTACCGAGTCTTCTTCTTCTTCTCTAACTGGTATCTCAATGCTCTATTTTCTTTGATGACTAAGATGAATGAATTTTGTTTACAATAAAATGAAATCTTATGCTTTGATTAAAAAATCTACAATTCTCACCAAGCTAGAGACCCTGAAAGAAGAATCCACAAAACAGCACACAATCCCTCATTTCAACATTACTTAAATTCACACACAGGCATGCACAGAGTTCTTTTTCTAAACATTTCTACTCAACTTGCGAACTATTTCAATAACAAAAAGCTGAAGATTTAGTAGATGAAACGCACCAATTCATTTCCCAAAATTAGAAAACAATACAATAAATCCATGAAAATGAAAAGTAATCTATAAATTAGTAAAAAGGTCCCATTTGAGATGATGGATTCATATTTTCCTCAACATGAACACTCTAAATATTTCTCATAATTATCAAATTGACCAACTCACAATTCTCAAATTCCAATTTGATTGCTTATTTATGAATTTCCAATCCCAATACCTTAAATCCTTCACAAAAGCCAAAATGAACAAGCAATACAGAGATAATAACATACGGGCAATAGGAATCGGAGAAGATGGCAATCTTGTTGAGTAGATAACGTTTTGTACGAACGCTGAAGGCGAAGTCGAATCTTCCACGACGATGACGTTTCTCAACAATATTAGCGCCGCCGCCGCCGCTGCCGTGAACGCAGCACCACCCAACAACTCTAACGCATCTTCCCACGACGACACAACAATTGCAGGTCCGAAAGGCCGACACAGCTCTGAGATGATTCAAGCGAGTTTGACCCGTCCTCTGCCACCGGTTTTCGCCGTTGAGACTATCCAGCTCCACAATACAGAGGAGTAGGACGAGCGACAATTCAGAGCAAGTTGAAGAACGAGCGCGTGTAAAAAACGTCACGTACCTATCATGTGAGTGTCTGTACCGGTACAGCTGATGCACCACAGAAGGACTCTCCACTAGCCCCATGCATGAGATCCCTATACTAAACACTATCTATAAATTTTAAGTTTTGTAATCAAAATTGGAACGCTCCTCAAAACAACATGAGATCCTAAGAAATCAACAAGGTTGAATCTTCTTTTTCTCAGGCAAGCTATTTTGAGTCTAACGTGCCAGCTTTTCTTACAACTTGAAAAACTTTGCGATCCTGCAGAGGCACAGTTGACAATAACAAGTTACGACACAAATGATAATTTTGGAAAATTACAAGAGAAATTCACGATGCCATAATATCAAAGAACCTAAAAGTGACCTGGTACACAGTACACTACAAAAAGTTCACAGGTGTAGGCCACGTTTGTTGCCTAAGATTGGATTGGATACCTTATTAGATTCAAGGTATGTTGAAATAAGAAATGATGGTAGAGCTGAAGGATTTTTCATCATGTGGTAAGTTATAAGGTTTTCATCATGACGGTAGTTTCTTCCTTCAACATATATACCTTGAATCTAGTGAGTTATCCAATCCAATCAAATCCTAGGCACCAAACATAGCCACACAGTAATAACAAAAGGTCCCAAATCAGAACAAAGATCAGTGGCCAATGAATTTCACATACAGTTGGCTAGTTATTATTCTTTCAGCTTTCTTAATTAAACAACTACATGGCATAAAAAAATACGGAATAGAGCAAGAGATGAGAAATGTCAGGTACTAACTGTTATTGTTAGACACCAAATTAGGTAGATAGTCCAAACATATAAACTGTTCAAAGGACTAACTTTCTCAAAATCAGCTGAAAATTGGTTAAGGGAGAGTTATGAATCAATAAAGCTAATTTCTTACTTTTTCATTGCTGCGGATAGTAGTCCTTTAGTTTTAGTTCCAGGGGGCGTGCTGTCAACATCACCAGCAGCTAGAAGTCCAGGGGTACTGTCAGCATGACCAGCACCTGAAATTGGATTCGTTGCGAATCCTCGTCGAATACTAGCCTCTGGAGGCTGAATAGACATGTTCAAGATATACAAAACCCAGAAAAGAATTAAAAAAGGGCTACAAGATGTTATAGAAAAGAAATGTTGAATCATAACATATGCAAAGTAAATCATTATTCTCACAAATATGATAATTATTCGGAACATCATTTGGAGACTAGAAGTAAACAACAAGCGCAAACAAGTAATAATAGAAAAAATTTGTAGAACCAGGAATACAAGTATACAAGGCAGGCAGGCAAGTAATTATTCAGAATATTAGTCCAAGCACAACTACATCTTTCTTGGAGACACCAAGTAAAACTGAGAGAACAATAATGCACCTTATAGATTACATAATGTAGACAATGAATATCACCTTTATTTGTTCTTTTGGTTCCATATACAAAACTGAGTTAAGAAACCACGCAAGATATAAAAAAGAAGAAGGAAAGAATGTGTGTGAAAACTCACCAGTATTGAAGAAGACCGAGTGTCGCTTGAAGCTCTGGGGGGGCGCCCAAGGCTGTGACATTGAAGAAAATGTAGAAATGAGAAGACAAAAGACTGGTAACCTAGGGTTCTATCTTCATGAGCTTTTCTTTAATGCACATGAGTTGCGTATGAGTTACTTCAGCCATTAGTCCAACAATCCTAAAACCCAACTTCAACTGCACTCTCATCACCTTCTTATAGCTGAAGTAACTCATGTGCCTTTAGCTGCAACTAGCTCACGTGCATGAGAGAAAACCTCCTCTACTCTGCTTATACAGAGGAAATAGTTTAACACTAGAATTATTTTCTTGATAAAGCCAAAGGAAGAGACACAATAGGAGAAATATAATCTGTTGTTGATATCCAAAATTCATGCACATATTGCTGTTGGATATACCGCAAAGATACAGAAACCATCAAACACCTAATTAACAGAAACAAAACAGAAAGCATATGAATACCAAAGACCTATGAAGTAAATACTTCTGCAAACACCAATGACGCATGTTTTCAGAAGGAAACGGAAAATGATAAAAAGCTCAATCTCAAAACTGCAACAGTATGATTGTCTGATCTAGCTAATCAGTGGCCTCCCTTTAAGCTTCAGCTTTAGATAAATCGTATCAAAATTGTTTCAGCATTTAACTATGTATGTATATGCAATGTTGAATGTCGAATGTTGGGTGGTGTAAACTAGTGGAACTTAAGTTTGACAGGATGCCTTTAAGGCATTTCATTAAACAGGTTCTCCCCCTCTTATATGTGGCTCCGTCATTGACAGTCACTTGTAAGTAAAGCAACTCATTATTGCTGAAATTCCAAAAAAAGACAAAATGCTCAAACACCTAAATTTCTCAAAACCAACTAACAGTTGATTGACAATGCATTAAAGAAAACATGATGAATCAACAGATATACAGATAAGAACAGTTGATTGAATTACTAAATCAGAAAATAATAATAATAATAATAAGTTCATACCCTTTGTTATTCTTATTGCCCTGACATGGGCTTCGGTGTATGGTTTGTGGGCCTCTTTTGCTCGAAATTGAAAACGGGGCGAAGCCATCCCCAATTTCAGAATCAATAGGGCACACCATATTTTCTGCTTCACGCGAAAGAAAGAAGAAATAATTGAGGTATTCAATTAAGACTTTTAAATGATATAAATAAGTCTTGTGGTATTCCATTAGGACTATTATGATTTTTAAAAAGTGAGTATCCAAATCTAGTGGTATTCAATCAAGACTTCAAACATTTAAATCCAAAATCTTGCTAATTTCGAAGGATTTTTTAAAATGTGGAATTGAGCAGGATTTTGTAGTGGGAGGCATAAATACCAAACCCTGTCTCAAATCCCACCCTAACCCATAAGATTTTTGTATGAGCTTCGGTGAATGGTAACTAGCCCTCTATGGCTAGATATTGAAAATGGGGCGAAACCTTCCCCAATTTCAGAATGAACAGGAATCACCATATTTGTTGCTACATGCAAAAGGAAGAAGAAACAACTGAGGTATTCAATTAAGACTTTTAAATGATCTAAATAAGTCTTGTGGTATTCCAATAAGAATATTAGAATTTTTTAAAAAAGAGTATCCAAATCTAGTGATATTCAATCAAGACTTCAAACATTTAAAAAATATTTTTATGGTATCAAACCCTATCTCAAATCTCACTCTAACCCATAAGATTTTTCACTTGGGATTTTTTTTAACTCTGTTGGAAAAGATGAACAGAGGGCATAGTGATTGCTCTCAGATTAACTTATCCAAAAATTGATCAAACCGCAAAGTGGTGAACAATGAACAAGAAATTGCAGATACCTACCGAACCGATAGAAGCACTGCGACAAAGAGAGATATGGAGAGGGTGCAAGCAAGCAGGGCAGAGGTGTGGGAGTTGGCTATACGCAGGTAACGTGCTAAGGAGACCACCTATTTATACCATATTTGTGTACCATATGATGTGGTTGTGGCTGTTGAGTTGGCTATGTCACATCATTAAAGGAGTTTTAAACATTTTTTGTTTTTAATTATTTTTTTCACCCTTCACTTTACAGAAACAAAAGCACGTGAGAAACAAAGTATCTTCAACTGGTTCTTCGCCTAACTCCTCCCCTTCCACCTCCCTTATCTTCTCCCAAGCACGTGAGAAACAAGATGATGGGCTTCAAACGTGCTACTTTTGTTAAAGAAATGGAAGAAGAGAAGTCTTTATTTTTGAATTGCAAAAACTACTAAATCAATCGTATAAAAATAAAAAGAAAAAAACTAGTAAAAATCAAGTGAATTGGAACTTTGCCAAAACTACTAAAAATCAAGTGAGAGAGAGGCTAGACTAATTCATGGCTTTTGGGGCTAGTTCAGTGGGCCAGGGGAAGCGATAAAATGACCTTGCTAACAACTGGTTTTGGTAATATGGGAACAAGATTTGAAACAGAAAAAATATGATGAGAAAGATCATCAGGAGAAAGGCGATGCCAACTTTCCAGAATCAGATGAAAAAGAGAAAGAAGAGAGTACTAAAAACCAACCCATTTAAATTTTCACGTAATCCGGTCTCCACATGCAAAGAGAAAGAGAAAGTCCCTCGCATGCATGTTGACAACGGCAGTTCACGGTGGTCATTGCGATGCGGGCCTGTGTGTCTCATATCTAGCCGATACTGTTGCATTTTCCACCCACAAAACTCGGCAAGGCAGGAAGAGAAAAACCAACAAAGATTTGAAGATTTGAAGAAGAAGAAGAAAGCAAAACAAACATAGCATCTGTAGACAACTTACAGATGCAAGTAGTAGTAAACAAAGAGAAAGTCCCCCGCATGCATGTTGACAATGGCAGTTCACGGTGGTCATTGCGATGCGGGCCTCTGTGTGTCTCATATCTAGCCGATACTGCTGCATTTTCCACCCACAAAATTCGGCAAGGCAGGAAGAGAAAAACCAACAGAGATTTGAAGATTTGAAGATTTGAAGAAGAAGAAGAAAGCAAAACAAAACATAGCATCTGTAGACAGCTTACAGATGCAAGTAGTGGTAAACAATGCCAATGAGTTGGGTGCAATACAATAAACAAAGGAAATTGCAAAAGCAGGCCAGCATCGCGGCTCTTTGTCGTGTCTTTATATCGACAGTATGATGTGCACTCCTTATTGTTTTATACGACATCACTTTCTTTTTACTTTTTAAAATCGTGCAATTGGATTCTCATCTTTGGCATCTCTGCATCTACCGAGGAGCCATTTTTCTTTTTCCTTCCCTATGTTATTTATTTATTAGAAAATTCAGTATAAGTCCAATTCTTATGACAGAATTTGGGTGCAATCCACACATTTGTTGTTAGTAATTTAAGTCCTTTGACTTTTGTGCCATGTAGGATTACTTACTTTTTTTTAATTTCTAAGGTTTATATTTTAATTTCTTAAATTTTAATTTATGTTGTGCTTCCAATTTTGCCCCTAAGATAGAAATTAGGTAACCTAAAAGACAGCAAAATATCAAAAATCGCGTTAAACAATCCTCAGACACCAAGAATAGAAAGAATCGCAAAAATCATATCTTCCACAATCAATTATGGAGAATGTTTTTGTTGGATATTTATTGGAGAATTTTTGCTCATATATAAACAGACTTAATATGTTCATTTGCATGTTGTCCAACAGTTATACTCTCACTCATTTTCTGGGTTTAGAACCTATTGTATAGGTAAGCTCCTGTCGTATGGGTAATCGCTGACACAGTACCTAGGTCACTGGTATATGCCAAACTTCGAAGAAGATAATCCCAAGCAATGTGTCAAATACCTATGTCATAGGTACACTTTTGCAAGTTACCTGTAGGCTAGGTTCTCCGTGAAGCGCCATATCAAGCCACTGTGTAAAGTACCTGCGCCATAGGTACAATGTTAGAGGTTACCTGTGCCTATAGCATAGTTACAGTTTCAGCCAATTACCTATACAACAAGTTCTAGATGATGATTAAACCCAGTTATGATATTTATCTATTACAAAATTGGGAACATCAGTCATTCTGTAACTATAACAATTGGAATACTGCAAAACATTTGAAATGACAGATCAAGGAAGCTTCAATCAAAGAAAGAGATCGTAACTGCAAGCCGACTTAAACTAGCATGGTAGCGCCTAATCAACCGACGATGGTCTTACAAGAATCTCTCTAACTTTATCTACTCTTTATATTTCCACTCTTAACAAACAATTCAAAGAGATGAAAAGTCCTCCCTCCAACAAACCATAACCATCCATTTGGATGAGGTAAAATAACTTGGAATTTAGCTAAAAGTCGAGAATTTAATTTGAGAAATTGACAATTCTCTTGTTTGGCAACTTAAGCGCGGAACTTATTAAATGACGCGCGGAAAAAATATGGAAATTGAGGCATCAAATTCCCTAGTTTAATTTCCACCAAAATAGGCGTTATTTCACAATTTCTATAGTGCGGAATTCATATTTTCCAATGTGCCAAAACTTACATTAAATAAAACCTGCCAAACTTTTCATAAAATTTTTTTTAAAAAATTAAAAAAAAAAACAGCACCAAAAACCTATGAAACCCTAGACAACAAATTGCCTTGTCGTTTTATAAAAAAAAAAAAGAGAAATAAGGAGCATAAAAAAAAAGCTGCGAGCCAAAGAAGTAAAGAGAAGGAATTCTTCTTGGGTTACACGTCTCTCTGGATCAAGTTTGAAGGTTAGTCTTCAAGCCTTTCTCTCCTTCAATTTATATTTTTCTATTTTAGGGTTACCATGGTTTCTAAATGGCTATCAAAATTGGGTGTTTCTGACTAAATTTATAAATGTGTTGAATGGGTTTTGTGATCTTTACGGCACTATGGCTGGATTTTTGGGAAGTTTTAACAAAATACTCTATGCCCATAGATATTGGTGTGTGATTTGTGTTTATGGTACAGCTCTGTAGTTGTTTGCTAGCTTTATCACTTTGTGTTATCGCCTTGCTCTGTAGTTGTTTGTTAGCTTTGTCGCTTTATGTGAGCCATTAGATGTTGATTGTAAGTTGCACCAACTTGCCCGTAAGTTGCAGCTTGGCCAAGGTGCTCCTTGATTCTTTGGGACCTGAATTAAGTCTTATGATAGTGATTCATTGATTTCATCGTTTATTCCTATACTGTCAGATGCTGAAGGCACTCTCAATTGAGAAAAAAAGAGAGAGTATGTTGCTGATGTTCATTGCACGTGGAGAGTGATTTGGTTTGCAAATATGCTTTGTTTGTTTAAGTTGAGTTATTTAGTTCATCAAACGATATTTTATTTTATACTTCGAGGAATACCTTCTATGTCGGTTATTAGTTTTTTTGTTCTTTCAAAATATTTAATTTTTGTCATTTATAATTTACATGAGCTATCCAAACATTGAAATTTTCAATTTATGTCATTTACAAAATTTGACATACATAAATCCAAACATTGAAATTTTCAATTTATGTCATTTACAAAATTTGACATACATAAATCCAAACACTGAAATCTTCAATTGCCAGAAATTGAAATGATGGAAATCTAAACCCCGTCATTTTAAAATTCTATGTAACAGAAAAGGAACCCACAGTTTTTGATAATCCAAAAATTGACATACCATTAGTGAGAGAATTTACCAGGGATACAGAAACTTCAATTGAAACCACAGTTTCTGATAATCCAAAAAATTTGGGTTAGTCCATATTTAATCGTGAATTATTAGAAGGAACCCACAAATCTTCCTATTAAGGAACCAAAAAAATCAATGAAAATTGGCAAAAGCGGAGCATCACTTTTGGGATTTCTGTGATTTGGGGGATCTGAGATATGCAATTTGGTGAAACCTTCTACTTTCTATTTGTATATAATGGCAATAGTTGTAAATAAATTAAAATTTATGGCCACACTATTTGCTTAGGTGGTTGCATGACTGGGCTTTAGGACTGGAATAAATAAGTAACAATTACTGTCCTGCAATCAAATTGTATTCTTCAAATTGGACCCATATCTAAGAGCCCCTTTATTTATTTGCAATTGGAGATTGCCAGATTCGGCGGAGGAGGGTTGAGACCGGAGAGCTGAAGCGGATCGCCGCTAATGTTGATGCCTCTGAGCTTTTCCGCGAGCTTTTCTCTAACTGATATAGTGAGGAACTCCGAATCTTTATGCTCATCATTTATTTCATGACATTTTTGTTCTTCTCAAGATTATAGTACATATAAATTTTTCTAGAAACTGCAGTGCAATACTTGAACGTCTCATTCTTCTTGTTTTTGCAACTCTATGCAATACTTGTTGGGTCTTTGGAAATTCCTTCGGCTATAATTTTGTTTTGTTTTGCTTTAGTAAGAGTTAACATGGGTTTTAGGTAACATGAATTTATTTTTTGTAAATTAATGAAGGAAATTGTAGCAATGGTCCCTGAACTAAGACCAAACTTTATTTTTCGTCTCTCATATTGTTAAATTGTTACGTTGGTGTTTCAATTAGATCTCATGCTGCATCATTGGTCTTTCCGTCAACTTTATTTATTCCAAAATAGTATTTTAAAATCTTAATTGAATACACCCCCCTTAGTTAAATTTTCTGTCAAAATTAAGGACAATTTGAGAAATTCATAAAATTTTTAATCTCTCTCTCTCTCTCTCTCTCTCTCTCTCTCTCTCTCTCTCTCTCTCTCTCCTTCCCTCCTGCTCTTTCTCTTCCCCCAACGATTTCTTCTTCCCCCATTCTCCCATGACTACCACATGCAAGCTCCAACCCTCAAACCTATCCCACAGCCAGGGGCGGATCTATTAAGGCGCAAGGAGGTGCAGCTGCACCTCCCTTCGTCAGAAAAATCATTGTAGATGCTTCAAATTGCCCCTTTGCTCAACTGGTGTACAGATTACCTTATTTCCATTTTCAACATTTAAGTAAATGTCTTTGTCTTTTTACTTTTATTTATTTTTATATTACTCCATTTACTTAAGTTTACAATGTAAATAAGGAAGTACCCCCCATTTGGATTCAAATAAAAATACTAGAAAATCAAATTCCCACCAAATCAAAATATGAAAATTCGGTTTTAGTGCAAAATACGATTTAGGCTAAAAATGATGGCTCATTAAGTCAATATATACTTCATACTAAAATCCCATAAAATCAAGTTTTCTTATTTGATGTATAAGGAATAAAAGCCGCCAAAAATTATCTTGAGAAAATGATTATTCCGAAAAACCATTTTCATACTTAGTCAATATTGCACCTCTGCTAAAAAATTTCTGGATCCGCCACAGCCACCTTCTACCATAGCCCGCAACACCAGTACCCATGAGCCCATAACCACAGTCCCCATCCTCCACCCCAGATATGGTCAAAAGAGAGAAGCAGAGGGTTGATGGGTATCTAGGTAGGCCGTTTGCATTGTCCGTCTCCTTAGTTGAAGGATGGATCGCTTCCCATCAGCTTTTGGGTTTTTGGCTGCACTGAAGATCGCTTCTCATACAGGTTTCAATTTCATGTATCTAGCTAAGTCATGCTTGGCTGATGAAGAAATAGAGATGCCATTCTTTTTTGAAAGCCCAATATATCAATATCAGAGTGATTACCCACTATTTCATTGATGGATTGACAAGGTTTTCTCACTCGCCCATGAGTTTATCTGAATCCCAACTTCGATTCGTGAGCCAAAGTCCATCTCTCATCTGTGATTGAGAGATTAAAGCCTGAGAATGAGAAAGCGGACTGAGGTCTCAACGATGGTGGAAAGCAAAGCACTCCAGAAAAAAAATCTAAATGGATAAACAACCAGCATAATCCAACAAGCAAAATTTCATTATTGACAAGAAATTTGGGGCTGGGAAGAAAATCAAAGGGAGTGGGAAAGCTGCAGTAATTCTTTGGAAAAGCCCGATTCTCTTCAGCTTTCATTTTTCATTTTTATTTATTTTAATTTTGAATCGGGGCTGGAGAGAAAGAGAGATTTGATTTATTTTTTAAATTTTTTGTGTGAAAAGACTTTTTTGCTCATGCCAAGTAGGACTTGTTATTGCCATGTCATCATTTTTAACGGAAAAGTTGACTGAGATGACGGAAATGATAATTTCTAAAAGTGGAGGCATAATTAAAGTACCACCGTAACAATTTAACAATGTGAGGGACGAAAAGTAAAGTTTGGTTTTAGTCCAGAAACCATTGCTACAATTTTGCCATTATTGAATGATGGTGGGTTAGGCATAGGAGGAAAAGACAATGAGAAATTTATGGTTCATCCCCTTGTTTTTCGGGTCTGAATATCGTAGTCACTGAATACAGGGTAGATTTTCTGTTTTTTTTTTCCTGTCTTCATTGGTGTTTTCAGCATTTCTAACATCCCGAACAATGAGAAAATGGTAATTTTAAAATTTTCTTTTTGAGAAATGGTAAATTGATATGTTCACTTCACCAAACATCAGGGCAAGTCACTTGAGAATCGTCAAGGGCAGACTTGCTTACACTAAGATGTTAACAATGACAGTGTATGGTTGGCTTGAAATGCTGTAACAATTACATCTTCATTGTGTGGAAGTTCTTCTCAAAATTCAAGGCCAGATCAGTTGAATCCTCAACTAGAAATAGATTCACAACTTTATAATCTGTTGTTGTCTTGTTGACTCATTTGGATGTTGAATAGGAATTTCATAAATTCTGCAAATCATGCACGAAATACACTCTAGCTTGCTTCTTTTTTCATTTATTTAATATTTCCCTTTAAGCTCATCTACATGATATGCTCATTGTACAATAACCATCAGTTGGTCTAGTAGCAAGTATATCTGCATTGTATATTGTGCATGAATGTTGTAACAGAACCGCTGAAGACCGAGCAGGTTCTGAACTTCTGAGCAATGAGATTGTGAAGGCTGAGCATGATGCTGAAATAACAAAGTTAAGTCCAATTTGCACTACAAGTTACCCATCATTCAGTTGCAGCAAGTCAAGGCGGAATTTAACTGAGGTACTGATCTTTAAACTTCTTCCCTCTAAAGTGATGTTCTGTGTCTACTTTTCTTTTCTAGTTTTAATTAATGTTTACCTTGTTCAGGAGGAGAAGGAAGAGCGGAGAATACGCAGAATATTGGCCAACAGAGAGTCAGCCAGACAGACTATTCGTCGGAGGCAGGTAAGCTGATGTTACTCTACTTATTGCATATCAATATATACAGAGAGCTTTCATTGAGGGATCCCTCAAATAAGCTTATTTGAGGGACACCTCTTGTAGGCTCCACTCCAGATTGTATTTCACTAATCCAAACCGTCTACTTTGTAGATACTCATTCAAAGATCATCTCTACAAAAAATCACTTGAATCCGATTTCATTTGACCATTCAATTGAGTTATTGAAATTTTAGTACTTTCTTGAAGCACCGTGTTCGTTGATTTTGTAAGACACAATTGGATGTCGAAACGGTTTCCGATTTGTCTAATTTTTTGTAAGGATGATCTATGAATGAAGACCTAAAAAATAGATAGTTTGGATTATTGGAAAAAAATTATAGAGTACCCTAAAGGGCGTCCCTTAATAGAAGGGGACTGATATATATATATATATATATATATATATTTTTTCCGAGAGTGTTGAAGAGGGATGGGGAGGAAATTTTATGACTACCAATATTTCTATATATATACTCAATATGGTAAAGGTTGCATTTGTTCCTTGTATTTAATTCAAGTCTGTTGACGTCATTGTGTCTTCATTTTATCAAATGGTCAACACTGAGAACAATGTTCTGCTAGATAGGTGTTGCTATTTTATGGCTTGGAAAATTGTGAAAGCATGTTGACACTAGAGGCAACGGGAGTACGGGTTCAATTCCCTATACAAGTTTCTGATCGGTAATTAGGTAGTTGTATTAATTTACCCTTACTAGGTTTTTGTGCTTTTTTTGTTGTGTTTCGATGTGCACTCTACCGTGTTCTGTTGTGTTTCCACTGTTATTATGGGTGATAACTCAACTATTGGTGTTGTTGTTGATGCTTTTGCAAATTTGTATCTTTCTCACTCTATTCGAGGTACTTGCTCCAATACTTGGATAATTGACACTGGTTACTACTGATCATATGACTTATAATGCTAAATTATTAGATGAGTTGTCTAGTAACACCCGTGACCCATACATAATGATGCAGGAGCGGCTATAAGTGGCTGTCCAGGGACCCAAACGTACCCAAAATACAGAGAATAGAAGGATAAAGCTGTAGAATTGAAGTTGAAACGAAGATAATTGAGTTATAGGGATAAATTCCCAAAGAAAACTCTTTAGACTAAAGTCTGAAATTGTATTGATTGAAAACTGAATACAAAAGTCTCTTAATAGCTTATTTATACTAGAATACACCGGCCTAGAATTCCTATTCCTAGTTTACTAAGAAAACCCAATTGATAAGGGAAATTAGAAACAAAACAAGAAACTTAAACCAAATCCTAATGAAGAGAGGAAAACATTTAATTTAATAATTTAAAATATCTAAAACTTAGCCCTTTTTGACTAGGATTGATACTCCTGCATCAACTCCACCGGGTTGGAAAGAACTCGACTTTGGCGAGAAAGCTTTAACAACTTCAGCATATATCTCTGGATCAATCCTCTTTAATATTTTTTTTTCAGGAACCCACGTGCTCTCGGTAGCATTCTTACCCAACCATTTCACTAAGAACCGCCTATACTGGTTACCCCTCCTTGACTTTACCTCTTTGACATCCAACACATCTTCAACAATCTCAGGTTGAGCCTTTGGAAGTTGTTGGATTTGTGCCTCTATTGAAATAAGAATTTTATGCTTGTGTAAGGAAAAGAGGATAAACTTGAAGTAATAGGGTATACATATTCAGATTTTGCTGGGTGCATTGATGACAGAAAATCTACAAACGGTTACATCTTTTTTCTGGCAGGTGGAGGTATTTCTTGGAAAAGTGCAAAGCAAACTAAAATTTCTACCTCTACTATGCAAGCTGAGTATATAGGGTGTTATGAAGCCACTAAACAAGCGGTGTGGGTGAGGAACTTCATTGGAAATATTGTGATTGTGGATTCTATATCAAGGCCATTAAAGATCTTTTGGGATAATAAGGCTGCAGTATTCTTCTCTAAGAACAACAAAAGAACATCTGCCTCAAGGATTATGGATGTAAAATATCTAGTTGTTAGAGACAGAGTGAAGAATGAAGAAATCATCATTGAACACATTGATTCTCAATCCATGATTGCTGATCCTTTGACTAAGGCATTACCAGTGGGAGTTTTTAAGGATCATGTAACTCTAATTGAATCTTTTGATCAGTGGGAGTAAGGTTTGCTTAATATATGTTTCAGTTTCATATGTTCTGAAGAAAGTTATGCAGATAAATGCCATTATTGTTTTTCAATTCAATTCTTTATACTGTTTGAATTTAAGGAAGAACACAAGCTCTTGTTTTAAACATTGTTTATTTGCTGTTTTTGATAGATGTCATCTTCTGCAAAGTGACTTGAAAGAAATTCAATTGTCTTGTTTTAAGGAAGACATAAGGACTTCTTTACTGAAGTATAAAGTGGTTTGCAAAAACCATTAGGAAGGACCAACATGTGGAAACATCTGGTATCTCACTATCACATTTATTGAAAGTATCTTGTAATTCTGATTCTAATCCATGTAATCACAGAACACTAATGCAATTAAAGATGCACGAATTTTTTCTGTGGTTCTATATTAAGAGTTAGTTTTGACTAGTGCTTTAGGATTCAGTTAAGTATATGGGCTCAGTGATCACTAAAGACTCTTGGACTTGTCATGGTAAAATATGTGCAGTATATGATCCATCTACGCCCAAGTAAGAGAATGTAAGATAATTTGGGCTTTCATTGATTATGTACAAGGCACAATTTTACTATGATTAAGCCTAAAAGGGAGCCCTGATTAGTTGACTAATAGAGTATCCTAATAAGGAAGGCAATCAAGCCCTAATAAGGTGTGTCTATTGGTATTAATTAAATAAGATACTGAAGGGAGCAATCACATTCCTTGATAGGGGGATCTGATTTGTATTGTATTCTTATATAAGGAGGTCCCTGCTCTCACAGCAATACACGTTCTAAAATACCAAGTCCTATTTACTAGTTAGAGTATTCGGTGCTGCAGAGAGTAGAAGCCTTCCTTATCTGTTGTGATCAATGGCTTCATTAGGTAAGACTCAATTCTTGTACTCTTAGTTCTTATGGTTCAATTCATATGATGAGTGTAGTTCTTTGCACGTATGCTATTTGGATTAAATGTATTCATCTATGTGCTTACAGAACTTGCATGTCTTTTGAACTAGTGTACATCAGTATAGTAATGGAGCTTGCTTTGGTTTTCTGGTAAAACTGCTATGCTCTGTCTACTTATTGTCTTGGAACTTTGCTTCTTTCAGTGTCTCTCGTTGCTTTTATGGTTGGAAGAACGCTACGAGACTGTATACACACGCCATCCTGGTTTCCAAAAAGGATCTAAGCCGCTCCTTGTAGTAGATAACCCATTCCCAATGGAACTTCCAGAAAATCTTGTTGGGGAGAAATGGGCCTTTATCCAATTGCCCTTTTCAGGTGAAGGACTTGCTAATGAAGATTTCTGGGTCTTGATAGATATAACAACTCACATCCTGTCACCTGCCCTAACCATCCAATATTTCTTTTTAACATTTCCTGTTTCCACACTAAATCTAACTCCTGTTGTCAGCTGTTCAAGAGGAAATCTCATCCTTGGACTCAAACCTTATGTTTGGTGCGAGTCTAGATTTGGATTTGTTGGGGATTGAAATTGATGACAAGACATTGATTCCAGGATCTTCACGTGCTAAAGCTCTAGCAGGTGTACATTCTCTCCAATATCATCTTCCGGTCTTTCTATATCCAGATAATTATTTCTTTCTTCTTATGCATTTTCACTCTATCTATACACAGCAAATATCTTTGGATAGATGTTCTTCGTACAGATAGCCTAACATATTATGTTGCTAGATTGTTAATATAAACCATTGGTCAAGTGGACTGTAATTTGAATTTGTAGTCCAGATTGACCGTCAACCAACTTACCATGTGAAGTTCCTTGACAAGATCACAGTATCCTACATGGACATAGACCCAATTTTTTATCAGGCCAGTGATATCTACCCTTAGAGTGGTAGTGATAAACTTGGTTCCATCATGGTGTGATACGTTCTCCTTGAATCTGCTATCTTATTCATGTTGTGTCGTATACAATTTTCTGGTGTTCCTCTAACCGTAAGAGATCATAATCACATCTGGAAGTTTGTTCAATTGAAGCCGATTTGTCATGGGCTCGCTTGATTCTTTCTGTTGGAATTCCTGTGCGATATATTTATGCTACCTACAATAAAACTCCTGAAACAGCAAGTGAAGCTGAAGCTTGGGAAGCAGCAAAGAAGGATTGTGGAGGTTTGCACTTCCTTGCAAACCAGGGTGACTTGGATTCGGATTATTGTGTTGGATTTTGGCTTCTACTAGACTTGCTACCTCCACTTGTATAGAGTGTAATCAGTCCAAACAAATTTTAAAAGGAAATTACTCTTGCACATTAGTTTTCTCAGTTACATCGCTTCATGCTTCCTAGCTGCAGAAATGACAGCAAATATTCCGTTGCAGCTGAGTTTTCTTATTAAGGGTTTTTGCCGTTCGTGATTTTTATTACTTGGTCTCAGATCACATACGCATAATTCTATTTCTGAAAATGCTGAAAACGGTAAGTCACACTCATTGTATGGGGTTTGTATGTGGGTCTGAAGCTTGGGATTTGGGGTTTAGGTGCAAACTTGAGTTCAGGGTCCCAATCTAAATCCCAGCATCTGAATTCTGAACCGCGGCTTCTTAAATTTAATTCAATGCATGATGTTCACCTCTCAAAAACTACGAAAAAAGTCTCAAAACAAAACATGGATCTGGTAGGGGTGGGGGGCTGCAGCTTTTAGGCGGTCGGTGTTGTTGCCGGAGGGGTGAAGGTGCTTGGGGATGGTGGTGGGAGGGAGGCAGCGGAGGGTAGGGGCAGAAGGTGGGAGAGACATAAGATAGAGATGTCTTTAGTTTGGGAATTTTCTGTAATTGACCCAAAAAAAATAAAACAAAGAAAGAAAGCAATGGAATGATGGTATATTCAGTAGCTCTTCAAATTGCTAAAATCTGAAATTCAAATTTACCTAAACGGTTAGAGATGATCTAACTTCTTTTCAGGTAGAAATATTTCCAAATACACATATGGTAATCTTAACCCTCACTCATACTCCTTGATTTACCCCAAAGAGCATATGCAAATTATGAATATTCTCTCCCTTTTCGAACTACATTAAACTTCCAAGGAGTATATTTGTAAAGGATTCTGTACTAAAAATGTCAAATGAAAAATTAAACACAAGAATGAACTTGGGGAATACACATAATTTAGCATTAAACACAATATATATAAATTCAACCCCAGTAATCAAAACTGGAACTCTCCTCAAAACTGCATGAGATGCTAAGAAATGCCGTAAAAATGTTGAATCTTCTTTTTCTCAGGCAAGCACTTTTGAGTCTAACGTGCCAGCTTTTGTCACAACTTCCTGAACATCTTGGTGATTCTGCAGAGGCATAGTTGACAACAAGAAGTTATGAAAAAAATGATAATTTTGGAAAATTACATGAGAAATTCTTGGTGCCATAATATCAAAGAACACAAAAGTGACCTGGTACACAGTACACTACAAAAAATTCACAAGTGTAGGCCACGTTTGTTGCCTAGGATTGGATTGGATACCTTATTAGATTCAAGGTACGTTGAATTAAGAAATGAAGGTAGAGCAGAAGGATTTTTCATCGTGTGGGAAGTTATAAGGTTTCCTTCATACTAATCCATCTTTTACCTCCAACTTAGACCAAGTGTGGAAGATGGCTTCCATTTCTTCCTTCAACATACCTTGAATCTAGTGAGTTATCCAATCCAATCCAATCATAGGCACCAAACACAGCCACACAGTAATAACAAAAGGTCCCAAATCAGAAAAGGATCAGTAGCCAATTAACATGAATACAGCATAAAGCATATAAAACCAAAACAGTTCATTTAAAAATACCAACACTGTAGGCTTTTCAGAAGATATTTCCAAAATATGAAAAGAAATTCTCTACATCGACAACAAAGTAGACCCAGAGTGGTATCAATGAATTTCAGGTACAGTTAGCTAGTTATTACTCTTGCAGCTTTCTTAATTAAACAACTACAAAAAATATGGAATAGAGCAAGAGATGAGAAATGTCAGGTACAGTTATTGTTAAACACCAAATTAGGTAGATATTCCAAACAGATAAACTGTTCAAAGGACCAACTTTCTCAAAATCAGCTGACAATTGGTTAAAGGAGAGGTATGAATCAATAAAGCTTCTTACTAACATTCTGTGAACTTTCCTTGTGAATGTTTGGTTGTCTGATGTACTTCCAGTTCCAGAAGAACTTTCTGCGGGGGCACTTTCAACGGGGACATTTCCAAGAACTTGGGGCTCAACATGACCAGCACGTGATTCTGTACCACTTGAAACACTTGAAATCGGATTCATCCCATATCCTTGCTGAATACTAGTTTGTGGAGGCTGAATAGACACAGTCGAGATATACACAACCCAGAAAATAATTTTAAAAAGGAGAAATATTGAATCATAACATATACAGATTAAATCAGTATTCTCACAAATATGTAATTATTCGGAACATCGTTTGGAGACTACAAGTACACGACAAGTGCAAGCAAGTAATAATAGAACAAATTTGTAGAACCAGGAATACAATTATACAGGGCAGGCAGGAAAGTAAATATTCAGAATATTAGTCCAACCAAAACTATGTATTTCTTGGAGAAACCAAGCAAAACTGTAGATAATGAATATCACCTTTATTTGTTCTTTTGGTTCCATATACAAAACTGAATCAATAAACCACGCAAGATATAAATTTTGGAATTTATGAAATAGAAAGGAAAGAATGTGGGCGAAAACTCACCAGTCTTGCAGAAGACGGACTATGGCGTGAAGTGGTGGGGCCAAGGCTGTGACATTGAAGAAAATGTAGAAATTAGAAGACAACAGAGTGGTAACCTAGGGTTCTACCTTCACGAGCTTTTCTTTCATGCACATGAGTTGCGTATGAGTTACTACAGCTATTAGTCCGACAATCCTAAAACCCAACATCAACTGCACTCTCATCACCTTCAATCTAATAGCTGAAGTAATTCATGTGCCCTTAGCTGCAACTAACCCGTGTGCATGAGAGAAAACCTCCTCTACTCTGCTTATACAGAGGAAATAGTTGAACACTTGAATTAAATTTTTGATCAAGACAAAGGAGAGACACAATAAGAGCAATATAATATGTTGATGATATCCACAATTCATACACTTAATGTTGTTGGATGTACCGCGAGGATACAGAAACCATCAAACAATTAACAGAAACACTACAGAAAGCATATGAATACCAAAGACCTATGAAGTACTTAATTTTGTAAACACCAATGATGCATGTTTTCAGAAGAAAACGCCAACTTATAAAAAGCTGTATCTCAACGCTGCAACAGTATCCGGACAAAAAAAAAGAAAAAAGAAGCTGCAACAGTATGGGTGTCTGATCTAGCTAATCAGCGGCCATCCTTTAAGCTTCAGATAAATCGTGTCAATATTGTTTCAGCATTTAACTATATTTGTATATGCAATGTTGAATGTTGGGTGGTGTAAATTAGGGGAACTGAAGTTTGACAACAAGATGCCTTTAAGGCATTTCATCAAACAGGGAGAAAAGCAGTGACAATTCCAGGAAGATAGTAGGGCCAAAGCTTCAAACCCTCCAAATATAAAGGATACAAAAGAGCCAGTGAGGGCAATCACATGTGGCTGCGTCATTCACAGTCACTTGTAAGTATTGCTGAAATTCCAAAAAGATAAAATGCCCAAACACGTAAATTTCTCAAAACCCACTAACATTGACAATGCATTAAAGAAAACGTGATGAATCAACATATGCAGAGATACAGATAGAACAGTTGAATTCAAATTCCTAAATTTGGTCAAATCTACGGTAACACTTTCACATCTAACACTTGAACCTGAAATCAAAAAAAAGAAAAAAAAAAAAAAAAAAAAAAAAAAAAGAGTTCTTACTCTTTCTTAGTCTTCTTCTGGCTCTGAGCTTGTGGGTTGTTGTGAAGGACATGTGAGCCTTTACCGCTAGACGGTGCATGCGGGGCAAAGCGTTCCGCAATATCATCCCAATTTACAAGCCGCGTTGATGCCATAGACATAGAGTTGCTGTTACACGCAAACGAAAAGGAAGTAAAAACAAGCGAGTTTGGTGACGAGGAGTTTAAAGTGAGGAGTTTATGGAGAGTGTTATGGCGGCCAAACGCCAGATACGGAGGCTCCACCAAGGAGGTTGAAGTGAGGTGGCTATTTAGGGAATTCAATCTCACTATCATAGAGGCGGGTCGCGGCATAAAGAAATCATGTGGGGACCTCAAATATCCTTCAAAACTTCGCCTTAGCCTTGGCACATGCCACTTTTGTCCTTTTTAATATACGCAAATAAAAGATTACAAAGAAAGTCTCTAAAGGGCCCAAAGATGTAACGCACCAAGAATAGAAAGAGCAAGCCCATCCTCCCAAAGCCTAGGGGGGTTAAAAGCCCAGGTGCTACTTTTGTTGAAGAAATGGAACAAGTAAAAGTCTTTGTTTTTGAGTTGCAAAAACAAATGAATCAAGTGAGCTAGGTCAGCTATTTACAAGGGTCACAATGAATCAACGGAGAGAGGCTAATTCATAGCTTTTTGGGGGGGTATCTCAGATTCTCAGTTCAGTGGGTGAGCAGAAGTGATAAAATGATCTGGTTGTGATGAATCCATATGGGACTTGAACAAGATTTGAAACAGAAAAATAAAAATTTGATCATCAGAAGAGAGAGAGAGCAAAAGAAAGGAGAGAGTAGTTAAAAAAAAACCAACCCATTTGAATTTGGACGTAATCCGGTGTCAACAAAGAGAAACTCCACCGCATACATGTCGACAATGGCAGTTGACGATGGTCATTGATGACTCGGGCCTGTGTGTGTTTCAGACGTAGCCAATACTGCTGCATTTTCCATCCAGATGTCATTTCAGAAGAAACAGAACCAAAATTCAGCAAGGCAGGAACAAAAAAAACCAGCAAAGATTTGAAGAAGAAGAGGAAAACATAGCATCTGGAAATGCAGCAAGGTCAATGAGTACAAAAGCACTAAACAAGGTGCAATCCACTAAGCAATACTCTAAACAAAGGAAAGTACAAAGGCACGCTGATTTGCCGGACGGACAACGTGACTCTTTGTCGTGTCCTCATCTGGACGGCATGATGTATATATATTGTTGTTTTATACGATATCACTTTCTTTTTTCCATTTTTAAATTATCCAATTCTCTGCAACAACTGAAAAGCCATTGTTTTTATTTTTTTGGTTGGTCGAATTTGGAGGTATTCAATGGCGATTTCAAACGACTGCATCAAAATTTAGGTGTATTCAAAAAATTATTGACTTTAAAGGAAACATAAAAAGTGATAAATTTCGATTGATTTTAGACTTATTTTAGGCCATGACAAATATTTGTTCCCCTCCCCAAAGATTTTGATAGATAGTATTTTTAATTCTCAAGATATGATTCTAGTATATGTTTCAGTATTGCTGAATGAAGATTACACTGTCACATTCAATAAAATGGGATGCTCTTTACAACAAGTCAATCGAATCATATGTAAATGTACTATGATCGATGATCTCTACCAAATTCAAATTGTGGAAAATAGCAACTGCTTGATTGAGATGTCAGAACCTAAGAGGCCCAGAGAAAAACTCAATCCGACTCAAGTTTGGCACCTAAAGTTATGACACATTGGCCAAGATAAGATCCAAAGGATGGTCAAACAAGGATACCTTGAATCTTTGGGTTCAGTCCCAATGCCCACCTACGAATCCTATCTTCAAGGCAACATGTCAAACTTGCCTTTTTCAAGAAAAGGGGAAAAAGTCACTTAAATTCTTGAATTAATCCACACTGATGTATATGGTCATTGTCCACCACATCAAGGGGTGACTTTTCTTACTTCATTACGTTCACCGATTATTACTCTCGGTTGGGCCATGCATACCTAATAAAGTACAAGTCCGAGGTCTTTGAAAAGTTCAAAGAATTCAAGAATGAAGTTGAAAAGCAAACAGGAAAGAGTATCAAGATTCTAAGATCAGATCAAGGAGGAGAATACTTGAGTAGTGAGTTTCTTGAATATCTCAAGAAACATGGCATCCTATCTCAGTGGACTCCACCTGGAACTCCACAACTTAATGATGTCTCCGAAAGGAGAAACTGAACATTGATGGACATGGTCTGATCAATGATGAGTTATACTAACTTGCCAGTATCGTTTTGGGGATATGAACTTCAAACTGCAACATACTTGCTAAATAGAGTACCTTCCAAATCCGTGCCCAGAACACCATATGAAATGTGGCTTGGGAGGAAGCCAAGTCTTAATCATCATAAGATATGGGGTAGTCCGACTTATGTCAAGAAGCATGATTGACAAGGTAGATGCTAGATCAGAAATGTGTAGATTCATTGGATATTCAAAGGAAAATTTAGAATACTATTTCTACCATCCAAACAAACAAAAAACGTTTGTTGCAAGATCTGCAAGATTTCTTGAGATTGATTTTGCATTGGATGACACATAAGGAAGAGTCTGGAGAGCCTCATTGGGAGATGACATGGAAGATCCTGAAACCTACACGAAGACAATGTTGGACATTGACTCAAAGAAATGGCAGGAAGACATGAAATCTGAGATGGATTTTATGTATGCCAACCAAGTCTGGATTCTGGTTGACCTTCCCAAAGGTATTGTACCAATAAGAAACAAATGGGTCTTCAAGAGGAAAAAAGGCTCAGATGGCAAGGTGGAGACCTATAAAGCGAGATTAGTAGGTAAAGGCTATAGACAAAAGGAGGGAATTGACTATGAAGTAACTTTCTCTCATGTAGCAATGATAAAATCCATACGCATACTTCTCGTCATAGCAGCACATTATGACTATGAGATATGGCAGATGGATGTGAAAATGGCTTTTCTAAATGGCCACCTTCAAGAAGAAATCTACATGGATCAACCTGAAGGATTCATATCTAAACATGAAGAGAAGAAATTATGCAAACTTCAAAGGTCAATCTATGGACTGAAGCAGGCTTCAAGGAGTTGGAACATTCGTTTTGATGATGTCGTTAAAGGTTATGGTTTTAGCCAAAATGAAGATGAACCTTGTGTGTACAAGAAAAATAGTGGGAGCGCAGTCATATTCCTCATACTATATGTAGATGACATATTAATGTTTGGAAACGACATAGGCATGTTGACCTCTATGAAACTATGGTTATCAAAGACCTTCTCAATGAAGGATATGGGAAATGCATCTTACATACTGGGTATCAAGATCTATAGGGATAGATCGAGAAAACTAATTGGATTATCTCAATCCCTATATGTGGACAATGTGCTCAGAAGATTACAAATGGAACATTTCAAAAAAGGTTTTCTACCAATCAAACGTGGTATTCAACTATCTAAGAGCATGAGCACTAAAACCCCAGAAGCAGTGATACAGATGAGAAGGATCCTATATGCCTCCTCAATTAAGAGCCTAATGTATGCCATGTTGTGTACGATGCCTGATATCAGCTATGCTGTGAGCATCACAAACAGATATCAATCAAACTCATGATCAGAACACTAGAGTACAGTAAAGACTGTGTTAAAGTACCTCAGAAGGACCAAGGATATGTTCCTAGTCTATGGAAGAAACCCATAATTACTAGTGGAAGGATATACAGACTCCGATTTAGAATCTAATGTTGATGATCGAAAATTCACTTATGGATATGTGTTCACATTGAATGGAGGGGCAATCAGTTGGAGATGTTGCAAGAAAAGCACTATGCGGACTCCACAACTGCGCCAGAGTACATAGCTGCTTCGGAAGCAGCAAAGGAAGTGATCTGGATGAAAAAGTTCATTAATGAACTTGGAGTGGTTCCAAGCATTGAGTCACCAGTCATTTTATACTGTGACAAAAATGAGGCTATAACACAAGCCAAGCAACCAGGGTCTCATCAAAGATCTAAGCACCTTCAGAGGCGCTATCACTTAATTAGGGAATATGTTGCTGATAGAGATATTAGGATATTAGCGTGCACAAGGTGGCTTCAGCAGACAACGTAACAGATCCACTCACAAAGCTTATGAATCAGCTTTAGCTAGACACACACATGGAGAAGATGGGTATTAGATACATCTTAGATTGGCTTTAAAGTGCAAGTGGGAGATTGTTAGAAATATGCCCTTAAAGCCAAATAATTATATGATAGTTAGAGTTAAGGACATCTTTGATAAAAGACATATTATGTTATCAATTGGCAAGAAATGTGTTTTATACATTTAATCATCCTTTATTATCTTTTAATATGTAGAACAACCATAGTCCAAGAAATACACAAGTGGATATGAGAGCAATATAATGAGATTGCATACATGGAGACTTCTCATCATCCCTAAATCCTGAATATGTTCCTAGTCGTAGGAATATTGATTAGGCATCAATATTCCGCAAAGACCAGTACACACAATATCGTCTCTATATGTAGGGAATGACAAAGTCTTAAGTCATTAAGTGTGGAGACACATCGATATGTGTGCAGGTGCTTGTAAAAAAACAAGTACACTAAACGCGATTCAACACATGAGTTATAGCATGGAAGTCTTTACTTATATGTCAAGCTGGAACTCATAAATTGCAATAGTGCAAACTAATCCTTAGACCTGAGGCATCATAGATGTTTTATGACTATGTTGTTAATCTTTGAGGGCACTATACGGTCATGCTGGATTAGGCAAACTTAAAGGTGCTCATTAGATTCTCAATAGAGTTATGGAAGCAAATGAATGTACAACAAGGAATCTCTACTCTCAGTAAAGGAAAGAGAATACTCCAAGATATGATTGGTCAAATCTCTGCGCAGAGTAGTGGATAAAACTTGAAAGAAGAAGTTTCAAATCTTACCAAGATAATCATATAAAAGGAATGATTCATATTAGGATATTGACAATCGGATTTCATGATCTAATAATGTGAATAAGGAGTATTGACATAAGAGAAGGATTCAATTGCACGGTCATTCCAATTTGAATAGGTTCTTTCACAATGTCTCATTTAGCTCGGATAACCATGACTTGCTGCTAGGCGATGACCATGGTTTGTGGATGTCCTAAAAGGTTTCAATTAACCTTTATTAATAGGAAGAATTAAATTGTGAAATTTAATTCATATATTATCTTTGAGGAGTTGAGTCAACCCACTACCTTGCTAAAGAGAACCTATAGATTTGCACACCCAAAGAATGTGATTAGAATTACAAATGAGTAGAAATGAAATGAGGAGACACAAGTCAATGGTTGATAATCAAATGTCAAAGTCAACATGTTGACCAGAGCAATTGACCAAAGTCAAATAGTTCGACTGAGTCAATTAAGTAAAACTATAATTATAATTTAATAGTTAAATTATAATTAAAAGATTAATTATGGAATTAATATTGACATATTGAAATATTGGATTGGGCTTTTAAATATGATTTAAAAAGAAAGTGACACAATAGCCTAAAAAGCTATTGGGCCCAAGGGATAAGTGGCATAAGATGACATGACCCATGGATCAAATGGAGCCCCAAATACCCACCGAATTGCCTTTTGTGTTGTTCTATATAAGCTAAGCGTTGGAGAAAACCTAGCTGGGGTTTTTTGGTTTCCTACTTTGGTTGATGAGTGATCATTTTTGTATCTCATCTTCCATAAACCAAAAATTGGTCTAATCAAGAAGTAGACTAGCATCCATACTTCTTGATTGCCTTCTCTTCATCTCTAGGAGCATTTGGTGTGGTGAGGAGGTAGATGACTCCAATCTTGGAGCCTTAAGGTGAATGAGTCAAAATCAAGAGAAAGAAAATGTCTTTCTAACAAAGGTGTTCATTATTGAGAAATCAAGAAAATGTCAAGGGTAAAGATCTATTCTTTTTTTCCCTTTTCTATTTGTGTTCAAAGAGACTAGACTAAGATACTTGGTTTAAAATTAACACGATTTAGCTCAACTAGTATAAACAATATGAATCCACCATTTAGAATGTTTTTGTTGAATAGGTTGTAGCTAAAGTTTATTTCCTAAGCATTAGATGCATGTTTCCTTCACACCATTGATACTTCTACCATCTCTACCACCAATATCACAAGCATCATGGCCCACTATTATTTCGAATTTATAGAAGTTTATAAAAATCTATCAAACTCCATGATAAGATTCTAACAAATGTCATCCAATAATACTTATTTTTTAATAATATGTACATATTTTCAATAATACTTCCGTTTCCCGTACACGTCATAAAGACTAAGTAAACGTTTTTTAAAAAGCAAACATACAATTCAAGTATTGTACACGTACGTACGTATTTTTCTTGTTTATTGTCCCCTTTTGATTTTTTACTTTTCTAGATTTATTACCCGTATAAAGAACTTAGCATTTTCCCCTTTAACACTCGTATTATACGAGTATGTACATACTTTTCAATAATAATACTGTTTTCCATACACGTCTTAAAGACTCGGTAAAATACACTTTAAAATATATTGAGACGTGTATGAAAAACAGTATTATTATACACGTACGTACATACTTTTCTTCTTTAACACATGTTTGTTACAAATTTTCAGTCAGTATATAGTTAGTAGGTATTGTTGCTTTTTTTTTTTTTTTTTTTTTTTTTTTTTTTTTTTTTTTTTTAATAATAATAATTATTTAATTATAATTATATATTAATAGTATAGCCAGGCGGCTAAATTGTGGGGGAAAAAAAAAGGGTGCCTAGGCGGTAGGCGGGTCCTATTATTTTTTATTTTTTAAGAATATATAGTACAGCCGTGCGGCTATACCAGGGTCCCCTTTTTAAATTTTTTTACTGCACAGTATAGCCGTATGGCTAAACGTACAACTGTGCGGACGTTAAATATATTTGAATATTTTAACAGTATAGCCACCCGGCTATACGGCACAAAATGGTTTCTTTTTTGTAATTAAGTAATATCTTAGCAGTTTTTAATTACTTAAATTAGTAATTATGTTTTAAATTTTTATTTAGTAATTAATTAGTATTTAAATATTTAACTAATTTCATAATTACTTAATAAATAGTAATTAATTATTTTAAATTACTTTATGGACTTTGTTTTTTTATTTGTCTTATAAAATTAGTTTGTTTAGTTTAATATTTGCAATTAAGTAATTTGTTAGACATTTAATTATATTAATTATCATTTATATTTTATTTAATGAATAATTAGAAAGTTCAGCTGATAATAGCCTAGAGAATTTAAAGGGCCGGTACAGAGTTGAAGGTTCTTCTTTATTCTTTTGTTTTGTTTTGAAATGTTCAAATACACTTGTTATTTCCTTCTCCGCTAGAGAAAGATACTGAAGATTTGCATGAATTTTATCCGGTGATTGGTATGTAACATAATCATCTATTGGCATTTAGCCAGCTCTCTCTTTTGGAAAAATTGATGTTGATTGTTTTCTTTTGTTTAAAAACTATCACCAGAAAGAAATGCCCTTTGTATTGTGTGATGTATGTTGGACTACATTCGTGGTAAGACTTATCTGTGCTTAACACTCTTGCTCAGCGGTCTAAGCATTAGATAAATTTAGTATATGTTTGTCTCACTGAGGGTGTCCTTTCTCCTTCTAGTTTCTCTTCCGTTTTGCATCACTTATTGACATGGATTTTTTCTCCAATCCCAAGAAGTTGAAATCCCTTTATCCGAGTATTACCGATGATTGTTCACACCTTTTTTGGAGCCTATGTTAACAAGACACTACAATGGACGTTCAACGTTCAATTGTGGCTATACTACAACACAGATGCAGAACTTGCATGTCTTTTGAACTAGTGTACATTAGTGTAGTAATGGAGCTGGCTTTGGTTTTCTGGTATAACTGCGATGCTCTGTCTACTTATTGTCTTGGAACTTTGCTTCTTTCAGTGTCTCTCGTTGCTTTTATGGTTGGAAGAACGCTACGAGACTGTATACACACTCCATCCTGGTTTCCAGAAAGGATCTAAGCCACTCCTTGAAGTAGATAACCCATTCCCGATGGAACTTCCAGAAAATCTTGTTGGGGAGAAATCAGCCTTTGTCCAATTGCCCTTTTCAGGTAAAGGACTTGCTAATGAAGATTTCTGGGTCTTGACAAACATAACAACTCACATCCTGTCACCTGCCCTAACCATCCAATATTTCTTTTTAACATTTCCTGTTTGCACACTAAATCTAACTCCTGTTGTCAGCTGTTCAAGAGGAAATCTCATCCTTGGACTCAAACCTCGTGTTTGGTGCGAGTCTAGATTTGGATTTGTTGGGGATTGAAATTGATGACAAGACATTGATTCCAGGATTGGCTGTTGCATCTCCACGTGCTAAACCTCTAGCAGGTGTACATTCTCTCCAATATCATCTTCTGGTCTTTCTATGTCCAGATAATTATTTCTTTCTTCTTATGCATATTCACTCTATCTATACACTGCAAATATCTTTGGATAGATGTTCTTCGTACAGATAGCCTAACATTTTATGTTGCTAGATTGTTAATATAAACCATTGGTCGAGTGGACTGTAATTTGAATTTGTAGTCCAGATTGACCGTCAACCAACTTACCATTTGAAGTTCCTTGACAAGATCACAGTATCCTACATGGACATAGACCCAATTTTTTTATCAGGCCAGTGATATTCTACCCTTAAGAGTGGTAGTGATAAACTTGGTTCCTTCATGGGATATTGTGATACGTTCTCCTTGAATCTGCTATCTTATTCCTGTTGTGTCTTATACAATTTTCTGGTGTTCCTTTATCCGTAAGAGATCATAATCACATCTTTCTATAAACTGTTGCAGCTTGGATGAATGGGTTGGAAGTTTCTTCAATTGAAGCCGATTTGTCACATGCTCGCTTGATTCTTTCTGTTGGAATTTCTGGGCGATATATTTATGCTACCTACAACAAAACTCCTGAAACAACAAGTGAAGCTGAAGCTTGGGAAGCAGCAAAGAAGGATTGTGGAGGTTTGCACTTCCTTGCAATCCAGGGTGACTTGGATTCGGATGATTGTGTTGGATTTTGGCTTCTACTGGACTTGCCACCTCCACCTGTATAGAGTGTAATCAGTCCAAACAAATTTTAAAAAGAAGTTACTTTTACACATTAATTTCTCGGTTATATAGCTTCATGCTTCTAGTTGCAGAAATTATAGCAAATATTCCTTTAGAGCTGAGTTTTCTCATTAAGGTTTTTTGCCGTTCTTGATTTTTATGACTTCGTCTCAGATCACATATGCATCATTCTATTTCTAAGAAAAGCTGAAACCGGGAAATCAAGCTCATTATCCGGGGTCTGTATGCGGGTCTGAAGCTTGGGATTCGGGGTTTAGGTGCAAACTTGGGTTCGGGGTCCCAATCTAAATCCCAGCATCTGAATTCTGAACCACGGCTTCTTAAATTTAATTCAATGTATGATGTTCACCACTCAAAAACTAAGAAAAAAAGCTCAAAACAAAACATGGATCAGGTAGGGGTGGGGGGCTGCAGCTTTTAGGGGGTTGGTGTTGTTGCCGGAGGGATGAAGGTACTTGGGGACGGTGGTGGGAGGAGGGCAGCGGAGAGTAGGGTCTGAGAGGAAGAAGGTGGGAGAGAGATAAGATAGAGTTGTCTTTAGTTTGGGAATTGTCTGCAATTGACCCAAAAAAATAAAACAAAGAAAGAAAGCAGTGGAACGATGGTATATTCAGTAGGTCTTCAAATTGCTAAAATCTGAAATTCAAATTTACCTAAACGGCTAGAGATGATCTAACTTCTTTTCAGGTAGAAAATATTTTCAAATACACATATGGTAATCTTAACCCTCACTCATACTCCTTGATTTACCCCAAAGAGCATATGCAAATTATGAATATGCATCTCTCTTTTCAAACTACATTAAACTTCAGTGGGTATATTTGTAAGGGATTATGTACTAAAAATGTCAAATGAGAAATTAAACACAAGAATGAACTCGGGGAATACACATAATTTGGCAGTATAATAAACACAACATCTATAAATTCAACCGCAGTAATCAAAACTGGAACTCAACTCAAAACTGCATGAGATGCTAAGAGATGCCGTAAAAATGTTAAATCTTCTTTTTCTCAGGCAAGCACTTTTGAGTCGAACGTGCCAGCTTTTGTTTCAACTTCTTGAACATCTTCATGATTCTGCAGAGGCATAGTTGACAACAAGAAGTTATAAAAAAAATGATAATTTTGGAAAATTACAAGAGAAATTCTTGGTGCCATAATATCAAAGAACATAAAAGTGACCGGGTACACAGTTAACCACAAAAAATTTACAAGCGTAGACCACGTTTGTTGCCTAGGATTGGATTGGATACCTTATTAGATTCAAGGTATGTTGAAATAAAAAATGAAGGTAGAGCAGAAGGATTTTTCATCGTGTGGGAAGTTATAAGGTTTCCTTCATTACTAATATCCATCTTCTACCTCCAACTTGGACCAAGTGTGGAAGATGGCCTCCATTTCTTCCTTCAACATACCTTGAATCTAGTGAGTTATCCCAATCCAATCCAATCATAGGCACCAAACACAGCCACACAGTAATAACAAAAGGTCCCAAATCAGAAAAAGATCAGTAGCCAATTAAAATGAATACAGCATAAAGCATATAAAAACCAAAGCAGTTCATTTAAAAACACCAACACTGTAGACTTTCAGAAGATATTTCCAAAATATGAAAAGAAATTCTCTACATCAACAACGAAGTAGACCCAGAGTGGTATCAATGAATTTCACGTATAGTTTGCTAGTTATTACTCTTGCAGCTTTTTTAATTAAACAACTACAAAAAATATGGAATAGAGGAAGAGATGAGAAATATCAGGTACAGTTATTGTTAAACACCAAATTAGGTGGATATTCCAAACAAATAAACTGTTCAAAGGACTAACTTTCTCAATATCAGCTGACAATTGATTAGAGGAGAGGTATGAATCAATAAAGCTTCTTACATTTCCTTAATTCTGTGACCTTTCCCTGTGAATGTTTGGATGTCTGATGTACTTTCAGTTCCAGGGGAACTTTCTGCGGGGGCATTTTCAACTGGTTCAAGAACTTGTGGCTCAAATTGACCAGCACATGATTCTGTACCATTTGAAACACTTGAAATTGGATTCGGCCCAAATCCTTCCTGAATACTAGTTTGTGGAGGCTGAATAGACACAGTCGAGATATACACAACCCAGAAAGTAATTTTAAAAAGGAGAAATGTTGAATCATAACATATACAAATTAAATCATTATTCTTACAAATATGATAATTATTCAGAACCTCGTTTGGAGGCTACAAGTACACAACAAGCGCAAGCAAATAATAATAGAAAAAATTTGTAGAACCAGGAATACAAGTATACAAGGCAGGCAGGAAAGTAAATATTCAGAATATTAGTCCAACCAGAACTTTATCTTTCTTGGAGAAACCAAGCAAAACTGTGAGAACAAGAATGCACTTTATAGATTACATAGTATAGATAATGAATATCACCTTTATTTGTTCTTTTGGTTCCATATACAAAACTGAGTTAATAAACCACGCAAGATATAAATTTTGGAATTTATGAAATAGAAAGGAAAGAATGTGTGCGAAAACTCACCAGTCTTTCAGAAGACGGACCGTGGTGTGAAGTGGCAGGGCCAAGGCTGTGACATTGAAGAAAATATAGAAATTAGAAGACAGCAGAGTGGTAACCAAGGGTTCTACCTTCACGAAATTTTCTTTCATGCACACGAGTTGCGGATGAGTTACTTCAGCCATTAGTCCGACAATCCTAAAACCCAAACATCAACTGCTCTCTCATCACCTTCAATCTAATAGCTGAAGTAATTCATGTGCCCTTAGCTGCAACTAACCCATGTGCATGAGAGAAAACCTCCTCTACTCTGCTTATACAGAGGAAATAGTTGAACACTTGAATTAAATTTTTATCAAGACAAAGGAGAGACACAATAAGAGCAATATAATATGTTGATGATATCCACAATTCATGCACTTAATTATTGATGATATCCACAAAGCATATGAATACCAAAGATCTATGAAGTACTTAATTTTGCAAACACCAATGATGCATGTTTTCAGAAGGAAACACCAAATGATAAAAAGCTGTATCTCAAAGCTGCAACAGTATTGAGTGTCTGATCTAGCCAAATGATAAAAATGTTGAGATTTATCTTAATTATGTTTTCTGCAGAATAATTGTTAGTTCCTATATTATAGGAGTCAGTTGTTTCCTTTCCAGGTCTTTAGGAATCCCTCTAGTGGATGGAGTTTGTTAGACGTGTTTTAGTTGTTCCTGTTTATTTACTAATAAGTTGTTTGTACGCTCCTCTATAAGAAGAGCATTTTTCAGTCAATGAATAACAAGTTCAGTTCAACAATTCTATTGTCTTCTTATTTTCAAAGCTATCTTTTAGTTCTCACAATCTGGTATCAGAGCCCCCACTGGGCATGACTTAAAATTCTCCAAAAAAGCTGTGCAAGGATTGATTGCATCAAACAAGGTTCAAGAGAACTACGTGCAGCCAGCCATACTTCGTTTTGATGGTCATTATGACCATTGGAGAATGTTAATGGAGAATTTTCTGAGATCCAAAGAGTATTGGAGTCTTATTGAAAATGGAATTGCTGAACCAGCAGAGGGAGCGTTGTTGACAAAAGCACAATAGAAAAGACTTGATGAACAGAAATTGAAGGACCTGAAAGTGAAAAACTACCTCTTCCAATCGATTGATCGATCCATTTTGGAGACTATTCTCCAAAAGGACACTTCCAAGCAATATGGGAGTGTATGAAGAAAAAGTATCAAGGTTCCACACCAAGGTGAAGGGTGCACAGCTTCAAGCACTCTAGAGAGATTTTGAAACTCTTCACGTGAAACCAGAAGATTCTGTTGATGAATACTTCTCGAAGACGATGGCAATTGCAAGTAAGATGCGGCTTCATGGTGACAAGATGGATGATGTCACAATCATTGAAAAAATTCTGCGTTCAATGTCACCGAAGTTTAACTATGTTGTTTGTGCAATAGAGGAAATCATGATTCCAACAACAGAGGAAATTATGATTCCAGCAACAGAGGAAATTATGATTCCAGCAACAAAGGCAAAGATCGATACAGACACCAAAGCTACCATGAGTTCCAACTCGACAAATCAAATATTGAGTGCTATAGGTGTGGTAGGTATGGTCACTGCCGTTCTGAATGCTGCACTAACATGAATAGAGAAAGGGGAGAAAAAATCCAATTTTACAGAGATAGAAGAAGAAGCTACACTTCTGCTGGTGTGTCAAGTCGTGGAGAACACTCATTAGGATGTATGGTACATTGACACAGGATGCAGTAACCATATGAGCGGTAACAAGTCATCATTCTCTTACTTAGACGAGTCTTTTCGATCTACTGTTCGTTTTGGTGATAATTCTGCAATTTCTGTTATGGGAAAAGGCAATATTTCAATCTGGGCTAAGGATAACACTACACAAACCATCTCTAGTGTTTTCTATGTCCCAGATTTAAAAAGCAATTTATTAAGTGTGGGGCAGCTTCAGGACAAAGGCTATGAGATCACAATTAAAGAAGGAATGTGTCAGATTCAAGATTCAAAGAAGGGACTCATTGCACAGGTCAAAATGACACCAAATCGTATGTTTCCTCTGCATATTCAAAGTGTGGGCCATACTTGTTTTTCTGCCAAAGTGAAGGAGACAGCTTGGTTGTGGCATTATCGTTATGACCACTTAAATTTCAAGGGATTGAAGACTCTACAACTGCTGAACATGGTGAGAGGTCTTCCAAACATTGATTGTCCAACTCAAATTTGTGAAGAATGTGTTCTTGGGAAGCAGCATCGTGAAATTTTTCGGAAAAGAAAAGCATGGAGAGCAAAAATCCTTTGGAGCTTATTTTCTCATATATTTGTGGACCCATCAATCCAACTTCCAATGGTGGCAAGAGGTATTTCATTACGTTCATTGATGACTAGAGTAGAAAATATTGGGTGTATTTCTTGCAGGCAAATCTGAAGCTTTCTCAGCCTTTAAAAGCTTTAAAGCCCTTGTTGAAAACGAAGTCGAAAGAAATATAAAAGTTCTTGGAACTGATCATGGTGGAGAATTCATCTCACAAGAATTTGAGGATTTCTGTGAGACACATGGAATTTGAAGGCAACTAACGGCACCGTATACACCACAACAAAATGGTATTTGTGAAAGGAAGAACCGAACAATCTTGAACATGGTTCGAAGCATGCTGAAAATTCGTGGTGTTCCAAGAACGTTTTGGCCAGAAGCAGTAAATTGGTGTATTCACATATTAAATAGGAGTCCGACTCTTGTTGTCAAAAACATGACGTCTGAATAGGCTTGGAATGGTCACAAACCACCTGTAAATTACTTCAAAATTTTCGGTTGTATAGCATATGTTCACGTTCCCGATGAGAAGAGGAAGACGCTTGATGATAAGGGAGAAAAGTGTATTTTTCTTGGGGTTAGTGGGCACTCAAAGGCCTATAAATTGTATAATCCCACCGCCAGGAAGATCATCATCAGTCGTGATGTATTATTTGATGAAGGAACAATATGGGGCTGGACAGATAAAGGCTCAAAGCAACAACAGCAGCAGCAGATTTCTGTTATTTTTTATGAAGAAGCAGCAAGCAAAGAAACTGGAGCAATTGCAGCCCTCTAATGAAGGCCAGCCATCTAGTTTTCGACCCCAACGCACAAAGAAAAGGCCAGCATGGATGATGGATTATGAGGTTAGTGAAGATGATCAATCTGAAGATGATGGACGAACTTATTTCGCATTGTTTACAGACTCTGATCATGTAACTTTTCAAGAAGCTCACAAAGAAACCAAATGGCGAAGAGCCATGGATGATGAAATTAGATCCATTAAGAGAAATAACACATGGGATTTGACAGATCTTCCTAAAGGGCAGAAGTCGATTGGTGTAAAATGGGTCTGTAAAACGAAGCTGAACAAGGAGGGTGGAGTTGACAAATACAAGGCACGGCTGGTGGCTAAAGGATATAAGCAGAAGTATGGCATTGACTATAATGAAGTGTTCGCTCCGGTCGCTAGGATGGATACAATCAGACTGGTACTTTCACTGGCAACACAAAACTCATGGCCCATCTTTCAATTGGATGTGAAATCAGCGTTCCTACATGGGAGCTTACAAGAACAAGTATGCGTTGATCAACCTCCTGGATATGTGCAGCCCGGAAAGGAAGGGAAGGTATACAAGTTGAGAAAAGCATTATACGGGCTGAAACAAGCACCTAGAGCTTGGTACAGCCGTATAAATGCTTATTTTGCTAAAGAAGGTTTTCAAAAGTGTCCGTATTAACACACGTTGTTTAGTAAAATTGGTGCTGGTGGAAAAATTCTTATTGTCTGTTTGTATGTAGATGATTTAATCTATACAGGCAGTGATATGACTATGATTGATGTTTTTAAGAAATCTATGATGGCAGAATTTGAAATGTCTGATCTTGGTTTGATGCACTAATTCCTTGGCATTGAAGTAGAGCAATCTCCTGTTGGGATTTTCATATCCCAAAAGAGGTATGTTCATACTATTTTGGACAGGTTTCGGATGTCAAATTTCAATCCTGTTGGCACTCCTACTGAATGTGGTTTGAAGCTAACAAAGGATCATGAAGGAGAGAAAGTAAACAGCACCCTCTACAAACAAATTGTAAGAAGTTTGATGCATGTCACAGCCACTAGGCCAGATGTAATGCATGCAGTCAGCCTCATCAGTCATTATATATATGGAATGTCCTACAAGTATGCACCTACTTGCTGCAAAGAAGATCTTCTGCTATTTAAAAGGAACTTCTGATTTTGGCATACTTTATAAAAAGGGTACAAAGGATGGTTTGATTGGCTTTAGCGACAGCGATTACGCTGGAGACTTGGATGATAGAAGGAGCACATCAGGACATGTTTTTACAATGGGATCAGCAGCTGTATCTTGGTCTTCAAAGAAACAGCCAATTGTGACTTTATCGACTACTGAAGCAAAGTTTGTTGCTGCAGCATCTTATGCATGCCAAGCTGTTTGGTTAAGGAGGCTACTTGGAAAGCTCAATTTTAATCAGCAAGATCCCACACCAATGTTCTGTGATAATATTTCTGCAATCAAGCTGTCCAAAAATCCAGTTTTGCATGGAAGGAGTAAGCATATAGATGTGAGGTTCTATTTCCTACGTGATTTGTGTAATGATGGTACCATTGATTTGATCTTTTGTAAAAGTGAAGACCAAGCTGCAGATATCCATTGCTTTGATCTTCTTGAAGCTCAGGAAGATGTTGGAAATTTGCTTTGCCATGTCTTATGACATTCAGTTTAAGGGAGGATGTTGAGATTTATCTTAATTATGTTTTCTGCAGAATAATTGTTAGTTCCTATTTTATAGGAGTCAGTTGTTTCCTTTCCTGGTCTTTAGGAATCCCTCAAATGGATGGCGTTTGTTAGACGTGTTTTTGTTGTTCCTGTTTATTTACTAATTAGTTGTTTGTACGCTCCTCTATAAGAAGAGCCTGTTTCAGTCAATGAATAACAAGTTCAGTTCAACAATTCTATTGTCTTCTTATTTTCAAAGCTATCTTTTAGTTCTCACAAAAAAGCTGTATCCCAAACATGTAAATTTCTCAAAACGTACGCACTAACATTGACAATGCATTAAAGAAAACGTGATGGATCAACATATGCAGATAAGAACAGTTGATTGAATTCCTAAATTTGTCAAATTACGGTCATAATCTAACACTTGAACCTGATCTAAATCAGAAAAAGATAAAAAAAATAAATAAAAAATAGAGTTCTTACGCTTTCTTCTTCCGGCTATGAGCCTGTGGGGTGATGTGAAGGACACGTGAGCCTTTACCGCTGGACGGTGCATGCGGGCCAAAGCCTACCGCAATATCATCCCGATTTACAGGCAGAACAGATGCCATAGACATAGAATTGCTGTTACACGCAAACGAAAAGGAAGAAAAAACAAGCGAGTTTGGTAAAACGAGTAACTAAATAATGGAAGTGACAAACTAGAAAACAAATTCTGATTGTCTTTACCCACCACTAGAAAACCACTCTGCGACTGCGAGTCCTGAATGGAAGAAGATATGGCGAGTGAAATGCGGCCGCCAGATATGGAGGCTAATAAAACTATAACGAGGTGTTTAAAGCGTGGCTATTGAGGGGTATCTCACCATCATAAAGATATATCATAAAGAAATCATGTGGGGATTGGCGTCCTTTTCTTCTAACACCTCATTATCGGACAGCCCTTGCCAGGGCAATAGGGGCCCAAGCCCCGTGTCATGATTCCAGCGGCCTTGACCTGGACAAAAACTTCCTGGGATGCCACCGTCAGCAAACCACGTAAGTATCCCAAGTTAATAAAATCTTGACAGCTGGCAACTAATTTTCTTCCAATTTTAAATATTAAAAAAATGTTCTGAACCCATTTTTTCCTCTCTCTCTCATCCATTAATCTCTCTCTTCAATGACGACTCCACCATCATCACCACCCACACGCCCCTGCATTCACTCCTCTTTTTCTCTTCAATCACCCAGCCCACACAATCAATTTGTTTTTCAATTTAAAATTTACAAAGTATTTTCACCTATGTTCTTCCTCTTCTCTCTCTCTCTCCCCCATTCCTCTTGTAGTCCGTAAAAAAAAAACTTTGTTCTTCTTCTATTTCTGGTGTTACACTTTTTCTACAGTCACTCCTTTAACACCCACACATCATTTATTGATTTCTCTCTGTTTTTTTGTTTAATATATTTAACTGAAAAGGTAAAAAAGGATAATACTTTATGATAATGGAATGGCAGGAGAGATTCCTTAGATCCGGAGAAGAAATCAATACATGGCTGGAGAAATTTTTTTGTTGCTGACGTTATCGCATCAATATTTGGTGCGATTTTTTTATTGGCTTGGGACACTTACGTGGTTTGCTGTTAGTGGCATACCCACGAAACTAGGCCTGCCCGAACTCAAGCCCGGTTTGCTAACGTCAATGATAACATCAGTAACAAAAAATTTTAAAAAAAACTACGCAAAAAATTTTCAAAATTTTTTAAAAAATAAATACTTAGTTATATTTTTCACTTTGCATACCAAAACTCTATACAAATTTCTCTTATCATATCTTATGTGAATAGTTGTTGCCATGACAATAGACGGAAACACCATAACCTTTTGCAAGGGCTACTACTATTCACTTGAATGGTAACAATCCTTACCTTGTCTTTACCCTTTGTCATAGCAAATGGATGAAAGTCCTCTTAACCTCTCCAGAAAAAACAACGGGCTAATTACATTAATAGTGGCTCATGCGAACGCAACATACAGGGTACTTTTGTCCTTTAATATATGCAAATAAAAGATTGCAAAGAAAGTCCCCAGGACAAGGGGCCCAAAGATGGAAAAATAAACCGCACCAACAATAGAAAGAGGAAGCCCATCCTCCCAAAGCCTAGGGGGGTAAAAGCCCAGGTGCTACTTTTCTTGAAGAAATGGAACAAGTAAGTCTTTGTTTTTTGAGTCGCAAAAACTAATAAATCAAGTGAGTTAAAAATAAATATTAGGTCGGCTATTTACAAGGGTCACAATGAATCAACGGAGGGAGGCTAATTCATAGCTTTTTGGGGGATCTCAGATTCTCAGTTCAGTGGGTGAGCAGAAGTGATAAAATGATCTGGTTTGGTGGATGATGAAATCCAAATGGGACAACAAGAAAAAAAAAAAAAAAAAAAAAAAAAAAAAAAAAAAAAAAAAACAAAAGATCAGAGATCAAGAGAAAAAGAAAGGAGAGAGTAGTAAAAAAAACCAACCCATTTGCATTTCGACGTCATCCGGTGTCAACAAAGAGAAACTCCACCGCATACATGTTGACAATGGCAGCTGACGATGGTCATTGATGATTTTGGCCTCTGTGTGTTTCAGACCTAGCCAATACTGCTGCATTTTCCACCCAGATGTCATTTCAGAAGAACCAGCAAAGGTTTGAAGAAAAAGAAAGCAAAACAGAAGAAAACATAGCATCTGGAAAATGCAGCAAGGTCAATGAGTGCAGGAGCACTAAACAAGGTGCAATACCCTAAACAGAGGAAAGTACAAAAGCACGCCGATTCGCCGGACGGACAACGTGACTCTTTGTCGTGTCCTCATCTGGACAGCATGATGTATATATATTATTGTTTTATACGATATCACTTTCTTTTTTCCATTTTTAAATCATCCAATTCTCTGCAACAACTGAAAACCCATTGGTTTCCTTTTATTTTTTTGGTTGCTGGTCGAATTTGTCAGTAGATTCTATAGCCCTCAATGGTTAATTTGTTCTCACTGGTATAAAATAATAAACAGGTAGTTCCCGTTCAATGCAAATATGATATGAGCGTTTTAGGCAATTCATTCCAAGCTGAGTTGTTCAACAAGTAGTGTTGTATGTTATGGTGTATTTGTTGGAAATATGAGTGCTAAATTGCTATAAAATAAACAAAATAAAAACTGCACATAAAACAAATTTTTACTAAAGGAGAATTGAATTAGAAGAACCTTAATTGAGTCGAGGCAAGTGTTGGACAATCTGACCTTAAGACGAATTACGCCCCACACTGGTGCTTATGGTTCACTAGCGTTCCCCTCCCATGATACAACGACTCCCCTCCTTGTGAAAGAAGCACTGCAATTCACAAGGAACTTTGAACCAAATTATACATGAACCTCTCTTTATGAAAACTCTAATGCTCTCTATATATGAAAGTCTGTATGTAGAAAATTAAACTGAATGAATAAAACTACAGGAGGATTGCTCTATTTATAGATGATGAATACTCTTTCCAAAAAGGTATCCTAATATGAAAAGGCAAACAATGCATCCCTTGGTCTGAAGAGTTGTCACCTCAAACAATGCATCATTTGGTTCGAAGGGTTGTCACCCCCCCATGTGAAGATGTCTTTAACCCAAGGGTCATGTCTTTAACCCAATGGATTTTATTTATTTCCATTCAAATAGGAAAATTAATATTAGTTAATATTAAATTTCCAACAATCCCTCACATAAATGGAAATTGACTCAACAACATGCAAACAAAAAATGAAGACACTAGAGAGAGTCCCTATTAGAAGAATACTGCATCTGGATAGGTAGCTTTTGGCCTTATGAACCTTCCATAGTGGAATACTATCAGATTTACTTGGCTAATTAGTGAACATTATGTCTTGAAATGTTCAGCTGTTTGTGTAAACCTAGACAATAGCACTCACACAATACCCTTCTAAACATATCTGGTTCGATCGGTTATGCTCGTTTTGGCCTTGAGTGATTCTTAGTATTCATGAGAGCTTTAGAGGATTCGAGCCTTAAAAAATTCTCATAGAAACGGCCTCATTTCACACTCACATAGGTGACTTCCTATTAAGAGTATCCTACACTACCCCACTCGGATTTCCAAGCTATAGGAATCATTAAAATCAAAGATTACCCTAAAACACACTTACAGGCAGCACTGTTTCATCATAGGACATGGGTAGGAGATGTAATCTCGGTAGTGCTACTACTTAGTCATCCATAATTTGGTTGTCCCTTTTGAACCTAGATCTTGGGATCTCCAGTCAGCTGGGTTGGGTATCCACTATGGAGTCTTTAAATATTTAGGCTTATACTCTCATTCCCCTCGATGATCAACTAACTCTCTAGTCTGACCTTTAAATATTGGATCCACTAGGTTGACTATTTCTGTAATATATTGCCATCATAATTTCATATATGGAAATAAATTCCATTCAAGAGTAGTTGTACTATGTTGAGCATTTAATTTATTTTTTTAAGACTTAATAATTGTGCCAATTGAGTAACCTTCTAATACTCAATTAGACACCCCCCACATTTGTGGTACTTATAGGAAGGTCTCTAACCTTCTCATACCTTGTATAAGAGAAATTTAAACTCTTTTGAACATCGAAGCCTCTCTCCACAAAAACGTGGTGCTTATGAACTAATCTAGAAAACTTCCCTCTGTCAGGAAATAGAATTCCAAATTTTCCTTCATGTCTGTCACCCCCACAATTTTCACATAATTGTTGAAGGTATTGAGCAATATGTTAATCATTTTTTCATATACCTAAGAAGTAGAAAACTTTTACTTTATCTTTAAAGAATGAGATAATAGTTCAATAGTATTAGTTTATAATTTCCTTTAAATCAATTTAATGTTGCATTAGTAATAGAATCATGTTTATAACATAATTAACATGTTCTAGTTACCATACCCTCATTAATTGATTAAACCAAATCATTATAAAATTAATTTTCCTTTATAAAGTGCACATCAATTTATACATAGGGTAAGGCTTTGGTACCCTTTGTCCATATGCATCTCATTCTATAGGTAGTACAATGGAGATATTTATTCTTAAAATATCTTCACTTCTTAGGCTCTTTGTAATAGAACTACTAATTAGCTTTCCCCCTTTGAAGCCTCAAAGTTTTCATACCAAGTGCCTCACTCGAAATACTTTGACTGGTTTCTAACCACGACCAACATGGTTGCTGGCATGAGTTATGATTGTTAACATAGTCCTACATGGTTTCCCATTTCTCATACAGAGTAACAAAGTCCCACAAAATTTACAAAACAAAATTTTTTCTGAACTGTAAACAAATTGATATGTCTCATAATAGAGAGCATGTGGGTCTGTACACTTTCCCGCATATCTTCTATTGGACTGCAGCATGGCAATGCCTCCTGGAAGATATCAATGTTGGTTTGAAAATGCTATAATAGCACCTTCTAACTTAAAAGAATCCAACCAAACGGGTTGTATATCTCCAACAGCCCCAGCACATTGCATGAACCTAATATTCTATACAAAATCATAGAACATATCTTTTGACATCAAATGGGTTGCCTTCACAAAATTTTGTTTTGCCTAACACAGCAAAACTTCCAGATTTCGATGTCCAACAGAAACAAATGCCAAACAGAAAAATAAGAAAAAACGATGCTATAATTCATAGGGAAAATTTTCAATTGTATATAACGTACTTTGCCTAACAATAGAAAGAGAATGCAATCAGACTTTCTTTGTGGTAATATTGATGACTGGGTCCTATTATGCTAACTTAGATGTCTGCAACTTTGAATTGTATAAAACAAAAAGAAACTGAACGGAAATCCAATTATAAAAAAAAAGGTTTACCCAGAAGTAATGAAACAGTTGAATGAATAACCAAATAATTCAAACTCAAGTCAACAATGCAGTGAAACTGTAATACGCATCAAAATCATTTTACATTTTTTCATCTAAATGCATAATCACAGACTAATATACATAGAAATTAACACAAAGTGTAATTCATCTTAAGATTGTTGGAAATATGAGTGCTAAATTGGTATAAAATAGACAAATAAATACTGCACATAAAACAAATTTTTACAAAGGAATTAGAAGAACTTTAATTGAGTCGAGGCAAGTGTTGGACATTCTGACCTTAAGAAGAATTACGCCCCACACTGGTACTTATTGTTCACTAGTGTTCGCCTCCCAGGATACAACGACTCCCCTCCTTGTGAAAGAAGCACTGCAATTCACAAGTAACTTTGAACCAAATTATACAGGAACCTCTCTTTATGAAAACTCTAATGCTCTCTATATATGAAAGTCTGTATGTAGAGAATTAAACTAAATGAATAAACTGCAGGAGGATTACTCTATTTATAGATGATGAAATACCCTTTCCAAAAAGGTATCCCAATCTGAAAAGGCAAACAATGCATCTCTTAGTCTGAAGAGTTGCCACCCCAAACAATGCATCATTTGGTTTGAAGAGTTGTCACACCCCATGTGAAGATGTCTTTAACCCAAGGGTCATGTTTTTAACCCAATGGATTTTATTAATTTCCATTCAAATAGGAAAATTAATATTAGTTAATATTAAATTTCCAACAGTATTCAATTGAGATTTTAAAGAAGTTTCAAAGTTCAAGGTTAGATTTTATACAAGTTTATAAAATTCTGTATTCAATTCAAACTTTCTAAAGTTTAAATTTGGAGGTATTCATGGCGATTTCAAAAGACTACATCAATATTTGGGTCTATTAAGAAAAAGGACAAACTATAGTACCCGCCTACCTATAGGGTTATTTACGAGTTCATATCCGATTTTAAGAACATTTACCAGTACATAATCAATGTCGCGGAAACCCTACAATTTGCCCCCTCCGTTAGCCAAATTGTTAGTGAGTCTGTTAATGCTGACGTGTCAAAAGCGGGACCCCTTTTTTGATGAGGTGGACTTCCACGTTGACCAAAAATTAATATAAAAAATATTTTATTGTTTAAATTATTTATTATTGTTAAATTAATTCAAATTTTAAAAAGCAAAATTTTAAAAATAAAAATAAAATCTAGCAAAAATCAAAAGAAAAAAATTTCTCTTCGTCTCTCTCTTCCCAGCCCCACCCCGACTGACTGCGTCTTCCCACACACATAAAAACAGACACCATCTCCAACCTGCACTAGGCCCACCCACCCCCTGGCATCTCTCTCTCTGGAACCTCAACCATTGCCTGACGACCCACCAGCCACCTCTCATCATCCTACTCAACCAACCCCCATCCTCCCTTCCTCCGACTTAACCCTTCGTCGGTCCACCCCAAACCCACCTCCAATGCCGTTCTCTCTCTCTCTCTCTCTCTCTCTCTCTCTCTCCAATACAACCAAACTCATCCATTTTTAATTTACCCAAGTTCAGTATAGATGAAATTTGGGCAGCAAATATTACAATAAATAAATTGGGCAGCAACATCACCTTTCAAGATGCCAAAATGGAGATTTCAGAATGAAAATTTCAAATAAATGTCCGGTATTACCAAACCAATTAGCTCGAATTTGAAATTGTATTCAATTTAATGGCCTCGAATTCATATTTCAAATTTCATTTCAGAGCAATATCAAATCTAGACACCCAACCACGACCTTCCTCTCCCCTCCATCTCCAACGCCCACCAAAGCTCCCTCCTTCTGACTGCAACACCAATGTCCATCAAAGTTACCCCCTCGCCCACCTCCCAACGACAAAACCAACTCTAGATTCGACTCCTAACCAGATTCAGATATGGGTTTTGTGTGCACTCTATTATATTAAACAACAAAAGATGATTGTTCACAAATTTGACAAATGGTGGGGGAATAGAGTTCATATGGGTTCAAAGATACATTGAAATATATAGCGAGCATATGTGCAAAAGCTGAACCATATGGTATTGTCGCATTGTTCCTCCCTCTTCTTGGAGACCTCCCTGTCCTCTCAAGGAAAAGGATATTTGGGAGACCTCTAAATTTGCTACTCGAGTCCAGAGAGTTGACAAACTGCATAATCGAGATTCAATGAGAAAGATTCCGAAAAACCATATAATCATATGAGGAAGAAAATGAGAAGATGCACATGAATGGGGGCTGATTGTCCAAGCAGTGGCAGAGGGTCTAGGGATGATGGATATTGTGAGGCTGAAAGGTTGGGGTTTGAACCTGGTCCAGAGTTTAAGTTCATATGGGTTTTGTGTGCACCCAACCACGGCTCTGGAAGTGGGATGGGGGAATAAGGATGGGGTCGGGGTCGATGAGATTTTGTATGGGGTGGTGGGGAGCGAGCTGGGTTGTTTCTTTACTTTTTGGTAGAGAAGGATCATATGGATGGAGGGTTTGGTGGTAAAGGCTATGGAGAGAGAGAGAGAGAGAGAGAGAGAGAGAGAGAGAGAGAGATTTTGAAATAATTTTAAAATAATTTAAACAGTAAAATGTTATAAATCTATGGAATGTGGATGACCACCATAACATCCATTACCTCCACCCCTTATTGCTTTGTAACTTATGCCCTTATTATTGTAATTAGTAGCTATAAATTGTGGGTTAAATACCTCTATTGTAAGCTTATAAATAAGCGCTTATCAAAGATGAATAAGATATGTTGATACAAGGTCATAGAATAAATTCTCTGTATTTCTCTTCCTCTTATTGCTATCTACAATTCCCCTTAGTTTTATAACACGTTATCAGCACGACATCGCTCTTGGTATGTTTTCTTTCTCTGAATTTTCTTTCTTCTTATATGAGCTAGAGTCATCCATGGTATAGAGTTTCTTTGTACTCACCATTAGACTTCATTATGCTCGTTTAAGAAAAAAAAATTTCTTATTCTTATTGCACATTAATATAATGCCATTATTATTATTTATTTGTTTGTTTATTTAATTTATGTATGATCTTAATTATTATGATGAGTTTGTATTATACAAAATATCAAAGCCCGAAGTTTCTCGATCCTCATCATATAACTAGATTAAGACCTAGAGTCCTTTTGATTGAATCAGAACCTGAAGTTCTTTGATTCCAAATAATTGAGGGCATGAAGTTTTGCGAATTTAAAGAGCATATAAGGACATGAAACTCCTTGATTTTGTATTAATAACAATCATAATTCCATGAGGCCTACATATGTCAAAAACCCGAACCAGAAGTTTCGAATGCATATATATCGATTTGAGTATGAAGTTCAAAGCATAACTATTAATTCAATTTATTTAGATCTAAGTATTCGAACATGAAGTTTCAAATATATGTATATATGAACCTGAAGTTCATAGTTTTTCATGGATCTTAATACTATATATGAACCTGAAGTTCTTACTTATTTATGCCTATATGAACCTGAATTGGTTGGAAATCCAATTCTTAAACTTGTAGTTTTATCTACATATTGAATTCACATTAATATTAGATTATCTTGGAATTTCATAGTCTTTAATTTATTTATTTTATTCCTCGTTTATACCACTTTACTCATTTTATTTTATTTATATGGGTTATTAGTTAATTTCGTTTACAATAGTAATGTTTTGTATTACCGCTCCAATATTGACAGTCAGAGGCATCTATTGGAGAAACTTCCTACTTTCTTTTGTGGGTAGGAACTTTATGATGTCATGAACCAGAAGTTTATTGACCGGATAACTTTTATGTTGTGGCATGATTGTCTTGGCAATCCATGTTCCTCAATGAACTTCTGGTTCATGACATCGTTTAAAGACTCAAAATATTGTCTTGTCCAACAAATATCATTACAAAGAATGCTCACAAATAAAATCTTTCATAAGATCATTTCAGTAAAAATTGACTTTGAGCCCTAATTCAAGGGGATATATGTGAGCCTATACAACATTTAATTATGAATCACTTCACTAGTTTTACTGAATGTGCCTACTAAAATGGTCACATATTTGATAATGACAGTGAGATTATTTTCCTAAATTTGGAGACAATTTTCTCACCATTAGGGGGAGAAATGGCAATTCCTGAAGAACGTCGTGAAATAGTGTTGAATCAATCCACTTTTGTCTTATCAAGATAATGCATATATAAGTTGTACATATGCTAATGTGGATTGAAATTCTCGTATCACATTCCATTAACATGGTGACTATATATATAATGCATGCGGGTACATGACAGAAATATAGGTTCTAAGGACTTAACTCCTCATAAGTGGAGATTATTTGAAAAATTCAAGCCCTATAAAAAATAACACTCTATAGGAGGTTATGATCCACATATTGGAAATAATTCATTGTAAAAGAGATGTTTATCCCATAAGTGACAACATAAGCCCGGAAGAGGCATTGGTACCCCAAAACAATGAGATGCTTATAAATTTTGCATGCACATAACATGAGAATTGTGGAATCACAAATCAATGATACATTTGGTTTATTAGTAGCTACTACAATCATCAAGGGCTATGATTATATTAAATCACGTTTCATGAATGTTGACAAGTTCAGTGATTGGCCAAAAATGGAAATAGGCAATTCTATTTATTACTAATTATGAAGTATGAGATATTGAACCTATAGCTCAAACACCAAATTACAAATGTTAAGTATGAAGATTACGAATTGGTGTCTGTGAAGTGAAATAAGATCACTAATATGACATAAGGTTTCCTGGGAAAGGAATGGTTTTAGTCTCCCATCTCATCGTAGATGCATCAACATTTCTATAAGTGCAGCTGTTATTTAATGTGAAACTTATAGCATGTGTTAAATGCATATTTATTAAGACTATATGGTACATGGAAATTCTCAAAGCTCATGAAATATTTGAGATATATCGGATGAAGCGACCCCCTTGAAGGATATAAAGTATCATAACATTCTTAATTACGAGTTAAAAGTTTGAGTATTTTGAATTCAAATTTGATATTGTTGTAACATATTCTAACTATTAAATTAGTTGTTGATGCTCCTAACGAGTTCAATCATTTGAAAAAGTGAAAAGCAGGTCAATAGTGTGATAAACGTCATGTATGAAGACAATGTTGCTTGTATTGCTCAAATTAGAGAAGGGTTCATCAAATTGTGAAAAAAAAAAAAAAAAAAAAAAAAAAAGAAGAGATTGGAGTTAAACAAATTCGTTCACAAATAATCTGGCAAATCTTTTTACCAAAACTTTTTATGAAGCCTAAATTCCAGAAGTTAATGAAAATCAGGGGGAGATATCAATTAGGGAGCGTCCCAATTCTATTACATACAGGACATATGCGCATTGTACTCTTTTTCCCTTCGACTAGGTTTTTGTCCCACTAGGTTTTTCCTAGCAAGGTTTTAACGATGCAACATAAGCGTGTTTTAAACCATATCAATGATCAAGAAGAAAGTTGCACTCTTTTTCCCTTATCTTCAGTTTTGTCTCACTAGGTTTTCCAAGCAAGGTTTTAATGAGGCAACAATGTCATTGTATGGTGGACATCCAAGGGGGAGTGTTATAAATCTATGGAATGTGGATGACCACCATAAACATCCATTACCTCCACCCCTTATTGCTTTGTAATCTATACCCTTATTATTGTAATTAGTAGCTATAAATTGTGGGTTAAATACCTCTATTGTAAGCCTATAAATAGGCGCTTATCAAAGATGAATAAGATATGTTGATACAAGGTCATAGAATAAATTCTCTGTATTTCTCTTCCTATTATTGTTGTCTACAATTGTTAATGTATGGTTTTTACTATTTTCTTTTGGCTTCCCTTGACAACTTTGTAATAGAATGTGTGTTGTTATTTATCAAGCTCAAGTTTAGATTAAGGAAAACCTTTCCTGGTGCTCTTCTCTAACTTCTGTTGTATGGAGGTTCAAGCAATTTGACAAAGGTATTGTGCATTGCATATCATTTCATAAAACAGTCTTCATAAAAATGATGACTAGTCATCCGTTTCTCAGATGACTAGTCATCCTTGCTCTGTAGAATTTCCAGCTGGATAACAAACTGTTTTGTCCTATTCCTCTTTCTCTCTCTCTGCTGCCATCTGTGTTTTCTGACCTAAGGAATTTTTTGGCTGTAAAGGCTACGTTTTTTGTCATTTGGTGGTTGTCTCTTTTGGGTGGAAGTTTTGGAAAGTTTGGCTTGCCATCTTTCGCTTCTTCTTCCTCGAGAGAACCATCTTATTTCATCTATGAGTTTTTCCAATTGATTTCTTTTTGAAAAACTGCATTTGAAACACAAATCTGCATCTAGCTACTTAAATCATTCTATCATTTATATCTAGGTCAGATTCAAGATTGATTTCTTCAAGAGTATGGTTTCTTGAAGAAATTGGTCATTCTTCTTTAAATCCAAATTTTGGTTTCGGTTTGTGTTGGAGCTTGCAAGTTAGTGCCATGGGATGAACGAGCTGGAGAAGGAGCTGCCATTGCCATGAAGAACTGAGCTTCAAGCTTTGCTAAGTTGGAGAAGAAGATTGCACAAAGGAGGTATAGCTCATCTTCCTAAATAGATCTAGGTTTTTCTTGAGCTTGCTTGTGTTCCTTTGTAAGAATCTTTTTCTACTTAGTGGATTGCCTGGTCGGTTGATGACCCCCAGTTTTTCCCAATGGTGGGTTTCTGGGTAAACAGTTTCTGGTTTCCAACTCTGTAAATTTTCTGGGTTTGTGTTCTTGACAGTTGACTAGTCATCTGGGTTTGTGCAGTTGACTAGTCATCTTTTTCTGCTGTTTGGTGTTTGCTTGATTCTGCTGTTTGGTCTTCACACACTTTCACCATAGTTGTTGCTAACACATGGGATGCCTAGATTGACGGGTCCTTCTGAGTGCTTAGGTTGTCACTAGTAATTCTCTAGGCTTGCAGGTACATCTTGGTGTGCTCTGTGTATGTTATTGTTTGGTATAATTCATATATGACAGTTGACTAGTCATAAGAGTATTTGGTCAAGGTCTAGAGTGTGTGAAGTTTGCTGCGTTCTTGGTTGAATATCTTTTAAATTTACCCATCGTCACCTAAGTACCATTTTCAATTGGTATCAGAGCACCAGCTCTTAATATAAATAGAGAGATCCTTTGGGTGCTAATTGGTATTAGGTTTGCAAACATAAAAATGGACCAAATTGCTCCTTGCATTCATGATGAGCTTGCCTTGTTTGTTCAGAAATATAGAAGGGTTGTCAAAGGTAAAACCAAAGTCACTAGGAATTGTCAAAATCTTCCTAGCTCGTCTACATGTGTGTCTCAAGACAATGTTTTTAAGGAGATGAATTTTTTGGACTCTTATGGCTTTAGGGAGGACAAAAGTTTGAAGGGTCTTGTAAAGTGCTATCTATGTGGTGGTGTTGGTCACACTGATGTGGAATGTGCAAATAACCACATGATAGAGTCTAATGGGAGAGAAGAGTCAATTAGTGCACAATGGAGTGATAGTGATAGTGTTGATTCCAATAATTATATCACTTCATCTTTTGAAGAGACAAATAATTTTGCCCTTGTTGGTTCTGTTCATAACTCTAGCATTGCTAGAGTTCATGTAGTTAAAGAAGGAAAATCTGATTCAAAAAATGAATCTGTGTCTGGAGATGATAGGCAGGATGACCAGTCATACAGGAAACAGGATGACCAGTCATACCTGGGTATGTGTGAAAAGTATGATGTCTTTTTTACTGAAACTTCCAAGCTTAAGGAAAGAAATTTCCTACTTGAAAGGAAGGTAAAAAAACCTGGAAATTCTTAATTGCACTTTTAAAGAAGCAAATAATGAATTGAGTGAAAATATTGAGACCTTGAAGAGTGAAAAGGATTCATTGATTGTCATTAAAAATGACATTTCAAACCAATTGAATGTGCTCAAGGAAAACAACTTGGTTTTCCATGCCTCCAACAAGAATTTGTTGACTCAGATAAATGAGGCAAATGACATGGTGATCAAGCTTACCATAGGGGCTAAAAAGGTGGATAAAATGTTAAATATGGGTAAGGTTCATGGAGACAAAATTGCTTTTGGTTATGGTTGTTCTAGTTCATATGCCCCTCCTCATTTGACCACATTTGTCAAGGAGTCAAATACAAAGTTTGATGTTTTAGAGCCAACTAGGACTCAAAGATTCATTCCTACTTGTTACCATTGTGGTGTGAAAGGTCATATTCGACCTAGGTGTAATGCTCTAAGGAATGTGTCTAGAGCAACCGATGCAAATGGCTTTAAGAACCATATTTCATCTCTTAAAACATGTGAGCTTGCAAAATCTGTTATTTGTACAAGAGATAAACATTTTTCACTTGCAAAATTTGGTTTTCAACAACCAAAAAGGTTCATTCCTATATGCCATCATTGTGGCACATTAGGACACATTAGGACACATTAGACCAAAGTGTTTTGAGTTTAGGAATTTTGAGAAAAAGCCTTTTGTTCATTTCAAGAAAGTAAATGACGACTCACTTCAAACTCAAGTGAATGATCTTCTTTATAAAGCTGTCAAAATTCCTAAGGTGATCTCTATGCCTCATAAAGTCTCAAAAGTGAAGCAAGTTTGGATCAAGAAGGAAGACCATGTTCTTCCTCATGTTGGTGACTAGTTTCTTTATCTTATGTATCTAGACCATTCTCTTGTTTGTGGTTGCTTCATGGAGTCTAGATACCCTGTCATGCATATGCATCTTACTTCTTCTTTTTTATTTTTGATATATTTATTTCATTTTTGTTTTAGAAAGATGTGGTCATTGTGTGCATGTCTTTTAGTCATCTCCCTCACAATCTTTTGAATCTTGAGTCCAACTAAATTCCATGCTTTATGTAAGAACTTGGTGACATTTGACTAATTGACTTAAGACATTTTCTTGCACAAGAGATCTTAGTAATTGCCTTGCCTTGCAATTTGTGTCTATTGAGAAGCAACTTTTTGTTTTTTTTTTTTTTTTTTTTCTTCTTCAACCGCTAGATACTTGAAGGTATTGATTTCCTTCAAAGATCTATTGGGTTGTGCAAAATGGATTAACTTGTATTTTCAATTTCATGTGCTTATAATCTGAATTTCCATTTTGTTTGTGTTAATAAATTGCATGTAAGCTCTCTTCTCTCAAGATGCATGATTCTTATGAGTGGAAGTCTTTTCATGATGTTGTAGGTGTGAAAGAGTTATCCCCATTCTTATCTACAATTTGAGCATTTTTTGTTGAATATACTTGGGTTGCATGATATGCTTTGAGCTATCTATAAAGTGTCTAAGATCACTTGTAGTTGTCTCTCTACCTTGATCTTTTGATCCATTTGGAAATCAAAATGCAAATAAATTGTTGGAGTAAAAGCCTTGGAAAAGCAATGTCCACAAATATAGAAAAAGCATTTTCGGACAAGCAAGTGTGCTATACTTCATTTTTTATAAAAAGGTAAAAGCGCTTGGAAGAGCATTGTACATCATCAAATAGAAAAGCAAAATTTTACAAGCAAGTGTGCTATGCCTTTCTAAAATATTGATAAATGTCAACTTTTGGATCACATTTCTTGGTAGGGTTTATGCCTTGATTTCTAGAACTTATATTAGATTTGATGCTTGGAAAGTCTCATGCAACTCTTGGAAATCATTATTGAAGCTCATATTGAATTAGACCTCATTTTCCCAAACTCCTTACTCTAAGCTTCATGAGAAGTTCTAACTTATGTGTCTCATTGATTTTGGGAATTGAGTGCATATATTGCCTTGACATGTTAATCTTTGTAGTTCAACTATTTCCCATTTGTGTTTTTCCAAATAACCTAAGCACATGTTATGGAGATGCATGTTATTCTATTGCATGTCGTTTTTCTAATTCAAATTCTAGTTGCTTCCATCTCAATATGGCTTATTATGCTTGGATATCTCTTTGTATGCTATGTCTTGGGTCAATGTGTTTCATGCTAGCTTTCTAGAAATCATTTCTGCCTCGCATGACTAGTCATCCAATCTAACATTCTTTGTGTCTCATTGATCATTATTGGTTGCTTTTTGTTGTGTTATTTGTTGTGCTTAAATGGGCTCTACACTTTATGTCATTCAAGCTCTTTTCTTTTGATGTGGTTTGGACTGTGTTGAGTCTTATTGTATGCATTTGTGAGCATACTTTGGAGTCATTGACTACTTGGTAGTCTCTCTTGTATCTATTTGGTTGTGATAGTTCATACTTTGCTTTAGTGAAGCTTCTTCATTGACATGTCATGGGTTTGGTCACACATTTGAGAAATCTGTGAGTTTGCTTGTTTAAGTAATGTTGGTGTTTGTCTTCTGAGCCCATATGACTAGTCATATATACTAGTCATTGGTCACTGGTATTAGTTTGGTCTTAAGGTATTTAGTCATTCTTGGATTTGACCCATGTTACCATATGTGACCTGGTTGTCTCTCCTGTGGGTTCCTTAAGTCACTTTTGAGTAGTCTTCTATTGATGTTGTTGCTTTATGTAACTCGAATGATGATTGTCTTGGCTGCAATCTCATGTTTGCATTTATAGGTCTATTGCACTTTGTGATTTTTCCATTAAAGGGAGCTTGTCATTTGCTTGTCCTTGGAACATTTTGTAATGTTGTGAACTGCTTATATCTTGTTAGGATTGATCTCGGCATAGGCCTTTAATTCTTTTCTTTTTAATTCATGTGCTTGAAGACTTGGCCTAGACAATGATTGCTGAACATCCCTGATCACTTGATATGTTTACTAGTGCTTCTCTGTGTATTAGCAAAGTCCTTCATCTTCTATAAGGTCGATACTAAACATGATGCTTATTGTGATTACTGCTCTGGTTGACTAGTCACTATATGCATACGTTGATTGTGGTTGACTAGTCATCATGATCTATTTTCGTTTCTGGCAGTGTATCTGGTCTTGTCTCTTATTCTTTAGCTATGTCTCTAGCCATCAAGTCATGCTGTATGCTTAATAGGGATCTTGTGCCTTTTGGTGAAATTAATTTTCACTCTCTAAGAACCAAGACCATTGGTTATGACACAAAGCACAAAGGCTCACTTGTCTTCTCCTTGTCTCATTTACACCTTCTGTTTCAACACCGGTACTGTGTTTATGTGTGGTCGTGTTTGGATGATGCCACTTTGGTCTATGACCAGTCACCTTAATAAGTTGGTCTTGAAATCCTTACGAGTTTGCTGTGCTATATGCGTTTTGGATTGTTGGCTAATTTATTTTGTTGGGGGAGTTTCTTTGAGATGCATGTGTTTTGGCAACATTCTTGCTGATTCTTTTTATCATTTTCATACATCATTGTTGCCTTCCTAAGCCTTATCTCGATTGATTTGCTCTGTTTTGTTCTTGGCTGTGTCTATGAGGTTGTTGGTCTTTTGATGCCACCTCAAATTTAGACATGCATGACTAGTCCGTTTCACTAGTCCATTCTCTTCTTCTTGTGCTTTTTGGAAGCTATGTTGTGTTTTTTGGACAACCTAGAGACTTGTTTCTTGTATTCTTTCTCACATGTCCTCAATTCTGAGCAAAAATTTAGGGTTCATCTTGCATGGTGCTTTCTTCAAATTTGACATTGATTGATGCCTTAAATTTTGAAATCTTGGTGCTTTGTCTTGATTTTGCACTATGGTGTGTAAAGAAAAATTCATTGGTTGTCCCGTGTTTTGATAAATATGTTGCTGAAACTCTATCTTTTTAGGGGAGTTTCTTTATGTGTAATGTGTACACATTGAAATTAAATTCAGCCACTTGATTTTAATTGCTTTAGGTATGATTCCTTGCAACTTGTGCTCCATTTCTTATTCTCTTTAGCCTGATGCACTTTTGTGTTTGCTGGCTATTTATGGAAAGGTTGCTGAATTAGTATGTCAAAGGTTATGTCCTTTATGTTATATGATACTCAAGGGGAGTATGTTTTCTAAAGGGGTGTTTTGCTTTAGGGGGAGTATTTTTGGGTAGGTTGGGTGTCTTTTGTTTTGTAATCACATTGTGGGTAGTTTGTGTATTTTGATAGGGGGAGTTGTTCTGTACTGTTTTGAACAACTGTTATTTGACTAGTCATCAATCTATGTTATGTGCTGTTAACTTTGTTCATATCTGCCTATCCTATTTGTGGTTAATCCCTTTGTATGCTGTTTCTATCTCTCTGCCTTTTTGCACTTTCCTTATCAACAAGGGGGAGAACACTCTCAACCCCACATTGCATATTGTTTTAAAAATTCTGTGATAATATGCTTGTTTTTGTGCCTGGAAGATTGGTTGTTCTTGCAGGTACCTTCACTCCATCATCTCCTTAGTCTCGGTTTTGGGTTGAGTGTTTTTAGAGAGTGTGTTGCCAAGGAAAGCCAAAAAGGGGGAGATTGTTAATGTATGGTTTTTACTATTTTCTTTTGGCTTCCCTTGACAACTTTGTAATAGAATGTGTGTTGTTATTTATCAAGCTCAAGTTTAGATTAAGGAAAACCTTTCCTGGTGCTCTTCTCTAACTTCTGTTGTATGGAGGTTCAAGCAATTTGACAAAGGTATTGTGCATTGCATATCATTTCATAAAACAGTCTTCATAAAAATGATGACTAGTCATCCGTTTCTCAGATGACTAGTCATCCTTGCTCTGTAGAATTTCCAGCTGGATAACAAACTGTTTTGTCCTATTCCTCTTTCTCTCTCTCTGCTGCCATCTGTGTTTTCTGACCTAAGGAATTTTTTGGCTGTAAAGGCTACGTTTTTTGTCATTTGGTGGTTGTCTCTTTTGGGTGGAAGTTTTGGAAAGTTTGGCTTGCCATCTTTCGCTTCTTCTTCCTCGAGAGAACCATCTTATTTCATCTATGAGTTTTTCCAATTGATTTCTTTTTGAAAAACTGCATTTGAAACACAAATCTGCATCTAGCTACTTAAATCATTCTATCATTTATATCTAGGTCAGATTCAAGATTGATTTCTTCAAGAGTATGGTTTCTTGAAGAAATTGGTCATTCTTCTTTAAATCCAAATTTTGGTTTCGGTTTGTGTTGGAGCTTGCAAGTTAGTGCCATGGGATGAACGAGCTGGAGAAGGAGCTGCCATTGCCATGAAGAACTGAGCTTCAAGCTTTGCTAAGTTGGAGAAGAAGATTGCACAAAGGAGGTATAGCTCATCTTCCTAAATAGATCTAGGTTTTTCTTGAGCTTGCTTGTGTTCCTTTGTAAGAATCTTTTTCTACTTAGTGGATTGCCTGGTCGGTTGATGACCCCCAGTTTTTCCCAATGGTGGGTTTCTGGGTAAACAGTTTCTGGTTTCCAACTCTGTAAATTTTCTGGGTTTGTGTTCTTGACAGTTGACTAGTCATCTGGGTTTGTGCAGTTGACTAGTCATCTTTTTCTGCTGTTTGGTGTTTGCTTGATTCTGCTGTTTGGTCTTCACACACTTTCACCATAGTTGTTGCTAACACATGGGATGCCTAGATTGACGGGTCCTTCTGAGTGCTTAGGTTGTCACTAGTAATTCTCTAGGCTTGCAGGTACATCTTGGTGTGCTCTGTGTATGTTATTGTTTGGTATAATTCATATATGATAGTTGACTAGTCATAAGAGTATTTGGTCAAGGTCTAGAGTGTGTGAAGTTTGCTGCGTTCTTGGTTGAATATCTTTTAAATTTACCCATCGTCACCTAAGTACCATTTTCAACAATTCCCCTTAGTTTTATAACATAAAATAATTTTTTATTAATTTTTAGTCCACGTGGAAGTCCACGTCATAAAAAAAAAGGGTCTCATTTTGACGCGTTAGCATTTAACAGATTGACTAACAGTTTGGCTAACGGAGGAGGCAAATTGTAGGGTTTCCGTGACGTTGAGTATGTACTGGTAAATGTCCCTGTTTGAGCAAAAATCCTGCACACCCAGCCCAACACTGAAGGGCCCAAGATAACAAAAGCCACAAGGCCCAAAATCCAAGAGTGCCCAACCCGGGTCCTGTCAAAACCATGACGGCGAACGGAAAAAAAAAAAGCGTGATTAGAAGAGAAGAAGAAGACCAAAAAAGAAAACAAGCACACATGAATTTTTTCTGTAACTTAGAAAAGTCAGCAATTTTAATTGGGTTGATAAGAGTTGACAAAAGCAGGCAACAAGAAAGGGACATCTCTGAATCTCTGCCACCAGAAGATCAAAACCCTTTTATATATTCAGAGATATTGTTTGTACTCCAAAAAAGGGGACCATCTTTCAAGGGATACGCAGACTGTGTTCTAAAAAGATAAGCAAGAAATAGGGAGTGGTTCGAAATGGAAAATCAAACTAACCATCACTATTTGAGCTCTCACAAAGGGCAGTTGGATCTAAAGAGGGGTTAGGTTCTCTTTCAAAAAACAGAGAAGTGATTGTCTTAAGAACTGACTATTGAGAGCTTATCTGCCAGAATTGATAAAACCTCTTTTTCTTTGCATTAAAAATAAAAGATCTTGCTTTTAGAAAATCCGCCGCCCATTTTTTAAGGATTAGAAATTCTATTTCAGCATTTCTATAAATATAAGAGAAGATGAACAGAGCGACAACAATCAATCAAACAACCAAAAAATCAACCCAAGACAAGAACTCAAAATGATCACTTGATCCTAGAGAACCCTCAAACAAACTGAAGCAACCAAAAGCTCATTCAAGCCACAGAAGAAGCCAGCTATAAATAAGAACTTCCAAGTTCAGACTTAGAAAAATAAGTCATTCAAAACGAGATTCCTCTCGTTACAAATTTGGTTCAGCAAAAGCCAAAACAAGCAGAGTTTGAATTTTCACAAATATGAAAACCTCAACAAATTTATGGAGAGCCCTGACCAAGCAGAACAGGTACCATAGTGCAGTTCCGGCTCAGTAATCCTCAAATCCAGCCATTTCTGCCCCATTCAGATTAAAGAAGTTGCAGTTCTGCCCGTTCAAAAAGCCTTCCAGGGCTTGAAATATATTAAAGCTCTGCCAAAATCAAACTTTGGTATTGATTTACAGCTGAAGCTTAATAGTTGAAATTGTTGACAGTTCTGTCCAGCACAGACATACCCAGTCCAACTGGGGTCAGAGACTTCTATCCAGGCAGAAATGGAATTCCAGCTTTCTTTTTGTCTTTTTAGAGTTGATTTTTTCCTTTATAGTTTTGTAAAAGACAGTTCTGCCTAAAACAGTCCACTTTATTATCAATTATTCTGGCCAGAACTACCCATTTTGTATTGAGATAAATTGTGAAGTCCTCACCAGTCTGAGACAGGAAAAGAACTTACTTGAGAGATATTCCTCACCCAAATTCACAATCGCTTGTTTAGAAATTAGTAACTTGGGGCGCAAGTTATCTATTTTAAGAAGTCTGCTAGAATTTTTATTGGTAGCAGTGACACGCTCACACACTAAAGAAAGTTGACTTGCTAACCAGTCAATGGTTTTCAAGTCAATGGGGAACTTTACCCTACCATCACAGGAACAAACACAAAAAGGGTGAACAGTCCCCAAAATCATGTATGAACTCATAAATGACCCTATAAATTGGGGGGGTTTACTGTAGTTTGTCTTAAGAAAAATCATTGACTTTAAAGGAAACATAAAAAGTGATCAATTTCAATTGATTTTAGACTTATTTTAGACCATGATAAATATTTGTTCCTCTCCCCAGAGATTTTGATAGATATCTCAAGATATGATTTCACCATCTCTATTATCACCATATTGTCATGGCTATCGCCACCACCACCTCCACTGTTGTTGCCACTACTTGACATGATTACTACCACCACTCTCCCCACCACCATTGATACTTCTACCATCTCTACCACCAATATCACAAACATCATGGCCCACTATTATTTCAAATTTATAGAAGTTTACAAAAATCTATCAAACTCTATGATAAGATTCTAACAAATGTCATCCAATAATACTAATTTTTTAATAATATGTCCGTATTTTTCAACAATACTTCCGTTTTCTGTACACGTCATAAAGACTCAGGAAAATACATGTTTTAAAAAAAAACGAACAAACATACAATTCAAGTATTGTATGCGTACGTACGTATTTTTCTTGTTTATTGTCCCCTTTTGATTTTTTACTTTTCTGGAGTTTTTATCCGTATAAAGAATTTAGCATTTTCCCATTTAATACTCGTATTATACAAGTATGTTCATATTTTTCAATAATACTTCCGTTTTCCATATACGTCTTAAAGACTCAGTAAAATACATTTTTTTTTAAAAGCAAACATATAATACATGTATTATACACGTACGTACATATTTTTCTTCTTTAACACGTGTTTGTTACAAAATTTTCAGTATGTAGTTATAGTATGGCTGTACGGCTATACTGCTGTGGTTTTTAAAATTATTTTTAATTAATAGTATAGCCGCACAGCTGTCCTCGTGGGGTAATAATAGTATGGCATTGACTGTAATGAAGTGTTCGCTCTGGTCGCTAGGATGGAAACAATCAGACTGGTACTTTCAATGGCAGCACAAAACTCATGGCCCATCTTTCAATTGGATGTGAAATCAGCGTTCCTACATGGGAGTTTACAAGAACAAGTCTATGTCGATCAACCTCCTGAATATGTGCATCCCGGAAAGGAAGGGAAGGTATACAAGTTGAGAAAAGCATTATACGGGGTGAAACAAGCACCTAGAGCTTGGTACAGCCGTATAAATGCTTATTTTGCTAAAGGATTTCAAAAGTGTCCGTATGAATACACGTTGTTTACTAAAATTGGTGCTGGTGGAAAAATTCTAATTGTCTGTTTGTATGTAGATGATTTAATCTATACAGGCAGTGATATGACTATGATTGATGTTTTTAAGAAATCTATGATGGCAGAATTTGAAATGTCTGATCTTGTCCTTGGCATTGAAGTAGAACAATCTCCTGCTGGGATTTTCATATCCCAAAAGAAGTATGTTCATACTATTTTGGACAGGTTTTGATTGTCAAATTGCAATCCTGTTGGCACTCCTACTGAATGTGGTTTGAAGCTAACAAAGGATCCTGAAGGAGAGAAAGTAAACAGCACCCTCTACAAACAAATTGTAGGAAGTTTGATGTATGTCACAGCCACCAGGCCAGATGTAATGCATGCAGTCAGCCTCATCAGTCGTTATATGGAATGTCCTACAAGTCTGCACCTACTTGCTGCAAGATCTTCCGCTATTTAAAAGGAACTTCTGATTTTGGCATACTTTATAAAAAGGGTACAAAGGATGGTTTGATTGTCTTTAGAGACAACGATTACGCTGGAGACTTGGATGATAGAAGGAGCACATCAGGACATGTTTTTACAATGGGATCAGCAGCTGCATCTTGGTCTTCAAAGAAACAGCCAATTGTGACTTTATCGACTACTGAAGCAGAGTTTGTTGCTGCAGCATCTTCTGCATGCCAAGCTGTTTGGTTCAACAATTCTATTGTCTCCCAAACACATAAATTTCTCGAAATCCACTAACATTGACAATGCATTAAAGAAAACGTGATGAATCAACATATGCAGAGATAAAGATAAGAACAGCTGATTGAATTCCTAAATTTGTCAAATTACGGTCATAATCTAACGCTTGAACCTGATCTAAATCAGAAAAAGATCATAAATATAAAAAAATAGAGTTCTTACGCTTTCTTAGTCTTGTTCTGGCTATGAGCCTGTGGGGTGATGTGAAGGACACGTGAGCCTTTACCGCTGGACGGTGCATGCGGGCCAAAGCCTACCGCAATATCATCCCGATTTACAGGCAGAACAGATGCCATAGACATAGAATTGCTGTTACACGCAAACGAAAAGGAAGAAAAAAACAAGCGAGTTCGGTAAAACGAGTAACTAAATAATGGAAGTGACAAACTAGAAAACAAATTCTGATTGTCTTTACCCACCACTAGAAAACCACTCTGCGACTGCGAGTCCTGAATGGAAGAAGATACGGAGAGTGAAATGCGGCCGCCAGATATGGAGAGTGAAAGAGGCGTGTTTAAAGCGTGACTATTGTTTTTCGCCAACTTCTTAATATATGCATGTATCTCCGCCAGATACATGCTACTTTTGTCTTTTATTTGGAGATACATGCTACTTTTGTCCTTTAATATATGCAAAAAAAAGATTACAAAGAAAGTCCCTAGGACAAGGGGCCCAAAGATGCTAAAATAAAACGCACCAACAATAAAAAGAGGAACCCCAGCCTCCCAAAGCCTAGTGGGGTAAAAGCCCAAGCCCAGGTACTACTTTTGTTGAAGAAATGGAACAAGTCTGTCTTTGTTTTTGAGTTGCAAAAACTAATAAATCAAGTGAGTTAGGCCCCTTGAATCAACTAATAAACCTAATAAAAATTAGGTCGGCTATTTACAAGGGTCACAATGAATCAACGGAGAGAGGCTAATTCATAGCCTTTTGGGGGGTATCTCAGATTCTCAGTTCAGTGGGTGAGCAGAAGTGATAAAATGATCTGGTTTTGGTGATGAATCCATATAGGACTCAAACAAGATTTGAAACAGAAATAAAAATTGATCACCAAAAGAGAAAGAGAAAGAGAAAAAGAAAAAGAACGGAGAGAGTAGTAAAAAAAACCAACCCATTTGAATTTCGACGTAATCCGGTGTCAACAAAGAGAAACTCCACCGCATACATGTTGACAATGGCAGTTGACGATGGTCATTGATGATTCGGGCCAGTGTGTGTTTCAGACCTAGCCAATACTGCTGCATTTTCCACCCAGATGTCATTTCAGAAGAAACAGAACCAAAATTCAGCAAGGCAGGAAGAGAAAAACCAGCAAAGATTTGAAGAAGAAGAAGAAAACATAGCATCTGGAAAATGCAGCAAGGTCAATGAGTACAAAAGCACTAAACAAGGTGCAATCCACTAAGCAATACTCTAAACAAAGGAAAGTACAAAGGCACGCTGATTCGCCGGACGGACAACGTGACTCTTTGTCGTGTCTTCATCTGGACAGCATGATGTATATATTTTTAAATCATCCAATTCTCTGCAACAAATGAAAAGCCATTGTTTTCATTTTTTTGGTTGGTCGAATTTGTCAATAGACTTTATAGCCCTTAATGTTGAATTTGTTCTCACTGGCACAAAAGTATAAAATAATAAACAGGTAGTTCTCCTTCAATTGCAAATATGATATGAGCGTTTTAGGCAATTCATTCCAAGCTGAGTTGTTCAACAAGTAGTGCTGTATATTAGGGTGTATTCAATTGAGATTTTAAAGAAGTTTCAAAGTTCTAGGGTAGATTTTATACAAGTTTATAAAATTCTTTATTTAATTCAAACTTTGTACAGTTCAAATTTGGAGGTATTCAATAGCGATTTTAAACGACTACATCAAAATTTGGGTTATTCAAAAAAATCATTGACTTTAAAGGAAACATAAAAAGTGATCAATATCGATTGATTTTAGACTTATTTTAGGCCATGCCAAATATTTGTTCCCCTCCCCAAAGATTTTGATAGATATAATATTTTTAATTCTAAAGATATAATTTCACCACCTCTATTATCAGCATATTGTCATGGCTATCGCCACCACCACCTCCGCCATTGTCTCCCCAAAGTTTCTTTACTTTCGTTTTTTGGCCAACTTCTTTAATTTAATATATGTGATTAAGTAATATCTTACCCTTTTTGAATCACTTAAATTAGTAATTACGAATCAATTATTATTTCTTTAGTGAATATTTAAATATGTTACTGATTTAATTCTGTTGTGTGAAAACGAAAAAATAAATTACTTATTTTCGTTTGGGTGTCTTAATTAAATTTTCCTGGAGCCCAAGATTGAGAGCAAAACCTAAATTGTAAAGCCTTGCGTCGAGTTACGTGATTATCCAACTCTAATTGAGTCCTAAGTGCCTTACAACAGGTTTACAACTAGGGTTCGAGGCTTGCGAACGGTTTTGGAATAAGTTCGGATAAGTTCGAAAGCTATGGTTTTTGTTTCGAGACTTGGATTTTTGGTTTGGAGACTAAAATTCCATTTTTAGAATACTACAATAATTTTCTAGAGTTTTTAAATAATTGAAACTATTTTTAAAATAATTTTAAATTCCACAAAATTCTTTAAGATCATTAAATAAAATTAATTAATTTTTATTAAGTAATTTTTATGAAATTAATTCAAATATTTAAATACTAATTCTTCACTAAATAAATAAAAGTAATTAAAACATAATATATTCAACCAGTATAGCCGCACGGCTATACCTTTAAAATATTCTATTTATTATTCTATACCTTTAAATAGTATCGCCGCGCGGCTATACTCATTAAATATAATATTTTAGCATTATAGCGGCATGGCTATATTCCAAAATATTACATTTAGACTATTTTTCGGTATAGCCAGGCGGCTATACTCCAAAAATATAATATCTTAATAGTATAGCCATACGGCCATACCCCAAAAGGGAATATTTTAAAGTATAGCCGACCGGCTGTACCCTCTAAATAGCAAACTAATAAAACACACCTCTCGACGAAGTTGCGTCGGCACAGCTCTATGCCGGCAAATATTTGTCGGATTAGACTTCTCCCGACGAAAGTTACCTTTGCCAACGACATTTCGTCAAGAGAGTTTTTTTTTCTTTTTTGAATTTTAAAAATATAAAATTAGTTTCTTTACCTTTTTGTTTTTTGCCAACTTCTTTAATTTAATACATGTGATTAAGTAATATTTTAGCCTTTTTGAATCACTTTAATTAGTAATTACAATATTTAAATATGTTACTGATTTAATTGTACTGTGCAAAAACGAAAAAATAAATTACTCATTTTTCGTTGGGTGTCTTAATTAAATCTTCCCAGAGCCCAAGATTGAGAATGAAACCTAAATCGCAAAGCCCTGCATCGAGTTACGTGATTATCCAACCTTAATTGAGTCCTAAGTGCCCTACAATAAGTTTACAGTTAGGGTTCGAGGCTTGCAAACAGTTTTGGAACTAGTTCGGATAAGTTCGAAGGCTATGGTTTTTGTTTCGAGACTTGAATTTTTGGTTTGGAGATTAAAATTCCATTTTTAGAACACTAAAATAATTTTCTAGAATTTTTAAATAATTGAAACTATTTTTAAAATAATTTTAACTTCCACAAAATTCTTTAAGATCATTAAATATAATTAATTAATAAATTTTTATTAAGTAATTTTTATGAAATTAATTCAAATATTTAAATACTAATTCTTCACTAAATAAATAAAAGTAATTAAAACATAATAGATTCAACGGCAATACCATTACCCTCCGTTTGGATGAGGGAAAATAACTCGGAATTTAGGTGAAAGTTGGGAATTGAAGAAGAGAAATTGACAATTCCCTTGTTTGGCAACTTAAACGCGGAACTTATTAAATGAAGCGTGGAAAAAATCATGGAAATTGAGGCATCAAATTCCCGAGTTTAATTTCCACAAAAATAGGCGTTATTTCACAATTTCCGTAGTGCAGGAATTCATATTTTCTAGTGTGCCAAAACTTACATAAAAAATAACCCACCAAACTTTTCGTTAAAAAAAAAACAAAAAAACAACGCCAAAAACCTATGAAACCGAGTATAGCCAGAGAAGTAAGGAGAATGAGTTCTTCTTGGGTTACATGGCTCTTTGGATCAAGTTTGAAGGTTAGTCTTCAAGCCTTTCTCTCCTTCAATTTATATTTTTTTTAATTTTACGGTTACCATGGTTTCTGAATGGCTATCAAAATTGGGTGTTTCTGACTAAATTTATGAATGTGTTGAATGAGTTATGTGATCTTTGTGGCACTATGGTTGGATTTTGGGAAGTTTTAACAAAATACTATGCTCATGGATATTGGTGTGTGATTGGTGTTTATGGTACAGCTCTGTAGTTGTTTGCTAGCTTTATCACTTTGTGTTATCGCCTTGCTTTGTAGTTGTTTGTTAGCTTTATCGCTTTGGGTGAGCCATTAGATGTTGATTGTAAGCTACACCAACTTGCCTGTAAGCTGCAGCTTGGCCAAGTTGCTCCTTCATTCTTTGGGATCTGAATTAAGTCTTATGATAGTGATTCATTGATTTCATCATTTATTCCTGTACTTTTGTTTGCAACTTTTTAATCAAAGCCCTTTCAGTTTCTTTGGTCATTGGTCTTTTGCCAAGTGAAAAAGAAGTATCAAGGTCTTGATTGCTGATTGCTTCTAGTTCTAATTCCATTGGTACCAGAGACGTATCAGGGTCTTGATTGCTTCTAGTTCTAATTCCATAGGCACTCCCAATTGAGAAGAAAAAAAAAGGTATGTTGCTGATGTTCATTGCACGTGGGGAGTGATTTGTTTCGCTAATATGCTTTGTTTGTTTAAGTTGAGTTATTTAGTTCATCAAACGATATGTTATTTCATACTTCGAGGAATACATTCTATGTTGGTTATCAGTTTTTTTTTCTTTCGAAATATTTAATATCTGTCATTTATAATTTACATGAGCTATCCAAACATTGAAAT